AAATAATTTCAATAAATTTTGATAATAAAAAATTGTTAATATTTTAATTGTTATATTAATATTATTAAAAAACAGATTTTTCAAAATAGAACCAAATAACCAAAAATATTTTTCATCAACTTGTCCAAATAACAGAAAATTTCTTTTAATTCAAAAAATGTAAAAATTTTATAAAAATCATTTTTTGAAAGTAATTTTTTACGAAACAAACAAAACCTTAAAATCATACACATCCATATCTCTATACCTATAATGTAATACCCATCATTATTCTCATTCAAACAAAAAATCAAGTTTTTCATTTAATACGAGTAAGATTGACGTTTCCTAAATTCTAATGATTAAAATTTATTTTGATAATTTTACAAACAAAAATGAAAATCTTGCTATTATAATACAGTCATGAACTTCAGAATAATTATGGAAATTTAATATCTATAAATGTTGGATTTAAAAAAATACATTATTTGATGCTCAAATCATCCAATTTTTTTGAAATTATGTTGGAGACTAAAGTTAAATAAATAATGGCAAGAAATTGGGCCCCTGCCTCATAAAAAAAACCATAAATCAAATCACCCAAAGTTGTTTTCAATATCTTAAGACCAGTAGCTTCCAAAAATTGCAAGAAATTCTGTCTTTGAATGTTCAAAATCATCACCAAACCTGTGAAAGGATTGCCCATCGATTGTGATAGAAAAAAAAAAAAAAAGTAAAATAATTTTTCTGCAAGAGTGACAACATATATGTATCATGGATGTTTGGATTTAGCATAAGGGACATGTCATGTCTGTCATCTTCTTGCATTTTAGCCTCTTTTTGCCTTTTATGAAGGTCAACCCTTGGAAAACAACTATGTTTCTTAAAGCCATCCAATAATAAAAGAGTGGTTATATCATACATATTTGGAAATGACTTGCTTCACATTGGATTCACTTAAATTTTCCATATACATTAATTGTCCAAGCTCTTATTTTCATGATTAATGGGTCTCTTTGCTCATGAAACTTTTAACCTAAAAGTTTAGTATGATTTTGAGATACAGTGCAAAAGATTATGTGAGTTAGCAAAGTTGTTCCCCACATCATTTTTTTATTTGTAGTTTCATTCCTTTAAAAAGATTGATACTCTTTTGTGTGTGTGTGTGTATATATATATATATTAAGATTGGGTGAAAGTTAAAAGATCAAAAAAATTTTTTTGTACTTTATAAAAGCATATTACTTTAGTAGAATCAAGTTAAAATATGATCATAACATTATTATAAATAACATGAAAGTCGAAACATGATCATACATATATATATGTGTGTGTATCTTAATTAAGGTAATAAACAAAGAGTCTAAGGTTGTTGAGCGAAATATTATGATGGTAGCTAATTGGACATTGAAATTTTGATATTACTCTCCAGTCTCCACAACATAAAGAAATCAACCACATGTAGTTGTATATTGCTAAAGACAATAATTAAAATTTTAAAGATAAAATTTTAAATTTTCAATATCACAATGCTACCCTTGGTCCCCCACACTTCAAAATTAAATAAAAAAAGGAAGAATTAATTACTAGGAAAAAATGGCCAAAATTATTACAACCAAGAAAAATTTTAAGTAACAGCAAACAAGGAACAGCCTAGTTGTATTACTAAATAATTAAAATTTTTTAAATTCATTTTTAAATGGAATTTGCTAAATAGATTATGAAATTATTAAGATCAATAAAAAGGTATTAATAATTCACATGAGTAAGCAAATGATGCAAAGAATTTCGTACAACTATAAATTTTAGAAAAATATAAAAATATCTTGCATTTCGCAGTGAGGAGAAGTGGGGGGACTAGAATTCTTCAAGGTCATGAATGATGAATCCATGATTATGACCAATTTCAAAGAAAAATGTAGAAATTGTCTTTTAAGTGAAAATATTATTATTTTTTGAATCCGAGATTTAATTTGTTGATTTATATAATTATTTTTAGAAAATAATAATTATTAAATTTAAAATTTAAAATTTAATATTTGTAAATTTTTTTATATTTTTATTAAAAAATTCATTTTAATTCTAAAAAAAGAAAAAAGAAAAAAGAAAAAAAATCGTAGCCACTAGCAATAAACTTTTTGTACAAATTTTTTCTTAAGTTTTTTTTGTTTTCTTTGATTGATCAAGGGAATAAGTATAATTTGGAAAGCAACTTGTCTTTGTCTCTCTATTCCATGCAATAAGCTACACAAAATTGAGAAATCCATATGTTAAAATAGATATACTTTGGGACCACAATAAAAAAAAATTTTGTTTTTTGGGTTTTTTTTTTGTTAGTTTAGGGAAAATTTTAAAATCATAATATTTTCTATGGTTGGAGATTTGCTATTACTCACTATCCATCAAAACCAAAGAGTTGATTTTTCTAGGACCACCCTAAATTGACTAATTCTACTAATTTATCTAGATATGCAATATGTTCCTTAATGGTAGCATATATGACTTTTCATATAAGTTTAAAACCTTTATAAATATTAGTTACCAAATAAAATCTCATTCTTATTCTCATATCACTAATAAAGTAACTTGATATAAAGAAAATCATAATCTAAATATAAAAAAAAATTACAAGTATTAAAATTTAAAATTTGAATTTATTGGATGTCATTTTTTAAATGTTACTACATGAATCAATTCTATTAAGACTCGAGTTTAAAGTGATTAAGTTTGGATTATTTACTTTTATTTTGTGAAAATTAGTGATCTCTTTAAAAAAAAAATCCCAAAACATCTTCATTATTCATCTATATATTTTTGCCCCCCCCACATAAGAAAAATGTTTATTTGATTTGAAAATTATGATTTAAAAATAAGATATTTTTAGAATTTAAGATTTTAATTTGAAACTTTTTGAGTTCGAATTTTGATATGAAAATATAAAATTTATAGAATATAATAAGGTTACTATATGCTTAGAATTTGATAAGAAAAAATGCTTATAGTTTAGTCACTATAAATTTCCTAAAAGTGAAAAAGAAACTAAGGAAAAATAATTGAGGAATGGAAAATTGATTCAAAATTATAACATTAAGTTGAATTAGATTTGAATTTTTTTTATTTGATTTGATTAGGATGATATTAAAATTTCAATGATTTTTCAATCAAGAAATAAAAAATAAAAAATATATGAATTGAATCTAATTATATTTTATTAATTTTTATATAAATTTTAAAATTTTATAAAATTTTATTTAAATCAATTTAATTTTAAAATATATAAATTATTCAAATATTTTTTAAAAATATAACATAATATATTAATCAAAATAATCAAATCAAATCGGTCTATTATCAACATTTTGTTTCAATTATTGCCGTACACAATTACCCGCCATAGCCATTGGCAAAGGAAACCAACCAAAGCCAATTATAGTGTTAGCAACTCAACATGAGCCCGACAAATTTCGATCCAATTTGATTTTATAAGATATATTTTTTTAAAATTTAATTTTGGATCGAATTCGAGTTTTAGATAAATTCGATTTGATTTAACCTGATATTATATTAAAAATTAATTTTTAAAATTTTTTATGTATATATAATTATATATTTATATTTAAAAAATAATATTTTATTAATTTCAGATCGAATTGAATATAATTTATATAATATCAAATAATGTCAAATTTAAATATAAAAAATATTAAAAATTTTTTGAATCAAATCAAGTTTGAATTTTAAAATTATAAAATCGAATAAAATTCGAGACAAATAAAAATTTACTCCAATTAAATCTGTTGTCAACCGTAACTAATTCTCTTGAATAAAAAAGAATTAATTTACTATAATTATAATTGAATAACAATTAAAGCCACCTGTCACTCTCACTAAGAATTCAAGAAACCAACTGTCACTTAAATTAAATCATTTGTACAATATTTCTCTGTAACTTTTGATTCTTCGTCAATTTAATATTTATCAGGATTATTATTTGGGCAACTTTTCTCTTCACGTGTTTAGAAATTTTTAATTCATGTGAAATTATCATCAACTTAGGCTGGAACTTAGACTTGATTTATTTTTTCATTCAGCTTTTGACTTATTATCTTATATTGCCGAAAATTTAAAACAAATTAATTTATTTTTATGTAAACATGCAGACAAATAAAATTGAAATATCTTTTTTTTTGCTTAAAATTGGATTTTATTTTCAAAGACAAAATGATACGTTGTTAACTTAAAATTAATTGATTTGAGTTAATGCAAAATTTTGTATAAATTATAATGTATACACCTAAACTTCACAATATAAAAATTTTGTTTAGAAATTACAACGGATTTTTGTTATTTTTGAGATATTTATATTTGAATCTATTTAATATTTATAGTATCCGAATCTGTTTAAATATTTATTTAAATTGAACATTATTATCTAAATTTGAATTTATTTAAATAAATATTATCCATTAAAATATTTGAATTTGTTAAAAAAATTATTTATTTAATTTTTTGTTAAAATATAAAATAAACAAGAATTTAATTTAAAAATCAAGTTTATTATTAATTAATACTAAGTAAATTTTTTTTAAAATCCAAAATCTTCTACAAACATCAAATTTTATATATTTTATATATGTAAATTATAATGGATTCGAATATCCATTATTATTTATTAAAATTTAAATAAATTTAAATATTAGATATCTTAAAAATATTATTCATATTTATTCTAAATTTTTTATAAATAATAAATCTTTTATCTGAATCTATTAATTATTTATTTGTCATTATCTAAATTTAACATAAAAGAATTAAATAATAATAGGTATCTATTTATTTATTATCTATTACCATTCCTAAACCTGTTCAATGCAAGGCGTGGTCCTGATGACCTAAAAACACCCAACTTTAAATTAGGTTTAAATCATGAAAAAGAGATAAAATTTATGAAATTGAAGAAATCAATTAAGAAAAAAAAAAAAAAAACTATGCTCGGCGTTAAAATTGTTGACATTTTACAAAAAGAAAAATTCTTCTCCAAATAATGACAGAATAGAAGCGAAGCCGTTGGTTTCCCTTACTTTTTTCCCCCATCAGATCCTGAATTACCATCAGACGGTCCGATTTTTTTGGATATTTTACTCCTACTGTCCTACAAAACACTGCATAAAGCATAACCCCTAATAAAAAATTGTCTTTTTACTTTTTTCCTTCGCCGTCGCCACAGAAAGAAGTGACACACACAACGCCAAATCAGTGATTTCAATCACCTCAACGCCGTCGATGTAAGTCACTGATTTATAAACCTGAAAGCCCAAAAAATTTTAAAAAATATATTTAAAAGGAAAAAGAAAAAGAAAAAATGAAAATAGAAAATGGAATATTACGCTGACACCATAAAACCACAGCTCAGCAAAAAGAAGTCCTCTCTCTCTCTCTTTCTTCAAACTTCTCTGAAACATTACCGATGTCCACCGCAACCGTCGCCAAATCCACTTAAGCTGTCGCTGAGTCTGTCAACTTCCTTTTGTGTTGAAATTATTATTGGTTTTTTGTTCCGTACATGGCGGAGGTGGACGACGTCGTTTCGAAGACGTTCCGAGCTCTTGTCGAGAGCGCGGACCGTAAATTCGCACGTGTCCGGGACTTCCCGTCATACGGACGAGCACAAGGCCAACACTTTTTCCAGAAAGTCTTCAAAGCCTACATGCGGTTATGGAAATACCAGCAAGAGCATCGAACCGAGCTTGTCAAAGCAGGTCTGAACCGGTGGGAGATTGGCGAGATCGCCGGTCGGATTGGCCAGCTGTATTTCGGCCAGTACATGAGGACGAGCGAGGCTAGGTTTCTGGTGGAAGCGTATGTTTTCTATGAAGCGATTCTGAAGAGGAGGTATTTTGAAGGGTGTAAAGTGAAAGATCTTGGTGTCCGGTTTAAGGAGTTGAGATTTTTCGCACGGTTTTTACTCGTTTCGTTGATTTTGAACCGGACCGAGATGGTGAAAGTTGTCGTCGAAAAGCTCAGAGCTCTTGTTGATGATTGCAAGGCTAATTTTCGGGTAAAAAGAGAATTTACTTTCTTTGTTGTGGAATTTCAAGATGAATTTTTATTTATTTGGATTTGCTTGTTTTCTTATGCTTTCTTTGGCTCCTAAAGGAAATTAAAAAAAATGTTGTTAATTATGTCAAATTAAAAGAGAAAATTTAGGTATTATTGATTATTATTGATTACCATTATAATTACCATATTTTCAAATGATAGAACTCAATCTTTTTTTTTTTTTTAAATAAATACCAAAATAACATTTAGGTGACTTCGCTGAAGAAATATAAGTCGAATTTTCATGAAAAATATCTAAGTTAATGGATTTGCTAGCTTTGTTTTCTTTAATCCTCATTTTCCTCTTCTTTTTTACCTCATTTTTGCTGTATCCTGTTTAGTGCTTTGCAATAAAATGGAAAGGAAAAAGAATTAGGCTTTGAAATGAAAATCAGTTATCGCATATTCGGAACATCGTTAATCTGTTTGATAGAAATAATTGAGCAAAGAATTTAGGATAGATCATGTTCCCGTGGTTTTTTATGTCTATTTCTTGGTCTATTCTTATAAACCTTATTCATTTTTGTGTAAGAATGGAATGGTTTTGCATTTCTTAGGTGGAGTTAGATTTTTATTTTGCACTTTCACCATTTAAAGAAAAATAGGTAACTCTTTCTTATAGAGTAGGTAATCAAAGTATTTGAAGTGCAAAATTGTTGGAATATATTGGTTTGAATTGATGAATGTGAATGCATCGTTTCCTCCCTTTCCATTCAGTAATTATGGCTGTTGAGTGCTCTGCTTTGCATTAGAGGATGGTGAAATATTATGTAGTGATATTTTAGATTTTAGATGGATATTTTACACTTTTGGGTTTGTTGCCTTGTAGAAAATGTTGGCAGCTACTGATCAAGGCATATTTTTTTTCAGGAAACAAACTTTAAAGAGTGGAAGCTAGTAGTACAAGAAATTCTCCGCTTTATGAACGTTGATACAACTTTTACAATTACAAGTGCCAGGCCAGTTAGGTACCGTGCTATTTTTGACTGTCATCCAAATTCGGTTCCATATGTGGCTCGATTCCATGCAAAGAAGGTTCTAAAGTTTCGAGATGCAATCCTGATGAGTTATCACTGGAATGAGGTGAAAGCTATTTTTGTTTGTCTGATCATTGATTTTTGAGATCGTCCAAAGTTAGCCGTAACCTGCCAATTGAGATTTTAGTAATCTGTCATTCTGTTGTCATTTTTAGGTTAAATTTGCAGAACTTACTCTGGATGCATATAGAATGCTGCAATGTTTGGAGTGGGAGCCTAGTGGATCATTTTACCAAAAGCATCCAGCTGAACCGAAGGAGAATGGTGTTGCAGTTGATTATTCTGGAGCTTCTGGACTAATAGATATGAATTTGTCTGCCGACATGATGGATCCAACTTTACCTCCAAATCCTAGGAAGGCTATCCTGTATCGACCGTCTGTAACACATTTGATAGCAGTGAGTCATAAAGTCCTGTTTATTTGAACTTGCTACTGTAAAAGTTTTCTGTTACTAGGAGACAAGTATGCTAGTGCATTTTTTAGATTGTTTCAGGTGGCTTATCTAATTGCGTTTTTAGGCTATCAATGACATAATCTTCTTAGTTCTTATGGCTATAATATTTCTTTTTTTAAACAGGAATGGAACAAAAAGAAAAGAAAAAAAGCATGCATGCTCCTCAGGAATTTGATACCTAACATTAATTTACTTTTATGCACCTTAGTCGTCAAGGCATATGTTATTTTATTTTTAATTTGTTGTCTGTGTGAGTTAAGCTTTATTTTAATCACATTATTATGTTGGATATAGATATTGTTAGATTGTAGAGTATTAGGCATAATATCTACGTAAACCAATAACTAATTATCCGTAATTCAATGAAAACTGTACCCAAATTAGATGGATCTGGCCATTAATAATTGGTTGCTAGCCTGCTAAAATAGTATATCTACTCTTTTTACCTTATATGTATTTTTTACATAGTCTTTTGTATGGATATAATCATCATGGATGAGTTTGGGCAGGTTATGGCAACAATTTCCGAGGAGCTCCCTCCAGAGAGCGTTATGCTGGTTTATCTATCAGCCTCAGGTAATTTTGCTTCCACATCATTGCTATCTGATTTTTGTTTCCAAGTAATTTGAATGTTTTTGTTCTTCCCAAGTTGTTGACACTGTGATGCATATGCAGGGAAGTCTGGTCATAGTAATGCTTCTCCGGTAGAAACTTCAGGAGGATCTAGGCGAACAACAAAAAACAAGCTTGCTTCTCACAATTCCCTAGAACAGAATTTCCCTGCACCTGAATCCCACATTAATGGCAAGAAAGGGTCTAGTGACTATTATGATGATTATCTGTGGTTAGGTCCTAAAGGAAATAGTGGTAGGTAGCTATAACCATATTTAATACTATATGCTATCTTTAGCTTTTATTCTAAGGTTTTTGTGGATTGAAACTCCTGAATTTTATTTAGCATGTTGCAATTAATCACAAGTATGATTTTCTGGGATTTGCAGGTTCAAGTAACCTTTATCCTGGTGATATAATTCCTTTCACCCGAAGACCTCTTTTCTTGATCATTGATAGTGACAGCAGCCATGCATTCAAGGCAGGTTTGTCATAACTTTTGTATGCCTGTCGGTATCCTATATTTTTCTGTATATAAATGTAGTTTGTGGCAGATTTTTTCCCATATGCAAAAAGTGACATGTTATAGTACTCTTTGGTGGGGTATTTGGAAGAATTTTGTTGTATTCTTTATATTAGAAAGTTTACAACTTCAAATCACTTAGGCTTGGTTTGGTTGGTTCTTTTGCTTTTTGCTTTTTTCAATAGAAAATGAAGACAAAAAATAAAAATAAACTTAAAAAGGGACATAGCAAAAAGCAAAAAGTAAAAGCACCAACCAAACGGAGCCTTATGTTATTCTTTTTTTTTCCTATACCTGCTATGTGATTACCTATGGCATTCATGATATGAAGTTGGATTAAAAGGATGAAAAAAGCAATTTCAAGATTTGAGAGGACATAAAACCTTCAGACTGGTATGTGCTAATAATGAAGTAGATTGCTTTTATTGCGACTTGCAAATCAAGTTAAATTCGTTGCAATTCCTTTTGTAGATGAAATGATAGCTGGTCAACTTAACAGAAGGAATGAGTTTTAACCTGATTATGATAAAAAAAAGGCAAAAAGCAATTTGAAGGTTTGAGAGGATATTTAAAACCTCTAGACAGGTCTGTGATCATGAGGTAGATTGTTTCTGCTGCAATGTGCAAATAAAGTCCTTTCTATTGCAATGCCTTGTGGAGATGAAAATAATTGATAGTTACTAAACAGAAGAGATGAATTTTGCCCTTTGTATGAAATGTCAATGGCTAGGCTTCATTTTGTTCTGCTGCTTGATTTCAGGGTTTCATGTATCTTTCCCAAGTAGGAGGTTAACCTACATCTAAAATGCTCTTTCACTATCAAACTGAGATTAAAAAAATAAAAAGTAATTAATTAATCAATTAAAATTTATGACACCCTCCTTTGAGAATTGAACCGCTTGGAACATGTTTGTTTAGAGACGGGTGTTAGCTGTTAGGTTCCTTTACTGTTTTTGGAAGAGGTGGGGGGTCTGCTAAGTTGAAAATAACTTTATTAAACTTGTAGTTAACTGTGCATTTGTACTAGTTGTGATGGGAGACTTTGCGGAATCTCACCTTGCTTTCATCTGAATTCTTATTTATCTACGTGGTTGCTTATAGCATAAATTACTACAAATTTCAGGTCTTACATGGTGCAGAAAGGGGAGAGAAAGCCGGCCTACTGCTTTCGCCATTAAGGCCAATGTTCAAGGACCCATCTATTGCTGATATTACTCAGAATGGAAGTCAGTTTACCTTTTTCTTGACTGCTCCTCTACAAGCATTCTGCCAAATGGTTGGCTTCTCCTTGACTGATAGTGATACGGTAAGTTGATTTCAACATATTATGAGTTTTTTAATAGTACATTCTCTCCATGCCAGTTGGTCTTACTTTCAGCTGCTTCTACTTTTCTATTTTTAGGAAGTTCTAAATAGTGCTGAAAACTTACTATCTACTGCTTTCTCCAAGTGGGAAGTGATTCTCTGCAAATCACCTAGCCTGGATCTGGTTTGGGCGCAGGTTTTATCTGATCCTTTTTTAAGGCGGCTTATTGTTAGGTATTTTATCTTTCATCTTTATCTCAGTAGCTTTTGTGTGTGTAAATGTACTTAAAATAAATTTTGCTTGGTTTAATGGAGGCATGCTGGGACAAAAAATCTACTTACTGATATCATAGAACGGTGAAAGGTTTTCACCGTTTCTCTTATAAGACCCCATTGCACTTGTTGACCCTGGTTTGGGTTGTCGTTGCTCATTATTGTCAAGTGGATGTGGTGGGGAGATGCTGCTAAGCATAGGTGATTTGTATAATATATTGGTGTTCATCATCTTTAGGTCTGGTCTTTACAATTTCAGATGCTTAGAAGAACAAATGAAATGACAGTATCTTGTGATTTTTCTCCAGATTCATATTCTGTCGAGCTGTGCTCTCTGCCTTCTGTCCTCGAGAAGGAAGCGATCAATATCTGCCTGTTTGCCTACCACAACTTCCTAATTCTCTCTCTCCCAATTCTGATGCTGTGCAGTCTTCGGTCATCCAGCTTGCAGATCATCTGAAAGTTACCGACTGCTTTCACTTCGACAACACGTAAATAGGACCATAAGTTGATGAAGTCTGTAATATAACATTGTGGTTTTCTGATAGGAAGTTTCATTCAATCTAAGATTTTATGATACAGAGGCTCCTGAAATTTCACCACCAGTTGGCCTGTCTGGGTACTCAAAAAGGTATACATCATTGCTAAGTGGGGCTTGAGCCAGGCATTGTCGAGGGTATTTGATCGAGCATCCTTGCTTCAGCTTCTTTAATTGCATGTGCACGCCTCCCTGGTTTAACCATCCGTGTGCCGATACTGGTTTGTGTTTGAACATAGCTGGGTAGAGTCTTGAGGAGCCCATTGATGCTTAAGGTAATTGCTGTCATGCATGCTAGAGCCTTTTTCGTTAGTTCTCTTTTTTATTTTTTTGGTCCCTTCTTTTTTTTTTGGACAACTTTGTAAAAGAAAAATGAGATAGGCTAGTGGGATTAATTGTTTTTTTCTTCCTCCCTTTGAAAAGTTTGATTTACGTGTATTCTTTACAATTAATGAAATCAAATCTAAACATACTAATATTATTAGTTTTATCTTTTTAAATGAAACAATCCTAATTCCGTTGTAAGACTCATTAGGACTTTGTGATTATGAAAATGTTTTTTTTTTTTTTTTTCATTTCAAATTAAATGTTTGCTTTTTAACTAATACTAAAATTATTTAAAAACGATTATCTTGTAATTTTTATCTTCCGATGTTTTTAATCCAAAAAAAGAGTTTTCTTTAAGTTAGTGATTATTCAAATAAAAAAAATTAACATTTGAATGAAAGGGCAATATTCAGAAACTATTTTTGAATTTAGGAAAGTAAATATTATTTTAAAATTATTCAAGACAGAAACGATAAGAAAAACATGAATCGAGTTTAACATTTTAAAATGTTTGTTTATTAAAATTCATTTAGACTTATTTAATATAAATGTATTATAAAAATATTGAAAATTTTTTATTTTAATAGTTTAATAACTTTAAATATAATTTTAAATTAAAATTAAATAAGTAATTGTTTAATAATAAAATATTATCACGAATAAGGCCGGTCAGGATTTGAAAATTTTTTCCCAAGGACAGCCAGGTCCAGTCCGAAGGTAGGGACTACGAAGGGAATGAGCCAGAAGTGGGCCGTGCATTAGGGCTAAACTCCACTGCTGGCCTTTGTTATATTTACTATTCCTCATCTCAGAAACGACAACTCTATCCCTTTTCAGAACTTGAAAATTCCTAAAATTACCCAAATAAATATGCTTTTTAAGCCATTTTGCTTTTCCGCCCAAACCGAAAAATCGTTCCACCCTCTTAGTTTACCACTGTCTTGATTTGTTTGATTTTGGGTTTTCAGTAACTGGACAAATGGTTGCCGCCAGAGCAAAATTACTTGCAGTTTAGAAGAGCTCCGATCCCGATCCCACTGAAGAGTCTAAATCAGTTTTTCGAATCCCAATCGCCTAAGCTAAAGCCAAAAAAAAAAAAGCCCAAAACTCGAAAGCTATGGTGGTTGCTAGTTCTAATCCTCACAACAAGGAGATGCAAATCCGTAGAAGAATAAACAACATGTAACTCTCTCTCTCGCTTTCTCTATTGCTGTTTAGCATTACTAAAGCAAAAAATTAATTGCAGTTCTTTTTTTTTATATAATTTTTTTGAAATAGATTCAATAAAAGAGAAGAGGATTTTCCATCCCTGAGGGAATACAATGATTATTTGGAAGAGGTGGAAGACATGAGTAAGTTCTGCTAATTCATTATCCCAAACTATTTGGGTTTTTGTTAAACAATCTAATATGGGGTTTTGGACAGTTTTTAAATTGATTGAAGGAATAGATGTTCAAGCTATTGAAGAACAAATTAGTAAGTATCAGCAAGAAAATGCTGAGCAGATTATGATCAATCAAGCTCGGAAGGTACCTTTCAGGAACCCTCCCCTTTTTTTTATCTCTCTCTTTGGTTTCTTCGAGGGTGATTGAGGTTTATAACAAAATCATTAACTTTTCTTTTTACAAAAAAAGATTTCATGAAAGATTTACTTTAGAAATTACTAATATCAGCTTTTTTGAACTTTAGAAATTACTAATATCAGCTGTTTTGAACTACAGGCCGAAGATTTAGCTGCAGCTATGGCAGCAAGCAAGGGACTTCCGATTCAGGCTGATACTGATGCGGTGAGAGAATTCTATTAGTTGTTGAATTCATTTCCTACATAGAAAGCATGCATCATCCGTTGGCCTTGTGTTGTTAGAACAATGCCTTGAATTGCCAAGTATTTAAAGTTGCAGTCAATCTCTTAATCTAATTCATGTTGCTACCTGCTTAGAGCAAAATGATTAATAGCCGGTTTAAATGTATGTGGTGACAGAATTCTATTAGTTGTTGAATTCAGTTCCTAAATAGAAAGCATGCATCATCTGTTGGCTTGGTATTGTTAGAACATTGCCATGAATTGCTAAGTATTTGAAGTTGTAGTCAATCTCTTAATCTAATTCATGTAGCTACCTGCTTCGAGCAAAATGATTAATAGCTGGTTTAAATGTTTGACATTTAGATAGATGGTGCCGGTATATTTTACTGCTTTCTGGGTTTTTTCGCTTCCAAAGTTATTTATTTAATTTGTTTCCTATGACTGGAAAGATGGGAAAATATGTACTTTTGGAAGTTTATTTTGTTGAACCTTAGTATTCATGTTTTTGACATCAGGTTAACCATATGCTAGTTTTGTTTGGACATTTTCAGCTACCCTAATTTACAGGGCTTACGATAGAAAACTGATATTTCCTTCTTTATTTCTATTTTTTCTCGAAATAATGTCTATAGACCATTTTTGATTTATTGTACTTCAGGTTCTAATTAAGATTCGAGACAACTTTGACGTATTTAGGTGTGAAGTTGCTTAAATGGGTTATTAGTGCTATATTTTTGGAGTGGATGCTTCTTAGCATCCATGTTTCACAAATAACTTTTCTTCTGCGGCTCGCAGAAGCAAAAATAATGGGATATTTTGACAGATAGACTTTTAAATTTCTTATATTCTATTGGTTTTAAACTGATTGTTTGTTTACTGAAACAGGCCCTAAACCAGAGCTCTCAAGCAGGGTTTGGTGCTGGTGGCCAAGGTCAATATGCACCTACAGTTGCTGGAGGGCAGCCACGACCAACAGGCATGGCGCCACAACCAGTGCCACTTGCCAGTGGGCTGGACATGCATGGTTATGCTCTTGATGATGAGGAAATGATGAGGCTCCGAGCAGAAAGAGGTGGAAGAGCAGGAGGGTGGAGTATAGAGTTGAGCAAGAGGAGGGCCCTGGAAGAAGCCTTTTCAAGCATTTGGGTTTGATGTTCTTGATGAATACCAGTTTTGGCTCCATTTTACATGATTAAAAACTCCTGTCAAATATAGCTTGGGTTTCTGCTGAATCTTAAATTAAATTGTCAAAGGCTCATCACCCTTTATCAATCACAGGCCAATGCCATTGCCGGGGTGACTTGTAAGGGGGTTGAATGTAGCCAATTTCTATTGTTCTGATTCTTCTATTTCAGGCATACATGTAGTCTCTGGAACACTGTTGACCTCTTCATGGCAAACTGAACTCTATAACTTTGTCCAACAACAGGAAAATCTAAATTTGTTTGGGCCAAAAAAATTGTCGTGAAGCATGTCAAAAAAGGCTACTATTAACTTTGTCTTATTCCTTTATTTGGGACTCTCGAAATGGTGTGAATATGTTTTTTTTTTACCACCGTGTTTTTTTAATTAATTTAGGATTTTAATCTTTTTATTTTTGTGATGGAGTCAAGAAAATTGAAGAACAGAAATTATTTCTTTTAATAAATTAATTAACTAAAAAATGATTAAATATAAGTAAAAATTTATAACTTTTGTTACGATAGTTATTTTTTTCCGTAATGCTTTTTTTCAATTATTAATATTTATTCTATATTAAAAAATAAATAGCAAAAATAGCCCCTAAAAGAAATTTTACTCGACTCCATGCGCTAATGCCCGTTAACAATCCAAGCCCCATCCCAAGAGCTAAAAGCGTTTCCTGTCAACCAATAAGAATCGACTATCCAACCCAGACGATCCGTGTCCTCACCTATAATCTAATCCAAACCGTCCATTTCGGCTGAGAAAACACAACTTGTGGCAGTTTTCACCGTCAGATTCCGTACAAAAGAAACACAGGGACAATAAATCGTAACCGTCCGATTCACTTTAGTTAGCCGATCCCCACACCTTCTATAAATAACTCTTAACCGCTCTTCTTTTCAAACTTTTAATTTCGCATACGTTGAGAGTTCCAAGATCAGGAAATAAAAAAAAAGAAAACCGTTTTCAACTAATCTCAAGGTATGCTCCCTTCTCTTTAATTTAGAAAAAGAAAATTTTAGGGTTTCTTAGTTTATGGTTCATCTATTTGGTTTATGCTTTTTTTAAAAAAAATTTAGCATTAATTCAATTAGTGTATATATAGAAGGGATTTAGTGGTAAGATAGAGTTGGTTTGAATTTAGAAGTAGGGTGATTTTTCTGGGTGTCGTTGAAGTCGATTATTTGTTTTAATTCGGATTTTCATGATTTTAGGGTTTTTTAAGTTTGCTTTCGTGGATGATTAGGGAATTTTTGGGTGATTGACTCATGTAATTAACCGAGATCTGGCTTTTCCTGTGTTGCGTTTCTTTGATGAGAAAAATGTGGATAGAAAGGTTTAATAAAATTGAAAAATATTCCATTTATTTGCAGAGATGGCCCGTACCAAGCAAACTGCTCGTAAGTCAACTGGAGGAAAGGCTCCTAGGAAGCAACTCGCTACCAAGGTCACCTTTTTTTCCTTTAAAAGAAAAGTTAAATCAATTTTAGGTCTCGTGTTGTTATTAACTTTTGATCTGTATCTGTTGCATATCAGGCTGCCCGTAAGTCTGCCCCAACCACTGGTGGTGTGAAGAAGCCTCATCGTTACCGTCCTGGAACTGTTGCCCTTCGGTTAGTCTTCTTTTTTTTTTTTTTGGGCATATTTTTTCTTTACATTCTAATAAAGTTCTTGTTTTTTTTTTTTGTGAGGTTATTTCATTATATGGGCTTATTGATTTTTATGCTGTCCGTACAGTGAAATTCGTAAGTACCAGAAGAGCACTGAGCTACTTATCAGGAAATTGCCCTTCCAGAGGCTTGTCCGTGAAATTGCCCAGGACTTCAAGGTACTGAAAGTGTTTCTTTTTTTTTTTTTTAATTTTTTTTGGTCTTGACAATAGATTTTCTTTGCTTGGTAGTTGACAATGTTTTCTGGGGATTTGTTCGCAGACTGATTTGCGTTTCCAGAGCCATGCTGTACTGGCTCTCCAGGAAGCTGCAGAGGCCTACCTTGTGGGTCTTTTCGAAGACACCAACTTGTGTGCCATCCACGCCAAGCGTGTTACAATCATGCCCAAGGACATCCAGCTGGCTCGTCGGATCAGGGGCGAGCGTGCTTAAGTGCCAAGTTCGATGATCTGACTTAGAATGCAGAAATTCTTGTTCGTTATTAGGGAATGTTGTTTTTTTTTTCCGTTGGGGGTGGATGGGTATGTACTTTTGTTAGGTAGGATGGTAGCGGTAGGTTTTATGTGATGTGATGTGATGATGATAAATCGGTAATGGTGGTGTCTAATATTTGTTAATGGACAGCTTCGTAAAGTCTGGGTATATTCTTGCTTAGCTGTGTTTTTTTTGGACAAAATATGCTCTGCCACTTGGCTTTGAACATCTATTAATTATTTGGCAAACTAATCGAGTTTAGTTATGTTAATTCTATAAGTGCTTCGATGCGGTCTTTAGTTATGTAAGGGCTATGAGCATCTATTTACTATTTGTTAATGGCTGCTGCTAAATGAATTCATCTGTGGGAAGTGTTTATGTATGGTGCAAAATTATTGGCTTAGTATTCAACGGGCTGGATCATCACAAACGTGTGCTTGTGGACGCTGGACTTGTATGAACCATACCAATAACAAAATATTTCATGTTGAGAAGAATTAGGAGTGGGTCAAGCTTGTTCTTTTCATTTCTTTTTTCCTCCCTGGAGTTAAATTGGGCAAATCAATTGGCAGTAGTGGATTTTCTCTACCTTACACTATTTTCAAGGCATTAAAACTACAGTAACGCTTTTATATTGTTTTTAACTTAATTGAGTTAATTTTGACTAAATGACATGATTGATGGATTTTCACATCCATTAATCATAAGCTTGTTGATGCTTTTATAGCATTAAAAAAATTGCAGTGGTTTAATAGCATAAAGAGGCGTATTGATGATGATATTAGCCAATTTTGGAATTTGGCAAAAGGAAAAGGGAAGAAAAAAACAGAGATTTTGTAAACGGAAAACAGAACCGTATTTCTAGCGAACCTTAACTGAAGGTGTTTTCAAGTTAGAAGAAAAGCAGACATGGTCCGGTACTTCAGACTTTTACCGTTACAATGATCAGGACATAACAAGAAATAGACAATTCCAGTGCCCCCCATTTTCTTCCACAAACTCAGAAGGTCCAAAAAAAAAAAAAAAGAGCGCATCACTCCTAAGCAAAGCAACAATTATTCCAATTTCTCTTCTCTTTATTCTCTATTTTGTCTCATGCTTTTTCTTCGCTTTTCCCTCCAAACCACCCCCTTCAACTCTCCCTCTCTTCTCCCCTTATTTCAAATTCCATTCCCCTTCTATTCTCTCCAACGTTATTTCACTCTCACCCGCCATCCCCTTCCACCTAAGCCCTTCTTCTCTGCCCGCGATGTCTATGTCTGCAACGTCAGGATTGGACGGTTGTCACGGGCCGGTAACATTAAAGTGGCCCGCCAACTGTTTGATAATATGCCAGCTCCCGACGTCGTCTCATGGAACTCTATCATTACCGCCTACTGGCAAAATGGGTGTCTCCAAGAATCAAAGACACTTTTTGGTTTAATGCCTGGAAGAAATATACTCTCCTGGAACTCTATGATCGCCGGTTGTGTTGAAAACGGAAGCGTAGATGAAGCTTTCGAGTACTTTAAAGCAATGCCCGAGAGAAATATCCAGTCGTATAATGCGATGATATCGGGGTTTGTGAGATGGCAGAGGGTAAATGAAGCTGGAATGCTTTTCCAAGAAATGCCTAGAAAGAATGTGATATCTTATACGGCGATGATTGATGGGTATTTGAAGATAGGGGAGGTTGAGAAGGCGAGAGCTTTGTTTGATGGGATGCCGCGTAGGAATGTTGTTTCTTGGACTGTGATGATTAGTGGCTATGTTGATAATGGCAAGTTCGATGAAGCTAGGGACTTGTACGAGCGGATGCCTAATAAGAATATTGTTGCTATGACGGCTATGATATCGGGGTATTTTAAGGAAGGGAGGGTCGAGGATGCAAGGGCCTTGTTTGATGGAATTCGTAATAAGGATCTTGTGTGTTGGAATGCAATGATAGCAGGTAATGTTAATTCCAATTCGTTTATCTACTATAGAGTGTCTATGTTGGTATGGTTGATGATTATATAGTGACCAAAAATGGAATACACTTGCACTAGTTGTTGTTGCTCTGAATCAGAATTATGTACCATAGTTGCATTATGTTCCTTTCATTTCTTTAGGGAAAATGCGTAGTGTGTAAAAGTTAATGCAGAATATAGATTAATATGGGTTTGCAAACATCTAAGACACATATGTCATAGTTGATTTGGAGATTTTGCTTTAGGTCTCAGAAGGCAAAAGATTTTTTCTTATCTTAGAAAGAATAATTTTTCCCAGAAAATAAAAAAGCCAAGAAGAATTACTTCTTTTCAAAAGTATAAAACCATAAGGTGATTATGATGTGCTTTCACATATTGCAGGTTATGCACAAAATGGGATTGGAGAGCAGGCACTGAAGTTGTGTTCAGAAATGGTTAGGCTGGGTATCCAACTAGATAATTTGACCCTTGTTTCTGTTTTGACTGCCTGTTCTGGTCTTGCATCTGTTAAGGAAGGCAGGCAAATGCACGTGCTTGTTATAAAAAATGGGTTTGAATTGGATCTTTCTTTGTGTAATTCCTTGATTACAATGTACAGTAAGTGTGGTAGCATCCTTGATGCTGAGCATGCTTTTAGACAAATGAATGGAGCAGGCCTTGTTTCATGGAATACAATCATTTCTGCTTTTGCCCAGCATGGTTTCTATGAAAAAGCTATTGATTTCTTCAACCAGATGGAAGTGGTTGGTTTTAAACCAGATGGGGTAACCTTTCTTAGTTTATTATCTGCTTGTGGTCATGCAGGAAAGGTAAATGAAAGCATGAAATTTTTTGACTTAATGGTAAAAAAATATGGGATTTACCCCAGACCTGAACATTATTCTTGCTTGGTTGATATACTTAGTCGAGCAGGTCAGCTGGAAAAAGCATCCAAGATAATTCGAGAGATGCCTTTTGAAGCTGATGCTGGGGTCTGGGGTGCTCTTCTAGCTGCCTGCAGTGTTTACTTGAATGTAGAATTAGGGGAATTAGCAGCAAAGAAAATTGTGAAATGGAATCCAGAGCATTCTGGTGCTTATGTTGTTTTGTCTAATATATATGCTGCAGCTGGCATGTGGGATGAAGTCACAAGAGTGAGGCTACAGATGAAAGACCAAGGAGTAAAAAAGCAATGCGCATATAGCTGGATGGAGATTGGTAATAAGGTGCACCACTTCCTTGGAGGGGATATCTCTCATCCAGACACCAACAAGATTCATTCAGAGATTAAGAGTATTAGTTTACAAATGAAATCCCTGGTTAATATTGCAGAAATTGATTTGTTGTGGAGTGGTTTTGGTTGACATATATCTCAATATGAGTTATAATTCCTGATAGAAAACCTGAACTCATTTGGCTAAAACCAATGGGCATATCTTATGGCAAGAGAAAAATATTGCAGGTTCCAATGCATCACTAGTCATAGAATTTCAGGAGAAACAGGGAAGCGACAATATTTCATAAGTTGCAGAATGTCACCACACTTACTGAGGTAGAACCTTGTTATGACAAGTTGTTAAACATAGCCTGTTGTTTCTCTACTTATCTGCTATCAACACCTTGGGCTGCTCTGTTTGTGATTGTGACTGAAGTTGTTTATTTGTTAAATCAATGAATTATCAACTCTTTAGTGCTATAAATTTGTGCAGAGACACTAGAAGATTATTCTTTCACAACCAATGAATCATTAAATATTTCTGCCTATGCCACAAATTTGGTGATGTTGGAGACATTGATCCTAACACTTTCAGTCATACTGAGAAGGCATGTGGTGTAACTCCACCCCTATATGTTATATGATAGGAATGGAATTGATGGTGAGTATTTATGCTGGAAGATAATGCAATAGAGTACTGCCTGAGTCATTTGTGGCACCTGTGACCAATGTCTTAAAATTGATCTGACCAATGAAGGGACACCTTTTTTGTATTAGCTATATGTGGCCCTTAAACGCTTTGGCTCATACTCCGGACAATTAGTTGTGTACCATCTAGGTTAGGTAGGATGGACTATAATCTGCCTGGTGGTGCTGGTGCTTCCGTGGATTGTGACATAATTTGCAGCATCAGTAGAGAACTTTCTGGCAGGGATTACCTAGGGGCTCTTTCATAGCTGTGCTGAAGGATGAATACATGACAAGTGACTACTTCAGCAATTAGTTGAATAATCCGATGAGATAGGACTAAGTGACTGGTATACTCACATGCTATAGAGGAGGAAAACTAGGATCCACTGCAGTTCCATGAAGAAATCAGTAAGATTAATGATCTGCTTTTCGAATTGTATTTCCAGAAGTTGAACATGCTTTGCATTGTTGATTGGTCAAGTCAGTAAGCGGTTTACATACTAGTTTTTCTTTATTCCATTTTAGTCAACATATTATAAGCCAATTATTGGACAGATTAAGGTGAACATTTATGTGATAAAATGCAAATCATATGTCCAATTTTGATTTTTCCATTTGTCTTATGAGGATTACAAACTACTTTTTACTCTATTAATCAGTTGAGAATTATGTAAACTTTGCCAGGGATTACTTACAGATTGCTTTGCCCAATTTTCACTTACTTTCATTTCAACTTGATATTCCTACATACTTGAAGAGGGGAAAACATGAGCAAATGCAAATCTCATTTTTCTATTATAAATTTATAACACTATCGGTAATGGATAGTCACCCTTCAATCTCAGTGCATGAGACCACATTGTAGTCATCTGAATCAGCTGTATATTTCCAAAGACCCTGTAACAGATTGCTGCCGGTTTTTTGTCCTTGAGATACGTTAAACACTTAGACATAGTTCCACTTTAAGTTTCTTTTCATCTAGGGAGGCCAAAGGGAGAGACACAGAGAATCAGGCACGTCCGAAATGTGAGCAGAAAATTAGAAAGAGTTTTCAAGTAGGTATTGATGCCATGGAAAGATGACGCTGGTACCACCAAGCATTTGTGATTTTGTTGATTGTAATTAGTAGGCAATGCAGCTTTTTTCCCTACAATGCATCTCCTTTGTAATTGTCTTGTCAAAAAGAAGACAAAATTTTACCTAAATGAACTGTCAGAAGTGGGATTTGAACCCACGCTCTCTAACGAGAACCAGAACTTGAGTCTGGCGCCTTAGACCACTCGGCCATCCTGACATGATTGTTATAAAAGCTCTCTAAAAACCATTATGTATAATAAACTTTCAAGTAAGCGATTTACAGCCTAATAAACAGTTGTAAACATGAACTAAAACTTAATTTAATTGATTTATATAATTATTTTTTAAAAATATTATTTAATAAATTTGAAATTCTTTTTTTTTTTTCGTAACATTTTCTTTTATTCTCAAATTGTAATATTTTTGTATAAAAAAAAATCATAAATATGATAGGTGGTCATTTCAGCTGACGTTGTATATATATAGTAACTTCTCAAAATAACAATATATTTTTATCCATTGCAATCTGAATTACTTGTTAGCCAACAAATTTTCCCATTTCCGTAAGCAGATATCATGTCCAAAGCCAGCGACATTGTTTCATAGATTCCTTGATTTGGTTATTTGGAAGTTGGAACAATTTTTGGAGACCAGGTCAGCCGGCTAAAAGTAGCAAAATCAGCAGCCAAAAATGAAACAACAGAAAGCAAGCGACCAATAAAACAAAGTCCAAACTTCCAATTTTCCAAACCACCCTTCCTTCTTTGATCCTTCCAATTTTCTCATTGCGGGAAGGATTCTAATTCTTAGCTTTGATTTCATTGGAATACCCACCAACTTGGGCTGCTCCTAGATTTCATCGTTTCTCATTTGTTTTTTCCAAATTTAGAAGATTCTTATACCATCCATGACTTATTTCTGCTTATCAATTTCCACCATTATTTTTTATTTTTTTTAATTAGATTTAGTCCCCGTATTTTTCTCCAATAGAACTTTTCTTGTTCAACATTGTTCCTCTAGCTTGATTTAACCATTTTTAGACATTTACAATTAGCAGCTTCTGTCTTGTTTCACGCTTTTGTTGTTTTATTTGTATCTGTAATTAGAAAACGGAGTCGGTAACTTACCAATCACCAAATCTTGTTTATTTTTAGAACTATTGGTCAATTGAGTTTTTCAAAAAGAAGAACCCCTTCATTGCTTGTAACATCCGAAAACATTCTCTGCCTCAACATATGACAAGGGAAGTCTCTTGACATTATCAGAGATTATTCCCAAGTCTTTCCTGTCTCTCCAAACAAACCCTCCTCAAAACATTTCCAATTCAATCAAGGTACATCAATGGCATTTAGCATTTTGTTTTTTCTTGGACATGTTTTTGTTTTCATGATCAAAGTCTGGAACTTTTCATAATATTTGCTTAGAATATTGTCTAACAAGATGATCTTTTTTGTGTGTGAATTTTGTGATAGAAAAGGATTTTTGGGGTTTCAGAGACACAGCAAGAAATGGGGCAGCTTGAGGAGCCATCGTCTGCCAAAGGAGAACAAACGGATAAAGCGCTTGATGAGGGCGAAGGGATGAAATCGGCTCAAGAGGTGAATAAGAGGTCTAGAGCGATGGCCTCAGGGAAGGTTGCAGACATCCATACAGAACTTACAGCGGTGAAGAAGTCATTAACTGGTGCAATTGAAGAATTGAAGAACAAGGAGAGGTACATTGAATACTTGAAAAGTGAACTCGGAAAGGCTAAAGAGTTGGAGGTGAAATTGGCAGAGAAAGAAGCTGCATTCAATAAGTTGAAAGAAGAGTTAATTAAGGAGCAAGACTTTGAGTCTGAAGCAATGGAATTGTTGTCTGAAGGTAAGACGAGAATTCATGAACTAGAGGAAGAAATTGAGAAAGGGAAGGAATCTGAAAAGAAGATATATGATTCATTTGTTGCTCAATCCAAAGAGTCTGAACAAACCAAGATTTCACTTGAAGAATCCAGGCAGGAAATCAAGTCTCTCCTTGAAAATCTGGAGAAATTGGAAGGCTCATCCGAGGCTGCATCTCAGAGTTCCGTGGGGGATAACCATTCTTTGATAGATAGCCTTGAGGCAGAGCTCCAATTGACAAAAGAGAATTTGGCTCGTGCTCAGGAGGGTGAGAGAGCTTCTTCATTGAAGGCAAAGAGTCTAGCTGAGGAGGTGAGCTTGCTAAAATATGAACTCAAGTCTACTACTGAAGCAGAAGAAAATAACCAGAAAGCCATGGATGATTTAGCCTTAGCATTGAAAGAAGTGATAACAGAATCAAACCAAGCCAAGGAGAAACTCTCCTTAACAATGGATGAGCTTGAAAAAACCACAGCGGAAGTACAAAATCTGCAGATGAAGTTGAAGAATGTTGAGGAAACGTATAGCGAAGCAAAGAAAGAAGCTGATCGATTCAAAAACACTTCTGAGAGATTAAGACTAGAAGCTGAAGAAACCCTTCTGGCATGGAATGGGAAAGAGAAAGGATTTGTTGATTGCATTAGGAAAGCTGAATATGAAAGGAATGCTGCACAACAAGAGAGCAAAACATTGCTTGAATCACTTAAAGAGGCTGAAAACATGTACAAAAGGGCCAAGGAAGAGAATCAGAAATTGCGGGACATCATGAAACAGGCTATAAATGAAGCTAATGTAGCCAAAGAAGCTGCAAGCATTGCAAAGGAGGAAAATTCGCAACTCAAAGATGCCTTAGCCGAAAAAGATGAAGCTTTGAATTTCCTTTCCCAAGAGAATGAAAACCTCAAGATTAATGAAGCTGCAGCTTTTGAGAATATCAGGGAGTTGAAGCTATTGTTTTGCGAAGCAACAGCAACAACAACTGCAAAGGATTGGGAAACAGAGGATCAAGAGCAAGGTAAGAAACAAAAAGCAGTGAATTCTGTAGACAAGGAACATAAAGATGAAAAAGAACATACTAAGAAACCAAAGCATCATAAATCCAGCAGCACTTGTTTGAGTCTTAAATTCCCACATTATAAACACAAGGAGGCAGAAGAAGAACCCAAAATCCCACTCAGAGAAAGTGATGAAGATTCAGACTCTGACAACTCTGACCCGCTTAGAGGCTCCATATTTGATGTAGCTGAAACTCCGAACAGTGCAGCAGTTGCGACCCATCACCGGAAAAAGTCTAATTCTTTCTCAACAGATGATGAAGCAATGAATGGTGAGGAGTTTGATCATCTTGATACAGCCCATTTCGATGAAGAAGGTGATAGGAGCTCAAGAAAAAAGAGAGCATTGTTAAGAAGGTTTGGTGATCTTATAAGGAGAAGAAGTTTTCACAAGAAGGAACAACAACCTTTAGAGTAAAAAAAAAAAGATTGATAATCTTTTGTATGTATGACTTCAATTTGTTTGTACACTTGATTGTATGATTTTCATAGTATATAAATTTATTCATATTTTTAAATTCTTGTTTAATTATATTATGCAAATGAATCAACTAAAAAAATAATGAAATTTATTAATAAAATTCTTAAATTTTAATTTTAATAACCAAAATTTATTCTTTAACAACTTCATTTATCAAAAACAGAAGAAAATAAATAAAAATTATATTTTAGTTGTTTCCATATGTGGCCTTGCATCCCATCAACTTAAGTTACGACTATATTTCATTGCATTTTCGGTGTAATGTGATTGAATTTATTGAATCATCAGTTGAATTCAAATGTTAATTTCAAAAATATTTATTCAGTATAAATTTTTTATTGAATTTTTTCAATTACAGTTACAGTAATTTTTTTTAATCATCAGTTGAATTTAAATGTTAATTTCAAAAATATTTATTCAGTATAAATTTTTTATTGAATTTTTTTCAATTACAATTACAGTAATTTTTTTTTAATCATATTTACAATAATTTTTATTACTATTTTTAAATTCATTAAAATCAATTTGACTATCCATCCAAATAAAACTTTAATAAAGCTTGGAATCAAAAACTTTCATGAGTTTACCCTAGAATCCCATCAACTTAATAATATTTTTCAACTCAAATCAAGAAACAACGGGCATGCATTCAGAAAACTGAGGTCAGATTAAAATTAATTTACATCAATTTGATTTATCTAATTCAGTGTAATCTTGCCTAACTTAACAATATTATAATATTATTCTTTTGAAAATTTCATTTTCATTACTTGTAAGTATTAAATTGGTATATTCGGTTTACATCCATATCACATTTCTTATCCACTAGGATGCTTCCCCTAATTGGCAATAATATAGTTGTATAATATTCTTTGGTTTGTACTAATATTCTTCTATACCAGATTTGATTAGTTCCAAATTTTAATATATATTTTTGGCAATAATTAACATGTTAATTACAATATTTAACGTAACTATAATAAAATATTAACTAATAAAATGACATGAACATTTAAAATATAACAATGCTATTATATTTTGGTGTAAATCCAAAATATGAAAAGAAAAACAAAACAAAATGTACCTCTTGATTATCATATGACATTTATATAACAAAATTATAATCATAAAATCTTAAATAAATAAATTTTATTTTAAATATTTTAATTTTTTTATTATGTAATAAATTTAATCTTCATTAAAGTTTTATAAATGTGATTAAATCACTTATAACTCCCACAAAATCAAATGAATCCATCCTATAAGATTGGCTATGATCAAAATTTTAAAAGAATGCACCCTAAATGCTATTATTTTCCAATTTTAAAATTTAGTAATTAAAACATATATGAAATCAAATCTAATTAATTAATCACATCATGCAATAATTACATTGGCCCCACCGTATCCCACCGTCGATCTGATCTAAATTTTTTTCTCAAAAAAAAAAATGTGATCTCCGTGCAAGTCGACGGTTAAATATTTTAATCTTAGGAATTCCCTGAACGGACGCCACGTGTACGAAATCTCTGTCTGCTTGTGCTGCACCGCCATTCCACACAACCGCAACCCAACACAACAGCACCTTTTGATTCTTTTCTCGTCACTTTGCCTACTTAAATGGCATCTGATTCTTCTCCCCTTTCTAATTCTCTTCTCTTTCATTGCTAAAAAAAAAAAAAAATGCAAACCAAATTGTCAAAAGCCAACCAAAAAGCAATGTCTTCAGTGGAGTTAGCAGCATCCCAAGAAAACCAGGAAGAGAGTAACAATGAATGGTTTGATCATTTGCTCAACATGGATCCAACCGTTTCCAACAGTTTGTCACTCTCTGCTGATACTTTCCTGAAAGCTGCCATAGCTCTCAAGAACCAGGTGCGTTGGTTTGTCTATCTTCTTACAATATACAAATATCGTTAACTCGAGAACAAGTTTTCAAGGTTGTCTGAATTATCATGGAGAACTGAGAAGTTTTAGCTAAGGGTTTTTTTGGGGTGTAGGTAGTGGAGGTCACGTGGAAAGGAAGAGGTGGTGGTTATGCCGAGTCGGGTACGGGAATAGACCCGACTATGTACACGGGTCTGCTGGGGACAGCTTTCACTTGCTTCAGATCATACGAGGTAACTGACAATCATCAGGACTTGCTGTTGTCTGCTGAGATCGTTGACACGTGCGCCTCTGTCGCACGTGCCTCCACTAGGTAACTTCTTTCTTTTGTTGTTGTTGTTGGTGTTTTTTATATGTACGGTGAAAAGAATGATTGGATATTGTGAGGTGACCGTACAGATTTTTCATGGTCGAAGCTCTGAAAATTAATGGACAATCACCATTTTCCCCTTTTTTTATCCTTTTTTTTGGTGTAAAATATCTTAAAAAATCAAAATTACAAAAAAAAAAGCCCTTTTTTTTGGTGAGGCATTTATATTTATATTCATTTTAATATAAAATATGGCATTTTTTTTTAAACTTGGAAAAGGATTAAGGTGACACGTCCGTCTGTCACCATTAATGTGATTGTTGAATTGTGCTTTCTACAATTTTCTTTTTAAGATGATAAAAGAGAAAATGGTCCATGGCGATTAATGACAATGTCGAGTATAAAGTTCTATGATTAATAATTTACTTCGGACTCAAAAGAATATTATTTTGAATATTCCAAATGGCATGATTGGTCATTCAAAGTGATCTTATATGAGTGAATTTTTTTTAGATTTCATTTAAATAATTTATTCTCACGTATATATGTTGAAGAAAGAGAATTATAATTTTTCATTTTCTAATTCTAAATGTTTAATTTTAATATTCGAAGAATTATCATGTAATTTATTGATCCTATTATTCTGTTCATATGATTGTATGTAATTTATATTAAATAATCGTTTTAAGCAAAATATATAATTTCAAAATTACATTTTATACACAAACATTTTCTATCTACATTAGGTTTTAAGGTTTAGTGATTACATTGCCAAATATGAGTTTTTGATTTATGTTACGAAATATGGAAAGGTTATTATGGTGCGGAGGATGAATTAAGCCTAACTTAATAAGTTATTACCAAAAATCATCTGATGGTTGAATATTAAATTATTAATATTCGTGATCAATTTAATCTTTATATCCTCAAATATTAAAAAAAAAAAAACAAATTAAGCCTAACCGTATTTATCTTTTCTTGTTTACTTTAATAAAAACTTCATCAGTGAAAATTTTTATTTTTTTTTTTATGTTTTTTGAAGGAAAAGAATCTTCAATCTTTATTGTCAAGAGAATGATAAAATAATCATGTTTATGCAGAAACGTGACATTTTTATGTGGTAGAGGAGGGGTCTATTCACTCGGAGCTGTGGTGGCTAATTACATGGGGGATCATCAAAGACAAGACTTGTTCCTAAATCTCTTCCTTGAGGTATCTTTCTTTATCTTCATGTGCACTAATCAGTATCATTACATGATTAAAAATCTATGTGCTCCATCAATTGATTTCATGTGACTTCTCATGAAAAATCCATAACCGGTAGTCATAAAGCCTATGTTGCTTGCTCGGCTGTGTGAGACCTTTGAGCTAGGTCTGTGATTAATAATTCAGATAAGGAAATAATTTTGTCGGTTTTTTATATAAAAAGAGATCGTGACTTAAAGATAGAAAAAGAGATTATAAATGTTAAGTGTTAGATATTACTAAATAAATGTTACTTGAATGTTAGGTACTTGGCTTTTTAATTTCTATGCTTTCAAAGGAAAACATCATAAGTATGTGGATTCATGATTGAGGCATAAAGATTTGCTTTCATGTGAATGTAGGGTGGTTCACTTTATTGATATTCGTTGGGCCATTGCTCTGCTGGAAAGCACTATAAGCTAGATATTATTATGCAACAGACTAATTCTGCCATTTCTTGTTTGAGTGTAATACTTTTTGTTTCATCTCTACTTAGATGATCACCAAAATTGAATTGGATTTGGACCGTAAGAAATGTCTTTCTATTTTCCGTTGTTATTATATAGTTTTTATATGCAAAAAGTTTGGTATTTTTTTGAACCAAAGCATTATAATAACATCTAACTTTAGTATTTCAATTATCAAAATATAGGTAGCACAGGAAAAAGCCCTGCCAGTAGGACCTGAAGAAGGTGGTTTTGGAATGTCATATGATCTTCTTTATGGGCGAGCTGGATTCTTATGGGCTGCTTTGTTTCTGAACAAGCATCTTGGGAAAGAGACCGTGCCCAATGATGTTCTTATGCCAATTGTTGATGCCATATTAGCTGGGGGGAGGACAGGGGCTTCTGATCACTCTGCCTGCCCGCTTATGTATAGATGGCATGGCACAAGGTACTGGGGTGCAGCCAATGGTCTTGCTGGAATCTTGCAAGTGCTACTGCACTTCCCTCTTTCAGAGGACGATGCTGAGGATGTCAAAGGGACTTTAAGATACATGATGGGTAACAGGTTCCCCCATAGTGGAAATTACCCCTCAAGTGAAGGGAACCCAAGAGACAGGTTGGTGCAGTGGTCTCATGGTGCAACAAGCATGGCAATCACTCTGGCCATGGCATCACAGGTTAGCAACTCTGTATTCTTAACAAAGTTCCAGCTTCATGCCATATATAATTGAGTTGACAGAACTTTTGCCTTGCTCGTGAAGGTGTATCCAAGTGATAGAGAATTCCGTGATGCTGCTATAGAAGCAGGGGAGGTTGTTTGGAAGAATGGGTTAGTCAAGAAGGTGGGACTAGCTGATGGTATTGCCGGAAATGCCTATGCTTTCCTTTCCCTTCATCGCCTTACCGGAGAGACCATATACGAAGAAAGGGCAAAGGCGTTTGCAAGCTTCTTGTACCATAATGCAAGGAAGCTTGTAAATGCGGGGCATGCCCGCGGAGCTGATCATGCCTACTCCCTTTTCCAAGGACTTGCTGGGACAGCTTGCCTCTGGTTTGATCTGCTTGCACCCCAGAACTCTAAGTTCCCAGGATATGAGCTCTAAGTGAAGATGAATGGAGTCAAATATTTCATAACAATCGAGGGTAACTTGTATTGTACAAGTGTATGACTTGATGAGCTAGTTGCTGTAATGTCCAGATACAATTCCAAGGGAAGACTTGCTCCAAGTGAAGTTGAAAGCATGCATATTACCCATTTGGGCTCTAGTGTTCTATTGTTAATTCCAAGGCAATGGGGCAATGGCCATGGCTGGTTCGGCCATTGGCAGTGTGGTTAAGGATCATGGGCCATTCTTTTCATGCGTGTTTGAAAACAAGTTCAAGTTGCTTTAAACATCCCCCATGCAATGGATGGGGACACATCGCAAATTACAGATTGTTATATCTACTTACAGAGACAAGTCCACATGCCAAAAGCAAACTTACACTAGCTCTAAACACGAGTTGGATTAAACAATTTATTTTACATTCCCATTGGAGACACATTTGCTTGAAAAGAAGTAAAACGCACCTTATTATGAGTTTTTGTTTTTTGTTGATAGATACATTGGTTTTTTGTATGCATATGCTTCTTTTCTTGTTATATATCTTTTTCAACTTCTCTTTTTCTTTCCCAACATCAAAATGAAGCTTAAAATTAAATTTGACTATTCGTTATATTTGAATTTTATAAAATATTAAAATTTATATATTTATTTTATATATAAAATATAAAATATATTTTTTAATTTTTATTAAACTCAATATAATTATTATCAAAATTTTAAATTATATCATTTTCATATTTTTTTATTCCTATCATATTAAGTTATCGTTTTCTAAATTATCAATTTTATTTAAAACTAAAACTAAAAAAATTGAAAAATGAAAAGGAAACGGCAATCAAAAATGGGGACCACAATTCCATTTCTCTCTGTCATTCCTTTTCCACCGTCCACGTCATTCTTATGTTCTACCATCTGTCACTTATCCTCTTGTCCTCCTAAGGGGGAATAATACTTTTACACAATTTAAAAATTTTTTTTTTCTTTCATAAATCACAGCCTTACTCGCCTCGACTATTAAAATATCATGTACTCGCTTGTTCATCCGCTTGTTCGTCCCTAACATTAACCATAGTCCACTTTGTATTAATCTTTTTTTGTATATAAATTTTGTTATTTTATGTTTTAAAATTATATTTCTTTTCTTTCTTAAACATCAAACATTTTTATTTTATATTTCAAAATTGTTTCATTATTATTTTATTAAAAATGATGAATCATCAATTTTATGTTTAATTTTAAATATATTAAAATCAATAATTCTTTAAAAATTTGTGAAAATAAAAAAATATCAATTTATGACTCTCGGTTAATTGTTTCTCAACTAAATTTCATCTAATTTATACCACGGTTTGAATTTAAAATTTTTAAAATAAAAAATTTAAAGTTCAAATCTTTGGGGTATTATTAAAATTTTATACTTTTTTTTTTTTTGTAAATTTGACCTACAAAAATGGATGATGATATTTTACCACAGTACAGAAGCAGAAGAGAGTAGACGGAGGTAACGTAAACGAGAGGGCAAGCTACGTCGATGCCCAACCTGTTTAAGTTCTGCTTGATATTCTAACCTCTAATTATGTGCCACGTGTAATGTCTGCTCTTCTTGACTCTATAGCGTTGACACTATTTCGACGGTCTCGTTACATATATCATCGTGGCCCTTTGCTTCCAGCAGAGCTATCCCACAAAATCAAAAACCACTTGGAAGAAGGAGAAAAAACCAACAAAGAAGATTCATATAGCTGCTGCTGTCTTTTGATATTGTCTGGGAGTTGGCCTTGGAAATCAATGGAGCGGTATGAGATACTGAAGGATATTGGGTCAGGGAACTTTGGTGTTGCTAAGCTGGTAAGGGATAAATGGAATGGTGAGCTTTATGCTGTCAAGTATATTGAAAGAGGCACCAAGGTATATACTAGATTTTGTTTTTAGCTTCGTTTCACTTGCTCTCTCCAAGGTTAATGTTCATGGACTTGTATTTGTTGGCTTTTTTTTGTTGATATGCTGATTTGTGTTGCGTCTCTTTTTGAGTTTATGGGATTGATTTCATGAGGTTTCTTGGTTGTACAGATTGATGAGCATGTTCAAAGGGAGATTATGAACCATAGGGCCTTGAAGCATCCCAATATAATAAGATTCAAGGAGGTAAATATGTACTGCTTTCACACCTGAAAAAAAAAAAGCAGTGATCAGAAGCTCATTCTTCATTAGTGTTTGATTGAAATTTAAGTTTACTTGACAAGATTTAAAGAAAGGAGTTGGGGATTTGTGATCTTCAAATGAAACTATATTGTTTTTCTTCCCCTGCATTGGCAATTGAACAGGGCTAAAGTCAGTGGCTTCTTGATATGTTTAATGCAAGGAGAAAAAAAAACTATTTGAATGTTTCAATGCCTTTCAAAAAAGCAAAAGATATAAGACAAAGTATACATGTTTATCAATTGCTTGAAGTGGTGAAGTTGAAATTGTTTTAGTCTTGCTAGATATGATTGAGAAATCATTTCAAATTACTTCACAGTTCTTCTATGTAGCAGCCCTTCTAAGTGGCTCTTCTTCATTTTTTTTTTTTTTGGCTTTACAGGTCCTATTAACACCAACTCATCTTGCCATAGTCATGGAATATGCTGCTGGAGGAGAACTTTTTGAAAGAATATGCAGTGCTGGTCGATTCAGTGAGGATGAGGTATATTCTATAAACATTTTCTCTTCTTTTTTCCTTTTTTTTTTTGGTATTTGAGATTGCTAAAGATTGAACCCTAGTCACAGGAACTAAGAATCCAGCATGATGGCAACATTTTCTCATTTTCACATGTTATGTAGTGTTTTATTAAATTTCATTCTTTCTTTTTTCGTTAATTTACTGTTGTTCTTTTACTTCATCAGGCAAGATTTTTCTTTCAACAACTGATTTCAGGAGTGAGTTATTGCCACGCAATGGTATGGCCTTAATTACTGTATACTGGATTTCTCTAATTCTGAAAATAGTTTGCCACTTTCATCTATCTAATTAATTGAGAATTTTTTCCCTATTCACACAGCAAATTTGTCATAGAGATCTTAAGCTGGAAAACACACTATTAGATGGGAGCACTGCACCGCGACTCAAAATATGTGACTTTGGCTACTCTAAGGCAATGAACCTACTTATTATTCAGCATCTTATCCACTTAACATAAAGCCAATTATTAACTTTGTACTGCATGTTTCAGTCAAGTGTTTTTCATTCCCAGCCCAAATCAACAGTAGGAACCCCAGCCTACATTGCTCCAGAAGTCTTGTCTAGAAAAGAATATGATGGGAAGGTAAATTCTTGTTCCCTTTGTTAAGTTGTTATCACATTAAGACCTAGTATTGGCCACAAGAAATTGATGATCAGTGTTTTATCTTTGAAAATTGCAGATTGCTGATGTTTGGTCTTGTGGGGTTACTTTGTATGTCATGCTGGTTGGAGCTTATCCTTTTGAAGACCCTGAAGATCCAAGAAACTTCAGAAAAACAATTCAGGTTAGTTGGTAGCAGCCCTCTTCCATATCTTGTAGATATCTTAGTTTATTGGTAATTGGTTTATGGCAGCGGATTCTGAGTGTCCACTATTCTATTCCTGACTACGTTCGAGTTTCCAAGGAGTGTAGACATCTGCTATCCAGGATTTTTGTAGCAAACCCAGAAAAGGTAAACACATTTTAATTGCTTTTGCTATCAATTGCTCCTCCTAAGTATATTCACTTTCTTTTAAATCTGTAACAGAGAATAACCATACCAGAAATCAAGCAGCACCCATGGTTTTTAAAGAATTTGCCAATAGAATTCGTGGAAGGAGAGGATCGCAACCTGGAAAGTAAAGAAGAAAATGATCAATCTCAAAGTATTAAAGAAATATTGTCTATAATTGATGAGGCTAGGAAACCTGGTGAGGGCCCCAAAGTTGGAAGTCAATTACTTGGTGGTAGCGTGGATCTTGATGACATTGATGCTGATGCAGATATAGATGATATAGAGACAAGTGGTGATTTTGTCTCTGTATTGCGAGTGTAGAAAGTCAATGTGACTTCGCAAAACCAACCTTACTGAAGATTCAAAGAAAAAAGCACTTTGAACATTAGGCATTGTTTTCATGGCTGAAGAGAATCTGTTTCAGTGGATGGTGTTGCTTTTCCTTAGCATGAAAGCCTGTTTTCATTTTCCATTGTTGATTAACCTGTCTTCCCAATGGCTTCTGCTCACATGGGGGAAATTATAGAATATCATATGAGCTTGAAATTGCAATTCTACGCAAAAGCAATTCCATGAACAAACCTGCAATGAGTTGATTTGATACTAATCCAAGTAATGGCAATATAGAAACATGAATGTCATGGTCATAAGAAAAAGTATGAGCATATTATATACTTGAATATGGACAAGAAAGGTGATATAAATAGTATAATTGTTAAATGCTGTCAAGCACAAACCTGCTCGGTGGATCATATTTCAATTCAGTAGTTGGATGGGAAAGTGTTGGTGGATAAGTTTTAACCAGAAAAGAAAAAAGAATCGTTTTGTTTGGTACGATGGAAAGAAATAAAATTAAAATATTATAGAACCACGAGGGAAGTAGGGGATCATTCTCAAGTCAAGAAATCAAGGCCCATGTATGGTTGGTCCAAGCAAGCCCATTTAACAGATTAACCCAAAGCCCAACCTTTAGATCCAGACCCACAAAGTTCCACGTGTATGAATCTGGTCTGACTCAGACAAACTTATAGTCTTCTTTAACAACACCAAAGCACTCTTTTTGACATCTCACACCTCGACAAAAACCCTAGCCGTCATTTGTGAAAGAGAGCAGCAGCGGCAGCGGCATTTCTCCCCTAGGCTGTAGCCAAAAGACCCATCAAACAAAAATGAAGGTTTTTTTTTTTTCAATCCTTTTTAGGTTTTGTTTATTCTTTTAAATTTTGTTGATTTTTTCTTTGTTTATTTCAGTTCAACATTGCAAATCCCACCACTGGTTGCCAGAAGAAGCTGGAAATAGACGATGACCAGAAACTGTATCTTCCTTCCTCTTTTCTTTTTCTTCTTTGAGAAACAAATTAAAATGTATAGTTTTTGCTTATGAAATTTTGACGTATATGATTTGAGGCATAAATGTTATGTAACAACGACAAAAAGGATCAAAATTTTAAGGGGTTTTCACTTGTATTTGAAAGTTGGGTTTTGTGTAGCAGATTTAGACATTGTTAAAGAGTAGAAAATCTTTTCTTTTTCCATTTATGTTATGAAGTTTGGATTTAGAATGAAGTGGCGGATTCCTACTGGATATAGTAGCTGTCATTATATAATGAAAGAGCATTGACAAGCATGTTAAGGAAAACAATGTCTCGTATTTTATAGGATGACTGCGCATCTGTTAAATTTGGTGCTGATTATTTTGTTAATTAATAGTTTCTTTTGGCACAACTTTCTATTTGTATAATGGTGTTTTCTTCTGTAAGCTCCATCTTTATAAAATTTACCTAATGCAAGGGAAACAGAAAGGAAATTCAACTGTACACTATCTTTTTATCTTAGTTTTTTCTTGTTCACTGTGCGGTTATACATGTTAGTGGCTTGGTTTGACTGTGATTGTATTCGCAAGCATTTGAAATGCAAGTTATAATTGTCAAGAAGAAAACTTTCTCACATTGAACTTTGAATCACAGCCGAGCTTTTTTTGACAAGAGGATCTCACAAGAAGTCAGTGGTGATGCTCTGGGTGAGGTATGTTACCAAGTTACTTCCATCTAATCTTTCTCTGTCTCAAGTTTCTGCTAGTGCATCTGGCCTTCTTAACTGCAATTTGCTCTTCTACTATTATCATTTAACAGGAGTTTAAGGGCTATGTATTCAAGATCATGGGAGGCTGTGACAAGCAAGGTTTTCCAATGAAGCAAGGAGTTCTCACTCCTGGCCGTGTTCGTCTTTTGCTTCACAGAGGTCTGTGGTCTGTGCAAATTTGTTCCTTTTTTATCTGTGTACAAATGTTTTTCTTATATGGATTTTTTATTTATTGAATTTTTTTCTGAACAGGTACTCCCTGCTTCCGTGGGTATGGTAGGAGAAATGGAGAGCGCAGGAGGAAGTCAGTTCGTGGATGCATTGTTAGTCAAGATCTTTCAGTTCTGAACTTGGTTATTGTGAAGAAGGGTGAAAATGATCTTCCTGGATTGACTGACACTGAGAAGCCAAGAATGAGGGGTCCAAAGAGAGCATCAAAAATCCGGAAGTTGTTCAACCTCTCTAAGGAGGATGATGTTCGGAAGTATGTTAATACTTATCGCCGAACCTTTACAACCAAATCTGGTGAGTGCAAAATATTTATTTGTGTTCCTAGTTGTCAGGGGAAGAAAATTTTTATTTGTGATTTTACTATTTGGGAAAGTATGCCCTTATAAGATAATGATGGGAGTTGCCTCCAATTTGACAATCATAATCATTTTCTGGGACGCAGGTAAGAAAGTCAGCAAGGCTCCCAAAATTCAGAGGCTGGTGACTCCTTTGACTTTACAAAGGAAGCGTGCCAGAATCTCAGAGAAGAAGAAGAGAGTTGCAAAGGCCAAAGCTGATGCTGCTGAGTACCAGAAGCTCCTTGCCCAGAGGCTGAAGGAGCAGCGTGAACGCAGGAGCGAGAGCTTGGCCAAGAAGAGATCCAGGCTCTCTGCTGCCTCTAAGCCATCCATTGCAGCTTAATTGTGCCCACAAGGTTCTGTATTTTGGTCGGTTGTGCAATGCTTATTCTGAAATCTTATCATAGGATGAGGTAATTTTGATTGTTCAATTTTCAAAGAGTTAACAATGATTTTTTGGGGTATCACATGAACTATATGCTTTAAATTTTTGTGACATTATGTTGTGGGTTGTTTACCTATTCTTCTGGTTACTATATGAATGGTTAATTACTGATTAGATTGCATTCTGACATTTTATTTCTTAACTTGCAAAAGCATGTTCTTAATGCTCACAATTTTAATCCTACATGCAAAGCTTGAATGCGTCCATGAATTCTGCAATTTCCCCTGAAATTTATTTTGGTTAAGGAATGTCAAAGCAACATGTGGGCTTGGTATCTTCAGTAATCCCATCCATCATATTATATTGGTTTTATTATGTGCTGTTAAATCTATATTTTTCCAGTTCTCTTTTGGTTTGTTTTGGATGGGGCACCCATCGTGCCACTGCTTGGGTGGCATATGTTCGAAATTGAGTGTATATTCCACAATTATATATATATATATATATGTATATTTGGTCGAACAATTTATATTACCTAGTTGGTTACTTTGCCTACCCCGTCTCTAAAGCATTTGGTTACAATCAATTGTTCTTGGTTCAAATTGTTAGCATAATGAAACCTGGGCTTGGTTAGTTTATAATTATATAATCATTAAAAAATGTAGTACCGAGCTAAATTTTACTAGTGTTTTCTGCATGAACATGGAAGTCAGGGCAATGTGTAACGTGGCCAGGAGTGTGTTGTGTTCCCAATGTGTTTTATCGGATGAAGAGGCTCGTTCGTCTTGACCTAAAGGATAGTCTTTTTGGGTTGAGGGCCTTGAGGCCTAGGCTTTTGATGAGTGATATCAGGAGCCACTCTATAGGGGTATTATCGTGTGGACCTGAGGATATTGCGGTGTTGTACCTCCCAAGGTAGCGTGGGCCCACTTGAAGAGGATGCCAAGGATTGGTTCACAAAGCAGTGCAGGTTCATGGTGTTGAGCAACCCATGAATTTTTCAATGTTGGTGGGTGGAAATGAATCCTTCAATTTTTTTTATAATTTTCAATACACGATATTATCCATAAAAAGGCAAGGGAACCTTATCTATAAAATGGGGAAAAACTAGACATTTCTCATGAAAAACAGAGAAAAACTTAACGTGGAGGTTGGAAGTGGTGTAAATTTTTGCGTTATGGAGCACATGTTGGATCCCAAGGGCATAACCCTTATCTTTCTAGAAATAAATTTTTATAACGAAACTTTCTCTACAAGAAGAATGCAATCCCTTGTAAAACTTCTCTCTAAGTTGACACTATGGAGCATGGGCCTCCGTTATTTGCATTCATTCTTTTGAAAGGTCGACATCTGATCTACAAACAGCAGGACATTATGAAGGCTTCATGGTGCTTCCATGTTCCAATGGCCCTCTTTTATTTACGCTCTGCTTCTCACCGCTTGACAGATGAAACTTTCTTTTTAAATACGTAAGAAACGGACAATTACACTGAAAAGGTTAGCTGGTTTGGCATCTTGTGCATTATTGTTTTAAAGTACAACAACTTTGTTCTCACGATTCTGTGGCTATACGGAAAATGGCAAAGTCTTGCCTTCAGTACTCCAGTTTTGGCACTCAAGCCAGAAAAATTGGCACTTACTCCCCACCTTTCCCCCAAATAAAAATATCTGAAGATAAAGTCTTTGATATTTGCATAATTCACTAATTCATTGCATCTTAGTTATGATAAGATTAGAGATATGAATTTTCTAGCCTTATTGCGTGTCATATTATCAATTCTAGAACTATTCTATTCTATTAATGGCTTCAAATACAATAAAATTTCTTCCTTCAAGATTCCAGTAATACATCCACAGGCCGGCTATTGACCACCCTGCAATTGGTTCTTATCTCACCAGGCTTCCCGGACTGCAAGTCACCCATCTTCAACATTCCCTTAATGAAGGCTTTGAAAAATTCATTCTGGTCATAGCTAAAAAGCTTAACATATTTTCTAGTCTGAGGAAATGTGAAAAGGGTTTGATCCGAATTCAGAAATCCTCTCCCTGCAACCAAGTCTTTGAAATATTGGTTATCAAACAATCTAGGTGTTGCATCAAGAGCTCCGGTTACATTTTCATCTCCACCAAGTGGACAAAGCTTGTCTAGCTTTTCTCTAAACCCTGGTTCGATGGCAGGGTCAGGCTTGCCCGAGCCAGATTGGTTGTAGAGCCTGAACATGATTGAGAAGCACCTGGCTTTGCCAACAGAGTGTGATCCAGATAGGGCTACAAGATCCTTGACAGATAGATTGAATTGCCAGAAGAGATCAATGAGAAAACTTGCATTTGCTCTTGGGCTTGGCATTATATTGTTTGAGTCTTCTTGACTGGCTGTTAAGCTATCTTTTCTTCCCAGCCTCACTACCCAATCGGGTCCTCCAGTCTGGATTATAAACACAGTAAGAATCACATCACTTTTTGGTATATTACACAAAATGGAAACTCTCTTAATCGCAAAGTACGGCCTCACTTTGAAACTTTTTTAACAAAGTTAGCTCAAACAGGACAAAGCTAACGATAGTTACCAGAGCAACGGCATCTCTTGCGGCCATGATTATGATATCTGCACAAGAGACTATTCCAGGACAGGCCTTCTCTAAGGCTTCCTTGACCTCATCAACAACTTCGAAAGATCTTAGCGAATTTATATTGGAAAGAGCTAGTTTTTCCCCAAGCATGTTCGGTGTATCATCTAGCAGCAAAGAAGCATCACAACCCTGTAAAAGAGATAAACAAAGTCATGTACAAAGTAACAAGAAAAGGTAAACATGGAAAAATATGAGGTCTTTGATTTGTTAAAAAGTTTACATTAACAAAGCAATCATGGAATTGAAAGCGCATGACTGAGGCAACGCTTCTGGGTTCCCTAATCATGGCCTTCCTCATCACATCTCTGACTATAAATTCCGCTGGTGGACATGTTTCAGAGTAAAACCCTGGCCGGAGCCGGAGAGGGCCTGCAGCGGCCATGGTCACTAGTAGGAGAAAGAGTAGCCCAGGAAAGACAGACATTTTTTGGAGAGACAAGCGTGGATGGGGTGTGTGAAAATAGACCAATTTAGGCTTTTTGAATGGGTTTTCTTTTAAACAATGCCAACAAAAGATGGTCAACAAAAGCAAAATAATGGGTTTTTAAACTAGTTGGATGTATTAAATCTTAGAACTATGCGGATATCCCGGTTATTTATTAGATTAATTGACATGATATTGAAATTATCAAGGCTACGAATTTAAAAAAATTTATAAATATAATGTTATTTTTATCAAATAATAAAATTTAAAAATAAATTAAATTTTAAAAAAATTCTGGAGGAATATGAATCTTATGATGGTGAGATTGGTTGTTTATAATATTATTTTAAATTGTTTACAAATTTGTCCAAATACAAAAGAATATCTGTTTATGTAAAAGTAAAAGATACTAATTATTTCAACAAACAACTTAGCAAGGGAAGAATTTTGGTAAAATTTCTTAGAACCCACTAAGCAAAATTTCATTTGAGTAGCCAAGAGAGAAGAGAGAAGCCAATTTCTTCTTTTATTGCATGGGTGTCAACAAGTTACAGGGCTTTGCTATGACAACAGGAGGCAAGCGAAGACGTTTGGATAAGAGTGGTCACCGCAACAACAATCCATAGGTTGCTGTGGTTGTGGGGGATGGAGGTGTGGGGTGTCCCCAATGAGTGGCTCAACAATTACGACATCCACCATGCTATCATAAACAAATATCCTTATTATCTTTCCAAAAAAACAAAAAAAAAAACCAATAGTCATCAATGGACTTGTTTTTGAACGTATTCAACCAATGGTCTTCTTCGACTTTGTCATCATTTTATTTCATTTTAATAAATATAAAGTATATATACATAGATTTGGGACTAAATGCGCATATGATGTGATCTTAATTTTGTATATAATATGTTAGGTTTGATAAAAACATTAAATTTTAATAAAGATATTATAACGTTTATAATTTCACATTAAAAATTTATGAACATTTTAAATTTATGCTTTTGTATAAATTTATGATCTCGGATCTTGTTATATTTCATACTTTTAAGATCTTGTTAAATTATGTAAAAAAAGTCTTCGTAAATTCAATGAATTATTTTTCCCTTAATTGTTTAAATGATTTTTTTTTTGGATGAAATAGGTCCGAATGATTAAATTAGAGATTTTTAACAAAGTTTAGTGACCTTAACAGAATAAATTAAAGATTAGTGGCATAACTGAAAAATGGCCAAAAGTTAATGATTATTTATGAAATTTATTAAATAGAAATCATAAAGAAAAAAAAATCCCTAATTTCATGTAGGATGCGGCTGTCTTTGTCTTTATTCACAATCTGTTTTTTTTTTCTTAAATGAACGGATTTGGATCCAATGGAGCGTGCAATTAAATTTTAAAAATCACTAATAAAATTCAAATATTAATATAATGAAGTGTATTTGATCAAATATAATACAATATTTTCATTGAATTTTCTAAATTTAATGTAATTTTTTCTATCATAATTATAATAATTTTTTTAATTTCACGTAAATTAATTTTATTATTCATCTAAATCGACACTTGATCATAATATGTTGTTGACTCAAAAACCCACATAAAATTTACTTACAAGTTTGAACTGTTGTTTTGGCCAAACTCACAAGCTGAACTTTTAGTCACAAAAAACCAATGAAATTGTAGGGGAAATAATAATATCTTATCTTTGAGAACAAAATACAACACACATCAGTTAATGGGCTTTCATTTGAATATCTACTACTTGATAGTGACCACATCCTAAACAGCGGAGATTGGATGAGTGGGATCAAAATTGGATGGCCTTGCTGATCAAATTTGTCACCCTTTTAGCCATTTGAGAACGTTATCCCTGCAAATAAGCAACCCTTAAATGAAAAATATTGGCTCTTTAAAAAACAAAAACAGAATTGTTTGAATTCAAACGCAAACCTACAGGGTTCACAAACAATATTAATGTCAACAGGCCGAGTAATGAATGGTGGCAAATAAATCTTTTGAAAAGCTTCTCTAGGGGGCCAGTGAGGGTGGACAGAAGTGGTAAAAAAAAAAAAATTTATTGAGTGAAGTAACCCCAAGATTTAAATTTTTCATTATTTTTTACTGATAAATGATATTTAAATTTAAAAAATTCATAAACAAAAATTTAATGTATTTTAATTAACGGTTTATCTTAACTTTTAAGATGAGATAAAATTTTCTGCTTCTAAACTTTTTTCAACTAAAAGAAAGCTTCTTGAGGGATTTCATTCATTTTTTGGTTTGATAGATGCCTCTAACAGGCTTATCTCAAGATATTAGATTTTGCCAAAAAAATGAAATAATGCATGTTTCCGGGAAGACCCTTTTTTCTTTGGGAAAGTGCCTTTTTCATTTTTATTTTAAACCCAACGTGGAGACAGTAGGCTGAAGATGCGGATAGAAGAAAATATGTTTGGCCAATTGTGCCGTCACTTTTGTTATGAATGAGATAAATTTCAAAGGAGGATGGGATAAGAATATGATCAACTTTCTCGAGAGTAGGAAGAATCTTAAAAGCAGGTCAGGTCGGCTAGTGGATTTTTTTTCATCCAGCCTTCGACAATGCACATCATTGGTTTTGGCACTGTTTAAGTGCAATTGGAGCCCAATCGACAAAAGTTACCCCTTTTAAATCCTAGCATTGGATATGTTACTTAGGAACGGTAATTGGAGATTGAGACTCTAACTGAGCCCAACTTCAATTATCAGCTTAGATGCTGCAATATTATTCTTGAACTCAACCCAACTTTCTAATTCTTGGATCATTAGCCAGAAAATGTAGGCGAACTACAAAGGTAGGCAGGTAGCCTGTCAACTACCCAACCAATCCAACACCTCCCGGTTACTGGATTTGGTTTCAGAAACGACAGCACCAAATCTTTGTTTCTGGTTCCTAAAGCCTGTCTTTGTGGCAGTTGAACTTGAAGTACCAAATGGGCTAAGTTGAAAGCCCATGTTTTTATGACAAAATAACAGAGAAGCAACAAAATTAACAAATCCCACCCTCATTCTCTCCTCTTAAAGCCTCGGCGGCGGCCACCATCCAAAAGAAGAAGAAGAAGAAGAAGTAGAAACAATGGGAGGTCGGAGAGGGTCTCGTACTCAAAGAAAACATTTCAAACAAAGCAGAGAAAATGTTTGGAAACGACCAAAAACGGATTCTTCATCTGACCCTAATAATCCCAACTCTCATAACCAAGCTTGGCAGCCTTTTGCCACCCAAAACCCTTCCTTTGATGAATATTACAAAGTAAATTATATACTTTTATAAGTTTTTTTTTTGTTTTATCTATATGTGAAAATGGAAGTGTTTTATGTAATTTTTGTTTTGCTTTTGTGCTTTTTTTTTTTTTTGTATGGTAGGAACAAGGGATTGTTTCTCCTGAAGAATGGGATGCTTTCATGGAAATGCTTAGAAAACCATTGCCTGCTGCTTTCAGAATTAATTCCACGTAGGTTTTTTTTTTTTTTTAAATTTTGAAGATCTGGGTTTTGAGTTTTGATTGTAAAAGCCATTTCTTTGCTTAGTAATATCTTTAGTAATGTTTTGCAGTAGCCAATTTTGTGAGGATATTCGTTCACAGTTAGAGAATGACTTTATGAAATCTCTTCAAGCTGAAGTAAGTGGCATGGTTTTGCTTTCTGTTCAGGATATCTTAATTTTAATGGTGTTATACTTAACTGTCTTTTGGCTGTTGCGCACTACTTTTTGCAGGCTATTGAGGGGGGTGATTTGGAGCCTATCAAACCGTTGCCTTGGTACCCTGATAATCTTGCATGGCAATCCAATTTTTCACGCATGCAGATAAGGAAGAACCAAACTCTTGAGAGGTAACTCATGTTTTACATGATCACTTATTCGGCAATTCATGTAAAAATATGCTGTTCCTATAACGCCTTAGTTATGGTTGGATTATTTTGTGATCATGAATTTTTTGGTCTATACATTTATACAGTGGGTTCAGCAGTCAAGGAATCCCGGTTATTATTTAGACCTGTATGTTAATTGTACCAATTACTAATAAGTGCTGCAAATGTTATAAAAACTTGTGAATTTATCTATAGATGGATATATTTTCATCTTGTACAAATACATGCTTAGGGTCTGATGTACTTTTGGGGCAACTGCCAATTACAGTTATAACTTTAAGAGGAAAAAAAGGTGAAAAGAAAGAAAAGAGGAGGAATGTAATGATACATCTGCAACATTTATGCATTTCCTACATTTTACTTGTAATATCAATGATGTGATTTACAAGTGCTTGCTTTGTCATGTTGATTCTTTGTTGGATTTCAGCTACTAAGTATGTCTAATGTGCAAGCTGTTCAGTGTGCTTTCAAATGGTTTCCATACTCAACTGATGATTTTTTTTATATTATATTATAGTTATTAGTCGTTTCATGATTTGTTTATTATAACTTTCAGGTTTCATGAGTTTTTGAAACTTGAAACTGAAATTGGGAACATCAGTAGACAGGAGGCTGTCAGCATGGTAGGTGGACTCCACTTACTACTGCTAACTGATTATGCACTAATTTGCCATAATGTGTTTGGCAAGTTTCATAATGTTTTCTTTTTCACCTATAGTCTCCAATTGCTTGTTATGCAGGTGCCTCCTCTCTTCCTTGATGTACATCCGCATCACTTTGTACTTGATAGTAAGAAACTCATGATGCATTGACATAGCTTTCTTTGTTTATCTTCTTCTTTATAAAGACTACAACCTTGTTTTCTGATTATGCTCTAATTTTAAACTAAGAAGCTGTATCTGATTTACATTGGAAATATAGTTACAGTTTCCTGCGAATCCCTTATGCAGTGTGTGCAGCACCTGGTTCAAAAACTTTTCAGTTGCTTGAGATTATACACCACTCAGCCAAAGGAGGAACTCTACCTGATGCCATGGTTTGTTTGCATTTATTTATCTCTTTGTCTTCTCTTAACTTTAGGTTTTACTTGGTCTTTTCCATCTTCACTTTACAATGATCTATAGACTATGAATCGTTAGATTTTGATATGCTTGTTAATTTGTTTGAGTAGCTTTTTGGCCTGCTCTGATAACAATTCTTACCCTTTATTCTGTATGCAGAATTAATTCTTCATTGTCTTTTTTTTAGGTTCTAGCAAATGATCTTGATGTACAAAGATGTAACCTTCTCATACACCAAACAAAAAGAATGTGCACTGCTAACCTGATAGTCACAAATCATGAAGGTCAACACTTCCCTGGCTGCCGTTCCCACAAAAATATCTCAAATGGTTCAGAAATAAATAAATTGGAGCAGAGTATTACTCAACTTCTCTTTGACCGTGTACTATGCGATGTTCCCTGCAGTGGTGATGGTACTCTGCGCAAGGCTCCTGATATCTGGCGTAAATGGTTTGTGTTCTGTTGCTCTTCCCTTCCCTTCACTTTTTAATATCACATTTCATTAGATCATTTTTATGTGCGTTTATATTTTATACAGGAATGGAGGAATGGGCAATGGACTTCATTGCCTTCAGATTCACATTGCCATGCGAGGTATCAGTTATTGAAGACCTTAGATTTTTAATTGAGTGGATGTTGCAGTCTCTAAATCGTCGCATTGTGGCAGGTCTATCTCTGTTAAAAGTTGGTGGAAGAATGGTTTACTCAACCTGCTCTATGAATCCAGTTGAAAATGAAGCTGTGGTTACTGAGGTAATGTATACCACTGAGAGAAAAATGTACTAAATCAAAATAACTTAAATCTGTCTTATTTAGTGTTCCTTTTTTTTCATTTTGGTAATCTTTCCTGGTTGTGGCCCATCTAAGTCCTTTAAAAAATCTAGTTGTCCTTTTTGTTTAACACAGTATATTTGTTCTATCAAAAAAAGAAAAAATGGTGCATTTATCTCTTTATTTTCTTTATTAATAATGTAGTACATAATTATGTTAATTGCATCAGATTTAGAATATCATCTCTTAGGAAAATAATAACATCCATTAAAATATGATGTGCTGGAGCTGCATTAAAGTGAAAGTTGAGGCCCAAGAAGGATACTAATATTATGAAGGAAACTAAAGATGTCTGAGCAGGGTGAATTTTAAGAAAGATGAAAGAATGCAACTTCTAGTTGTCAGATATACATTTGAATGCTGATGAAATTAGATAAATATAATTCATCCCTCCAAGATGAATCTTTGATTGGAATTTATGTTGATAATGTCAAGCCAATACTGCTAAAAGATTAACATGTATAAACTGGTTAGTGCATTAGAGCATGAATTAGTTATTCATTTTTGGTAGCTGATAAGGTGTTCCATTCTGAACATCTTTTTTTTAGTAGATAAAATTTAAATTTTGATTGTATGTTTGCATTTTCTTTGTTCTGAAGTTTTGACACCAGCCCTGGTCTAAGTAGGTACTCTTGCACTTTGCAGCTAATTTATTCATATTATATTAGAATTTTTTCTTTAGTTTTTCACATTACTCTTTCCTCTGCTTTTAATGTGGCTGGATTTTCCAATCCCGTTTGAACATACTTTTCCCCTTTCAAACCCCATGTCCTATTTCCTTCAGATTTTACGGAGATGTGGAGGTTCTGTTGAACTAGTTGATGTCTCAAGTGAGCTACCTCAATTAATTCGCCGCCCTGGTCTAAGAAAATGGAAGGTTAGTTACAATTTTCACCAAATCCATTATTGGGTACTCCATTCTCCTGAAATTTTGCATGCTATTGTTATACAACTAGAAATTCTGATTTTGCATCATTTTCTGTGGTTTGCTGTGTGCCTAATGCATTAGGCATTTCATTTTGCATCTAGGATGCAAACAAGTTTTGACATATGGTGCCTCATTTCTGAGCAAAATGTGTCATGTATCCCTTAAGTTATCAATAGCAATAGATGGTTTCATTTGATAGAAGAATGTGGGGTGTTTATGTTTGCTATGTGCTCCCAACCTTGTCTAGACATCCAAAATAGATCTGCAGACCCACATCAAAGCAAAATAATGTCACTACCAACTAATAACAATAATATAATACTTGCATAAAGAACTTTTCTTTCAACATTTCATTTTTCTTCTTCTCATGTGATGTCAAACCTCTACCACGCCCATCAGATACGTGATAAGGGAGTCTGGTTAGCATCATACACGGATGTTCGCAAGTTCCACATAAATGGGATTGTTCCCAGTATGTTCCCTTCTGGTAGAAATTATGTGGATCCAACTGACAATAACCAGAAGAGTGAGAATGGTGAGGATGTAAATACTGAAGATGGAGTTCAGCCTGATGATCCTATTTCCTCTGCTAATAATTTGGAGGAAGAAGTTTCTGATCTCCCACTAGAACGCTGCATGAGGATAATACCTCATGATCAGAACACAGGAGCCTTTTTCATTGCTGTCCTCCACAAAGTTTCTCATTTGCCAGGTAAATCAAATTTATCTCCTTTTTATGGCTATGGATGGTTTATGGTGTGGCATATAATTTATATGCCATTTCTAAGATGCTTCATCTGCATCTTGATTCAGATATGCTATTTGCTGATTCCATTGTGAAAACTATTCATTTTGATTCCTTGCCTCTACTCTTTCCTTTTGCTAACCTCATCAGGCATTTACAAATTGGTTTCATAATATTTACTGTAGCAATTCAGGACAAGTCTGTTAGTTCGCAAGGGAATTTATCAACTAGAAATGATGGACTACGTGAAAATTTATTGGACCAAGCTACTGGAGAAATAAATGGATTAGAAGGTAGTTCTGCAGATGGGACAGATGAAAAGATCTTGGAAGTAGCTTCAGAGGCAGATGAAAAGATCTCGGAAGTGGCTTCAGAGGCTGATGAAAAAATCTCAGAAGTGGCTTTAGAGGCTGATTTGGTTGATGGTGGACCAGATGGAGTTACCCTGGAGACCATTTCTTCTGAGGCAGCTCAAGCACCTGCAGATAAGAAAATTGATTCTGCAAAAGCTGGGGAGAAGAGAAAGCTGCAGATTCAGGGCAAGTGGAGAGGAGTTGATCCTGTTCTTTTCTTCAAAGATGAAGCTATAATAAACAGCATTAAGACATTTTATGGTATTGATGAATCCTTCCCATTCAGTGGCCACCTTGTTACAAGAAACAGTGAAACTAACCATGTTAAAAGAATTTATTATGTTTCAAAGTCAGTTAAGGATGTTTTGGAACTGAATTTTCGAGTTGGACAGCAAATGAAGATAACTTCTGTTGGCCTAAAGATGTTTGTGAGTATATTTATATTCTTTTAATCAAACCTTGCCGTGTGCTTTTTACCTTTAGAAACATGGTTATATTGTTTTCCATCTCTTTGGTTATCCTCTTTTACCCTTTTATGTCTTGTCCTAGATTGAATATGAGACCTTTATTTTGCCATAAAGAATTCATTTCATCGGAATTTATACCCTGCTTTGCTTCTGAATCACCTAGGATTCCTTTTCTTATTTTATTTGATTTTGTTCTAAACACAGGAACGCCAATCATCCAGAGAAGGTTCCTCTGCGCCATGTTCATTCAGGATATCATCAGAGGGGTTGCCAGTGATTCTCCCATATGTTACCAAACAAATCCTATATGCTTCCCCAGCAGATTTCAAGCATCTTTTGCAATATAAAACAATCAAATTTGCAGACTTTGTTGATGCTGAGTTCGGTCAGAAGGCAGCAAACCTGATGTTAGGCTGCTGTGTGATTGTTTTGGGAGAAGGTGAGTAACTCCATTTAATCTGCCATGCCTTTCAGAATGATTTGTGTACATGATTCCCTTGCTAACCTTTTTTAGCAGGTGGCAAATCCTTATCAGATCATATCCAAGCAGATGCATCAACAATAGCCATTGGCTGCTGGAAGGGTAGGGCTAGTTTGAGTGTGATGGTTGCAGCAATTGACTGCCAGGAGCTTTTGGAAAGGCTTTCAGCACGCATGGAGACTGAAAAGGGAACTTTGGCACAAGAAAACCATGGTGAGCTAGATGAAAAACAGGATATAAGTGGTGAAAACGGAACCTCACTGGAGGAACACAATGTTGAGGCACAGAAAATACAGGATATCACTGAATAGGAATACCAAAAACTGAAGTGCTGAGTGATAGATGAAACACTTCTGAGATCCTATTTTTACTCTTCAGCAATGTGAAGGTCGTAAGCGACCACTGCTAAATTGAACGGTAAAAAATTGTGAGTGTTTAGAGATCCTATTCAAATAGTGTCACCGTAGGTATAGTGGAACATAACAGTTTTAACAAATAACTGGTTCATGTTATGAATGTTGTCAATCTGTACTGATATGATAGGCAAATGCAATTTTGGCAGGGCATTTGTGGCAAATGCATTTGAGCGTTGCAGTTAAATTCTTACCTGCCCTTGAATGTTTCAACTCCATTACGTTGATTTAACCTCGCTGGTCGAAGGGAATTATTCTTGCTATTATTGTTTCCATGAAGAAATAGAAGTTAAGACTGAAAATTTTTGGAAGAAGAGGGATGATGCATGACCGATCATCCTTTTCATGACAAGGATCAAACACTGGGTACTTGAAAATGCCGAGTCCTCTGTTCATCCACAATTACTAATATTCATCTCCCATTTACTATGAATATTAGGTCAGATTGATTCTCAGAACTTACAGATTCATTCACGAATCACAAACCTGCCTTCTGGCTTTGGCATTTTCAAAGACCTAAGTTTTCAATTATTCATACAAAAACAAGGTGCTGCCAATATTCATTCAAGACTTGTACAATCCAAAACCAGAGCTATGGGAAACAATAATATGGTAAAGCACTCACCACACCAGAATGCAGCATCTGTCAATCATTTTAGCAGCAATCTTAGACCTGTAAAATGAGAATTAAATCATGCTTAAAACGCTTTTTAGATATGCTATTCTGAAAATAATTCAATTTTTTCTTCTCTATACACCACCATATTTCAAAGACAAAGTAACTTGAACAGGAAAAAAGGGTAAAATATTTAAGAAACAACACGGAAGCAATCTGCAACTCAGCTTCCAATTTGGTTTTCTATTCCCGGTCTCAAAACATGCAATTAATTAGTTGCCCTTGAAAAGTAAACTAATATAATGTAAATATACAAACAGATATATCACACCCTTCAAAATTTGCTATTAAGAATGTAAAAGAAACTGACATTAGGAGACAAATTCAATTAAATCATGATCTACAGCACATGTTGCTCTTTGCTGGGATTTCTTGCGCCGGCCCTGGAATGAGGATCTTCTTGCCTGCTAGGGATGCAGGGTTGCCATTGCCCTGATTCTCACCGGCAACTAGGTTCTTCTTGTTCAAAATGTTGAAGATCTCTGTAAGAACAGTTAAGAAGGCAGCCTCCACATTAGTCGCTTCAAGAGCTGAGGTCTCCAAGAAAAATAGTCCTTCCTTTTGAGCAAACTCCTTAGCATCCTCTGTGGGAACTGCCCGCTGGTTTTCAAGGTCACTTTTGTTCCCAATCAGGATAATAACAATGTTTTTGTCAGCATGGCCACGCAACTCTTCCAGCCAACGTGGAATGTGATCGAAGGTCTGCCGTTTCGTTATATCATAAACCAGCATTGCTCCAACTGCACCCCTATAGTATGCACTTGTAACAGCTCTGTATCTGTTCAATATAACATAAAAAAAGAAGCAAGATCACCAACAGCATGTAAAACAGAATTTAAGTTTTACTCAGATATGTATATAGTATCAATCGACCTAGATGGCTAGATTTGTATATCCAGCTAGGAGTAAGATAAGGCAAAAGAATTCACATAACCAGATACAAGTACCCCGGACAAGACCAGCTGGTCAGACTGTACAAAAGTCAGATAGATGCTTTATTAAACAAGTTCAATAATTAAGGGCTAGCCGAATCCAGGCAGTTCATCAACCACTTATTTAATAAGGTAAATATCTGAAAAGATTGCAACTAAACAGCTCATATACAAGATGGATGAAATGGATTGCAACCCTGTTTTCCGGCATGAATGCTTACTTAAAACAGAACCATTTATAAACGAACACACTACCATAAGCACATAATTTTAATGATAGGAAAAAAATTTGTTGCAAAGTGATGAGATCAAGCCTCTAATAGAATCATTGCTAGGTACCAAGCTACATCATTTATGCAGAAAAGATGACACCAGCAACGTATTAAAATTCAACTGAGGTCCATATCGTCATCGACTACCATGTAATATTTCATCAATCCGATCATTAAGTTCAAAGCTATATATAAAGATCAACGGTAACTATACAATTCATACATCAAACATCCAATCCTGATTGAAATTAAAAACCTTTAACCACCCAACTATCAAGAATTATAAACACAATCGTGTTAACTAACTAACCATGTATTGTCAGTCCACAGTAAATCTAGCAAACCAAATATTACTACTACTATTCCGAAATTCTGATCTTGGGTTTTCATTTTCAAACAGTTTTTTTGGCAAGCTTATAATTCTGTCTACAAACTACAGATCTAAAAAAGAACAAGGAAAAAGAAGCAAATGCGCATAAAATTAAAAACCACAAAAACTTTGACCAAAAAGAACAAGAAAAAACAAATCTTTGCATGAAAAGTTAAAAAGCATAGTACTTGTAATAGAAGTTAAAAAGAAAGTACCGTTCTTGACCAGCAGTGTCCCAGATCTGAGCCTTAACACTCTTGTGTTCAATAACAAGAGTTCTGGTCTGAAACTCAACTCCAATTGTAGCCTTGGAATCTAAACTAAACTCGTTTCTAGCAAACCGAGCAAGAATCTGAGACTTACCCACAGCAGAGTCACCAATCAAAACTACCTTGAAAACATAGTCAATCTTCTGGCTTGGGTCTCCATACCCTCCTCCACTAGCCATTTTTCTCTTGTTTTTCTTTCCTAGTTTTAGCCTTTTCCAACAGCTTTGCTTTTGCAGTTGATTTTGTATTGTTTTGCTCGGTTTCTCCCCCTGAAATATAGCTAAGAGATAGACTAGGGGGGGGGGGGGGGGGGGCTGGGGGCAATTGGTAAAGTTAGAGTTAAGATTTTGCCATTGCAAATGGCAATGGTAGTTTAAATTATTGATGTGAAGAAAGAAAATTTGTTAATTATGACTTATGAGAGAAAGTATGGGATACTAATCCAATGAGTAGCTGACATTTGTTATTAATATTGTAAATTGCTTTTTTCTTTTAATTCTTAATTTAACTTTGATTTCATAGTCTTTATACTATAAAAGAGACAAAATTATGCATATAAGTCTTTTTGAATTTGTAATTTTTAATAATTTAATCCATATGTATATTATTTAAATTAATATCTTTAGTAAAATTTTTTAATTTCATAAAAAATTAACAAAAAATATGAATCAATTTTCTAATTTTATTTATAATGTATTAAAAATAACTTTTCTCTTTTAATCTAGTGATTAAAAGGCCTAAAAATCATATAAGACGTGAGTTCTACCCTCATCCCTCTTCCCTTCTTATAAAGATATTAATTTTTTTTAACTAAAATATATATAATGTATTAAAAATAAATTTTTTATGACTATTTATTTATTAGAAACTCTTTTTAGCCTAAAGTGAATGTTAAAAAAATAAATCTTAAGTTGCTAAAAAGTATTTAACAGATTTGAATTTTCTTATGAGTTCCAAAAGTTTAAAATTCAATAGTCAAATTTCTTACTAATATTTTTTAACTTTGTAACTTATTGTTAATGATAATAAGTTGAGAATTAGGATCAAAACTTATGAATATTGGTGTAATTTAGTTTAATATGAATAATAAAATAATAAAAAATAGAAAATAATGTTTGAAATTCGCTTTGGGAAGAGATGATATTTTATATAAAAATTATGTATTATAATTTATATCGATATAAAATATAAAAATTTTTATTTTTATTAAATTTAAATATAATATTATTAAAATTTTAAATTAAATTCTTTTTATATCTTATTTTTTTTAAGACTCTCAATATTCAATAATCATTTTAAGTTTCAATTAATTTAAAAATAAATCGGATCTAATTTTATAAAAAAAAGTTTTTAATGCTTATTTTATTTATTTATAAAATTAAAAATCGAGATTTTATTTTTAAAAAATTAAATTTTTTAATCATATATTTATATTTATATTATATTATCGTATTATTTTTAAAGATGTTTCAGAATGAATGTGGATTGAGTTGTCAGTGGCGTGGGAGTCTGCTGTTTAGCGCGCATGTTTCGGGTGAGTTGTCTGTCCCTTTACCTCGCCATCCTTTAATTATATTTTTCCTCTGCAACCTTTCCCATTCAACAAATACCGTCACTTCTGACTTCTCTGCTCCATGATTTTGATCTTATCAAGGTTGATTTTGATTCTTCAAAGGGTAAATTTATATGTTCACAGTCAAGTTCATGTACCCCACGCTTTTTGGAACGCAACAAAAATAAAATACAATGGTCATATTATTATCACAACGCTCTAACTAATTGAACTAACAGATCATTTTGATTTTGTTTTGCAAAGTAGCAATATTCTTTTCGTTCGCTCGGCCCAAAAGAATTTGAACCCTAAAACCCAATTAATGAATGGATGGGATCAAGGAAATTCAATTTGAATGAGACACAATGCAGGCTAAAAAAGAGTAGGTTTAGCATAAATAGTCGTATAAATAAATAAAAAAAGGGTTAATATGATGTACAAGTTCACATGGCATGAAGCAAGCATAAATTCAAATATTTTAGTTTTTTTTTTTAAGAATTAAAAGTGCCCTATATTCAATTGTTATTACCCAAAACCTTAGAATAAAAAATCACCAATTAAATTTCTTATTTAATGCTTTTTTTATTATTATTTTATACATCCATTAAACCAAAAACCCCAATATTCAATCATTAAGCAAACCAAAATGAAATTGAATAATAAATAATTCATATAAAAGATAATAATTTAATATGATTTAATATTAAACTTATATACATTCATTAGTAAGAAAATAAATCCATTAATTACAAAAAATTTATAAATATATTAAATCATTAACACTCAATCTCAAATAAAAAAATCATAACTCAGATGTACAATTATAGTAATTACAACCTGACCAAACAATGAACTGTTCAAAATATCAAATTATTGGGTTAATGATTGAAACGCTAAGTCAATTAGATCAATTGTTGGATCAATTATTCAATAGTTCAAAGTTTGTTCGACATGCATTGCTATATACCTTTCTTATTTTGATTTATACATTTTTCTTTATTAAGTTAAATGTATGACAAAAGTTACCGCTATAATAAGTATTACTTTTATATAAAAATTATTAATTAAATCATATAAACAAATCAACTAATTAACCAACACATGAAATCTAATATAAAATTAAATTAAATCCATATTTAAATCTATTTATTTGCCACTAAACCATTAATAATTCATTGGCCTCGTCAATATATTTTGTAGCCTTACACGCCACTATATGTAAATTCCAAAAATATGACAAATTATTATTAACGTTGGCCTCCTAAAATATCAATCAATTTGCATGTCTTTCCAAATATGCATACTATAAAAATACAAAAAAAAAAAAAAAAAAGGTTTGGGTTAAGATGGTTACATCTTCTTAATAAAAAGAAAAAAATCTAAATTTATTTTTTTTTTTTTCTTGAATATTTTTGCAGATGTATTAAAAAATGCAAACAACAAATTACAGAGAGATTTTTAAAAAATCCTAAATAACAAGGTGTTTAATATGCTACTTTCCATTAATTTTTTATAAAAATAAAATATGATTATAATTTATAATAATTTAAAATTTTTCAATGGTTAAGGAACAGCGGTTTAATTAGATGGTTAATACTAAAATATTATGTCTATTATATTCTACAAAGGTATAATTTTAAAATAAGAAGATTCCAATTCAAATCCTTTAGTTGAAAGATAACTATACCTTTTTCCTTTTAATGGGAGACATTATTATATTTATCATTAACTCAAACAATTATATAAGTAATAAAAAATGAAGATGAATTCTAAAAGTTAATTAAAAGATAAGATAAAGAAGTTGCTTTCATGAAAGGTTAAAGGGTGAGAGAGGGTTGATTTTAAAAAACCGATTGGATGATAAGAATATTTTAAAATTGTTAATTTTAAATTAATATAAAAATATATTACAAATTTATATTATATTTGAAAAATAAAAAAATCATTAAAAATGGAATATTTTAAAGTTTTATTTTATTTTAAATTATAATATTTGATAAAATATATTTAAAATATTAAATTATGAAAATTATTTATTTTAAATTAACAACTTTGCTAGTTTTCTTTATAGTACGTTGGCATTTTTCCCTCTTCGAAATTATTCATTAATCAAGCAGACATCCTCGTTGAAGGAAAACTCAAAGTTCTAAGATTAGACATCGTATTTTATTAATAATTTGTGTTTCATTAATAATCATTAAATATTTAATTTAAAATTAATTGGTAATAAATAAAAAATTTTAATTTAAATATAAAATCATAAAAAATTTAATATTTAACAGATATAAAATGATATTATTTTAACAACAATTTCGCATTCTTTAAATGCTTTGAATTTAATTCGAATTTGTTTTAATTTAAATCTACAATTGAGATAAACTTTTATGTTCATAGTCAATTTTATTTAGTCTAATTAAAAGTTTAATTTTCAAGTTTAAAATCTAATAGCTAATTGAGTCTTGGAACACGAATATGGGTTGACCATTGGTTTTTAGTTCATTTTTTGTGTGATTATTATTTATTTACTTTTGTTTTAACTATACAATAAATTTAAAAACACTTTAAAATTAAAATAATTAATAAACATATAAAAAAATTGACCCGAATAAATAATAAAAACACGTAAATAACAGAGACCATTGATCGAATGAACCAAGCAAACAAACAAATATATAAATCTCGAATATAAGATAAAATTTTTTTTTAAATGAAAATAATTGACTGATAGATTTATCATGACTGATGGGATCTTCAGAATAAAAGAATCTTCTCCCTCTGATATGAATGTTCAACCGAAATTAGGGATTTAATAATTCATTAAATGATACAACAAAAGGTTTTTGGTTTGATTCAATGTTTTTATACAAATTAAAAAACGTTTGTAAACCAAAAAAAGAAACAAAACCTTGAAACTGGAAGAGATTCATTAAACAGAGACATGAAAGGGCTGATGGAGGGAATTAAAAAAAAATTAATGTTATTCATAAAATGGAGTTTTTTTCTCAAAGAAATGTACTTACAAATCTTTATTCCCAAAATACGGAACTTTTATTCTTTTTCCCAAAATGTGTACTTTTTTGCCACGTAAACACTTAATCACCACGTCAGCTTTTGACTTCCCCCCAGTCATTGTTTTCATTTCTCTTTCAATTCTTTTCTTTCTTTTCTCAAATTTTTATTTGCCCAGTTAAGGTTGACAATCGAAAGGTTGACAATCGAAACTGAATTCGTCGGGTTTTGATTCGCCCTATAATATTTTTTTTTATCAAAATGGCTTCAAAATTAAGTTTCAGATTGGGTTTTTTTTTTTTATGAAAAAATCAAAATTCAATTCGATCAAATTTTAGATAAATTCGTCGATCTGATATATATATGATATTTTTTTTATTATTTATTTAATTTTAAATTTATATGTAAAAATAATATTTTATGTAAAAAATTTTTATATTAAAAAATAATATTTTATTAATTTTAAATCAAATCAATTATAATTTTATATATACGAACCAAATCAGATATAAAAAATAATATTTTAAAATTGTATCAAATCATATTCATATATTTAATATATAAAATTAGATCAAATTGGATAGGAGCAAAAACTTGATCTATTGTCATCTTTATGTTCAACCACAATTATTCAGATATGAAGCTACTGTAAAAAAGAGTAGGGTATGTCTGAAGCTAATTGAATCAACTATAAAAATTAATCAACTGAATTTTAAAATATCCATTTATTTTTTGGCACAATGGAGTAAATGGCCCCCTAAAAATGAAACAAGTTTTTGTAAATCAATTCCCAGTTTATCCGCATGCAACAACATGGACAATTCTTCAAACGTTTTAGAAATTACCTTGATTCCTGATCGCTATTCAAGACTTTTTTCATAGCCAATCAATCACATATTCTTTTGTTTGTATATATGCTTCTGCTGCCAAGTCCAACTATTATCAAGAGGATTTTATATGGCTGTCACCATTGGAGCTGAAGAATGATGTTGGGTGATCTTTTGCTTTTATGAGCTTAAAGAGCCAAATTCAATGTCAAGCTTATTGATTCCGAAATATTTGGCTATTTTCATTCCATGATTGATTAATTTTATCATAACATATAAATCTGAAAATTTATAATTAGATTCAACAAGAGTAATCACCGATAATTTTTTTTTTAGAGGTGATTGGTCACCTAATGAATTTATCTTTTTAAAAACTTATAAGCTTGACGAATTATTCTTAAAAGAATAGATTCTGGTCTATTAATTAAAATATGGTTTGGAAGTTTGGTTACATATAAGAAATGTTTAACATTTTTATATGTCCATTCAAAGGATGGTACCATTTTATTTTAAATTTTCATAAAGTCTTAATTCTAATAGTTTTAAATTTTATATTGAGTATTAAAATAACTTTTAAGATTTTTCATCAATCTAATAAAATTTTTAAAAATATTTTCTCACTTTAAGAGTATTCAAGAATTTCATTTATTTTTTTTGAAAAGGCTCCATTGTTAGAAAAAGTTTAATATTTTTTATTTTAGTTTGTTTATTGAAAATATATCTAATTATTCCATAATTTTGGTCAAATTAAAAATATTTTCTCATCTATAAATTTATTAGATAATCAACCATTTGTGATTACTAATAATTTCATTTCAAAATTTATTTTTATTTTTATTTGTATTTTATTTCTAAATTTTTCACAATTTAGGTTAATTTAAAAATATCTTTTTTATTTCTAAATTTTTCACCATTTTGGTCTATTTAAAAAAATTTATGTTTTTTTATCTCATGACAAATTTAAATTCTAAATTTAAATTCTTTCACTATTTGTGACAAATTTAGAGAAAATTTTCACACAGAGATTTCTTAAGAAATTTATCATTTGAAATTTCTAATAATATTATCATTGGGTAATTAGTATTTAATTTCAAAATTTTTCATTAAATTTTGTGTTTTTTTAAAATTAAAAATAAGTATTAATTATTTTGTTGAAATTTTATCTAAATTATTCTACCATTTGGGACAAATTTTAAAAAAAAAATCTCATTTAAAAATTTTATAGAAATTTACTATTTGAAATTTCTAAAAATTTTATCATTGGATAATTATTATTTATTCTAAAAAAATATTTTATTTTTTAAATTTTTTAAAAAAATTTAACCATGTAAAAATATTTTAAAAATAAATAAAATAACTAAATAAATTAAATTAATACCAAATAGGATCGCGCGTGACTTTAGCGGCTGCGGTGTAGCTCAGTTTCAATGGTTGCTACGCAGCTTGACTTTAGACACAGAAGGCAGCTCTGGAGACATGGCTAAGCAACTTGACTTGACTTCGAATTCTAGCTGCTAGAAGCATGTCGCGACTCAAGGCACTATAGATCGGGTTACCCTAACGAAAATGCACGGATTCTGAAACCGTTTAACCTCTAAAATGACGTTATTTTAATGGAATATAAATAGGCCAAAACTTTCTTTTTCCTTAGATTTCTTCTTCCTCTCTCTCTCTTTTTTTTTCTCTCTCTAAAAACTAATGAACATCGATTGAATTTTCACTGAATTCTGAAAAATTTCATCGAAATTTGGATTGAGTCACCGAAAGTTATTTGGTTTTTAAAAAACCCATGCCGTAAATTGAAAATCTCATTAAAAACTGAGAATCTCACCAAAAAGTCATCGTAATCTTCAAAGATTGTCCAAAAATTCAATCAAAAACTAGGATTTCCAAAAAAAATTTTAGAAAAAAATTGCAAATCTTTTTTCAAAACAACGATTTCCTTAAAATTTTTATTGTTTTCATGTATGCTTTTTCTCTGCCTTTCTGTGTTTGTTTTTCTCTTTTGTGTAGTGAGTATATATTTATAGGTTTTTAATTAAGAGAACTCTAATCCAAAAAAGATTTTGATTCCCTTTAAATTTTAACTTTAAATTTTAAGTCCAATCCAAATTCAGACAAACAATTTTATTTAAACTTTCTCTTTCATTTCTTTTTTATTTTTTATTCTTTATTTTTTTAATTAATAAAAAAAACTAAAACTTCAGACAAAATTGAGTATTTACAAGTTTTGACATGAATTCTTTCATGAATTCAGATTCATTGTAATTGGGTAAAGAAACAACTTAGAAAAAAACCAAGGATTAGGAGAAAGAAAACAAGGGTAAAAGGAGAAAAGTACAATAATGACATGGTATAAAAAATCTTAATTTAAGAAATAAGAATAGAAGTAACTTGCTTTGGGAATAAAAATTTTAAATGCATCATTTTAAGAAAAAACTCTCATAGTCAAATTTATTTTTAAGTGCTTTGAATTTAATTCAAGTTTGTTTTAATTCGAATCTAAAATTAAGATAAACGCTTGTGTTCATAGTCAATTTTATTTAGTACAATTAAAAGTTCAATTTTCAAGTTTAAAGTCTTGTAGCTAATTGAGCCTTGGAAGTGGAGTATGGGTTGAGCATTGGTTTTTAGTTCATTTTTTGTTTGATAATTATTATTTATTTACTTTTGTTATAATAATATAATAAATTTTAAAAATATCAAAAAATTAAAATACCAAAATTTTTTTAAAAAATTTAAAAAATTAAAGAAAATCTTGGAAACAAATCATAATTCAAAAAAAAATTTCAGATTGTAAATTCATTAGAAAGAAATTAAATTTGAAAATTAAAATTTGAGGAAAATGAAATAGGAAAATTTTTGGAAAAGAAAAGCTTGGAGCCAAAGGAATAAACCGAAAATTGAGGACCCAGAAAACTTGAAAAAGGAAAAAAACGAGAATAAGAGTTGCTTAACACGTAATTATAATCACAAATTTAGGTTTATTTTGTAAATCAGAATCTATTTTTTATTTTTAGCAATCGAATTCTCAAATTTATACGTTATTATGAAAAAAATTCAAACTTTGCAAGGTATATTTGCCATCTGAATTTATTAACCCATATGGTTAATTTATTAACATGAATAAACATTTCAAATTTTATAAAAAAATAAATTAATAATTATAATTTCCAAAAATGAAAAAAAAAACCTTTTCTTTATTTAAATTGAGGTACTCCACAAAAATGAGATGAATGATTTTCCATTTTAATTGCAAGTTGTAGAAAGCAAAACGCAATGCTATTAAGAGAGATTCAAAACCAAAGACCCATTGAAAGGAAGGGAAAAACTTGCTACTATAATGTATCCTGTTTTTAGCAAATTGGTAAAAATTCGAGGGAAAGCATAGTTGAAAAGCATGAAAAAGAAAATAATGCAACTTTAAATATAAAAGGGGATATGCCTAAAATGAACATATAAAGTTTCATGACAAAAACCATGGTAAATACTATGAACCTTGTAACAAGTATGCCAGCTGTCCCACATTTTGTACTCGAGGAGCCTGCCAAAAGTTTACAGTGATCTTATTTAATGCGTTTCCCCATGTTTCCTTGTCAAGTCTATGAATTCTCACGTATCAAGCAAAATCAATGCACCGCCATGTTCATCTATATATAGTACTCATTGATAACCCAAATCCGAGTTCTTCATAGCTTCTGATCTCATCTCTTCTCATAACCATCAATTTTTGCCAGGATTAAATTTAAGCATGGATTCTTCAGTTAATGTCCCAAGATGGACACCAAACCCTGCAAGATCACCTCAAAAGGAGCCTGAACCAGCTCATGATGCCTTAGAAGTTCAAAGCATAGTTTCTGAAGAAGATAACTACAGCTTTTCTAACAATATGGAAACAAATTTCCCGTTTAGCACTGGCTTTACAAGGAGCACTAACCCTCCTTCTGACTCAGGTAGTGATCATGATATAGTCATTGATCATATTCATCCATTTATAATCATTGATAACCCAAATCCAATCCGCCATAGCTTCTAATCTCAATCTCATCTCATATCCATCAACTTTTTCCAGGATTAAATTTAAGCATGGATTCTGCAGTTAAGGTCCCAAGATGGACACCTAGCCCTGCAAGATCACCTCAAAAGGAGCCTGAACTTGCTCATGATGCCTTGATGGTTCGGAGCATAGTTTCTGAAGAAGATAACTACAGCTTCTCTAACAATATGGAAATAAATTTCCCGTTTAGCACTGGCTTTACAAGGAGCACTAACCCTCCTCCTGACTCAGGTATTCAGCATGATATCGTCAATGATCATATTCATCCATATATAGTCATTGATAACCCAAATCCGAGTTCTTCATAGCTTCTGATCTAATCTCAACTCATATCCACCAACTTTTGCCAGGATTAAATTTAAGCATGGATTCTTCAGTTAATGTCCCAAGATGGACACCAAACCCTGCAAGATCACCTCGAAAGGAGCCTGAACCAGTTCATGATGCCTTGGAGGTTCAAAGCATAGTTTCTGAACAAGATAACTACAGCTTTTCTAACAATATGGAAACAAATTTCCCGTTTAGTACTGGCTTAACAAGGAGCACTAACCCTCATCCTGACTCAGGTATTGATCATGATATAGTGATTGATCATATTCATCCATTTATAGTCATTGTTAACCCAAATCCAATCCGCCATAGCTTCTAATCTCAATCTCATCTTATATCCATCAACTTTTTCCAGGGTTAAATTTAAGCATGGATTCTGCAGTTAAGGTCCCAAGATGGATACCTAGCCCTGCAAGATCACCTCAAAAGGAGCCTGAACTTGCTCATGATGCCTCGAAGGTTCGAAGCCTAGTTTCTGAAGAAGATAACTACAGCTTCTCTAACAATATGGAAACAAATTTCCCGTTTAGCACTGGCTTTACAAGGAGCACTAACCCTCCTCCTGGCTCAGGTATTCACCATGATATCGTCATTGATCATATTCATCCATATATAGTCATTGATAACCCAAATCCGAGTTCTTCATAGCTTCTGATCTCATCTCATCTCATATCCATCAATTTTTGCCAGGATTAAATTTAAGCATGGATTCTTCAGTTAAAGTCCCAAGATGGACACCAAACCCTGCAAGATCACCTCAAAAGGAGCCTGAACCAGCTCATGATGCCTTGGAGGTTCAAAGCATAGTTTCTGAAGAAGATAACTACGGCTTTTCTAACAATATGGAAACAAATTTCCCGTTTAGCACTGGCTTAACAAGGAGCACTAGCCCTCCTCCTGACTCAGGTATTGATCATGATATCGTCATTGATCATATTCATCCATTTATAGTCATTGATAACCCAAATCCAATCCGCCATAGCTTCTAATCTCAATCTCATCTCATATCCATCAACTTTTTCCAGGATTAAATTTAAGCATGGATTCTGCAGTTAAGGTCCCAAGATGGATACCTAGCCCTGCAAGATCACCTCAAAAGGAGCCTGAACTTGCTCATGATGCCTTGAAGGTTCGAAGCATAGTTTCCGAAGAAGATAACTACAGCTTCTCTAACAATATGGAAACAAATTTCCCGTTTAGCACTGGCTTTACAAGGAGCACTAATCCTCCTCCTGACTCAGGTATTCACCATGATATCGTCATTGATCATATTCATCCATATACAGTCATTGATAACCCAAATCCGAGTTCGTCATAGCTTCTGATCTCATCTCATCTCATATCCATCAATTTTTGCCAGGATTAAATTTAAGCATGGATTCTTCAGTTAATGTCCCAAGATGGACACCAAAACCTGCAAGATCACCTCAAAAGGAACCTGAACCAGCTCATGATGCCTTGGAGGTTCAAAGCATAGTTTCTAAAGAAGATAACTACAGCTTTTCTAACAATATGGAAACAAATTTCCCGTTTAGTACTGGCTTAACAAGGAGCACTAACCCTCCTCCTGACTCAGGTATTGATCATGATATAGTCATCGATCATATTCATCCATTTATAGTCATTGATAACCCAAATCCAGTCCGCCATAGCTTCTAATCTCAATCTCATCTTATATCCATCAACTTTTCCCAGGATTAAATTTAAGCATGGATTCTGCAGTTAAGGTCACAAGATGGATACCTAGATCTGCAAGATCACCTCAAAAGGGGCCTGAACTTGCTCATGATGCCTTGAAGGTTCGAAGCATAGTTTCTGAAGAAGATAACTACAGCTTCTCTAACAATATGGAAACAAATTTCCCGTTTAGCACTGGCTTTACAAGGAGCACTAACCCTCCTCCCGACTCAGGTATTCAGCATGATAACGTCATTGATCATATTCATCCATATATAGTCATTGATAACCCAAATCCGATCCGCCATGGCTTCTGATCTCATCTCATCTCATATCCATCAACTTTTGTCAGGATTAAATTTAAGCATGGATTCTTCAGTTAATATCCGAAGATGGACACCAAGCCCCGCAAGATCACTTCCAAAGGAGCCTGAACCTGCTCATGATGCCTTGAAGGTTCGAAGCATAGTTTCTGAAGAAGATAACTACAGCTTCTCTAACAATATGGAAACAAATTTCCCGTTTAGCACTGGCTTTGCAAGGAGCACAAACTCTCATCCTGACTCAGATATTGATCATGAAGAGCCCTCTTTCAGGATTGAGATGGACCCAGTTGGTAGCAGAGTTGATTGTACACCAAAAGCTGATGGAATTTTCTTGACATGGACTGATTCGGGTGGGAAAAAGCAAACCAGGGCAATCTTACAGGGGCTTACCGGATATGCTGAGCCTGGTGAGGTACTAGCCATCACGGGACCTTCAGGTTCTGGCAAGTCCACCCTTCTTGATGCGTTGGCAGGTATTTCAATTTTCCAATAGCACCTTCTTTGATTGCATTTTCATGATATCATCACCATGACTAGTTTTACACAACTTCTGAATGAAGATACAAAAACTAATTATTTGAATTTGAAGTCAATGGTGGCGATAAAAGATTTGCTCAGGTTTCTCACTCTTTGAAATAGCAATACATTAGTCTATGTCAGATGTGGGGACGTCCAATTAGAAATTCCCGTTATTACAGTTTATATTTTTGGTAAATTGAAGCTTGAAATATTTGCAGTAAAATTCTTTAAATTTTGGTACTAATTGCAGCAAAATTCTAAACCTTGTAGTTGTTTCTTCTTCTGAATCAAAAAGAAGAAGAAAAAACCTCTCTCTCCTACGTCCTAACTGTTGGCCTGTTGACACTTTTTCTACTTAGGCCGCTTGCTGCTTCCAGGGAATCAGTCAATTCAATTACAGGAAATTGAGACTTCTAAATAAATCCATTTAACTTGGTCTAAAATTTTCATCTTATTATAATTTTTATAATAATTCCTTTGTTTTTTAATTTTATAATAAACTGATAAATATTTAATTGCAGGAAGACTAGGTTCAAATACACAACAATGGGGAGATCCTGATTAATGGTCACAAGTAATTAAACACTAGCTTTTAGAACTTCTGTAAGGAAAAGCAAAGAGGAAAATTCCAATAATACAAATCCATGATTTCTTATGAATTATATGCTGCACTTATTCCAACAGTAACGAGTGCTTTCAATTTTGAAACAGTAAGAAATAAGAATGTTGATAATAAAATCAACCCACGAAACAATTCATAATTTTAAAATATGAATTCTTTTGTGGGTTGATTTTATTAGATGGTTAATACTAAAATATTATGTCTATTATATTCTACAAAGGTATAATTTTAAAATAAGAAGATTCCAATTCAAATCCTTTAGTTGAAAGATAACTATACTTTTCCTTTTTAATGAAGACATTTTATATTTATTATTAAGTCAAAACAATGATAAAGTATATAATTAAGATGAATTCCCAAAGTAATTAAAAGATAAGATAAAGAAGTTGCGTTCATAAAGGTTAAAGGAGAGAAAGGGTTGATTTTAAAATACCGATTGGATGATAAGAATACTTTAAAATAGTTAATTTTAAATTAATATAAAAATATATTACAAATTTATATTATATTTGAAAATTAAAAAAAAAAAACTCATTAAAAATGGAAAATTTTAAAGTTTATTTTATTTTAAATTATAATATTTGATATAATAATATTAAATTTTATATTCTATTTTAAAAATAAAAAACTCATTAAAATATAAAATTTTAAAAGTTTTTCTCAGTGTAAACTTATAAGTGACAAATACATGTCGGCAACTAATATACATATATATATATATATATACATACATGATTAACACAACTGGCTGATTAGCTAGCCCACAACAAGTCATTTACCATTTACAACCTTTTTTTTTTTTAAATTGTATTGAAAAAAACAGGAAAAAAAATCTGACCTAAAATAATTTATGTATGAATAAGTCAAAAGTTTGAAAAGCCGACGCATGGCTCCGCTGTCCGCAGTAGCAAGGAAGCAGAGCATCTGAAGAATAGGATGGACTGGAAGTCTTAGAGTTCTGATAATACACATTTAAAGCCAACTTTGCCAGTTTTCATTTTAGTACGTTGGTATTTGACCCTCTTCAAAAATATTCATTAAGCAAAGCAGACATCTTCGTCGAAGGAAAACTCAAAGTTCCAAGACTAGACATCGTATTTTGTTTGGAATGATTAGATTAATTTGTGTTTCATTAATAATTGTTAAATATTTAATTTAAAATTAATTAATAATAAATAAAAATTTTCAACTTAAACAAAAAATTATAAAAAATTTAATATTTAACAGATGTAGAATGATATTACTTTAACAATAATTTCGCATTCTTTTAAATGCTTTGAATTTATTCAAATTTGTCTTAATTTGAATTTAAAATCAATATAAATTTTTATGTTCATAGTCAATTTTATTTAGTCCAATTAAAAGTTTAATTTTTTAAGTTTAAAGTCTAATAGCTAATCGAGTCTTGGAACTCGAATATGGGTTGGCCATTGGTTTTTAGTTCATTTTTTGTGTGATTATTATTTATTTACTTTTGTTTTAACTGTACAATAAGTTTAAAAACACGCTAAAATTGAAATAATTAATAAGCATATGAAAAATTGACCCAAATAAATAATAAAAACACGTAAATAACAGAGAACACGAAATTAACGTAGACCTGTTGAATGAATGAACCAAGCAAACAAAAAAATATATAAATCTTATATATGAGATAAAAAAATCTTTTAGAAATGAAAATAATTGACCGATAGATTTATCTTGACTGATCGGATCTTCAGAAAAAAAAAATGTTTTTCTCGTTTTGTTAAATGAGAGTGGAATTTTTCCTTACGATAATGTTAGAAATTTGAATAACCAATTGAATTGGGAGAACCTAAATAATTAGGTTTTTTTTTTTTTTAATTTTTGAGATTTCAAAGGACTTTTTAAAATTTATTTATTGATTTGATGATAAATATTCATAATCGTTGATTTTTAAAAAAATAAAAAAAATTGTAAAATCAATTGAAAAAAAGAATGCAAAAGGATAATACTAGCAAAATTTGATGAACTATCTCCCCCTCGTATGAATGTTAAACCTAAATCGGGATTTAATAATTCCTTAAATGATACAACAAAAGGTTTTTGGTTTGATTCAATGTTTTTATACAAATTAAAAAAGGTTTGTAAACAAAAAAAAAAAACAAGACATGAATTTAAAAAAAAAAAAATCTTGAAATTGGAAGAGATTCACTAAACAGAGTTAGGAAAGGGCTGATGGGAGGAATTAAAAAAATTAATGTTATTCAGAAAATGAAGCTTTTTCTCAAAGAAATGTACTTACAAATCTTTATTCCCAAAATATGGGACTTGTATCGTTATTTCCCAAAATATGTTCTATTTTGTCACATAAACATTTAGACTCTATTTGGATAGATGGGGCGGTGAGATTGAAAAAAAAATAATGAAAGTTATTATAATTATAATTAAAAAAATTTTAATAAAAAATTTAGGTTAACTTGATTTTATTGAAATTAGCATTTAAATTTAACTGAAAGTATAATAAATTTAATCATACTACACTCATTGCATCGATGTGGTGAAATCTAAATGACAATTTAATCACCACGTCAGTTGACTTCCCCACTTGTCATTGTTTTTTTTTTTTCTTTCAATATTTTCTTTCTTTTCTCATATTTTTATTTGCCTGGTTAAAGTTGACAATCCAACTTGAATTCGTCGGATTTTGACCCTGTAATATATATATTTTTAAATTATTTCAAAATTGAGTTTCAGAATGAGTTTTTTTTAAAAAAAAATTAAAATTAAGTTAAAATTAGATTTAAGTAAACTCGACTCGATCTGATTTAAATATAATATATATTTTTTATTTATTTAATTTTATATTTATATATGTTTTATGTTTATTTAATTTTATATTTATATTTTAAAAAATAATATTTTAAATTAAAAATTTTTATATTAAAAAAATAATATTTTATTAATTTTAAATCGAATTGATTATAGTTTTATACATATAAGAATTAGATTGGATATAAAAATAATATTTTAAAAGCAAAATTCAATTTCAAGCTGATTGATTCCCAAAATTTTAGCTATTTTCACTCCATGATTGATTAGTTTTGACATGAATTCTTTCATAAATTCATATTCATTGTAATTGGACAAATAAATAACATAGAAAAAAAAAACAAGGATTTGGATGAGAAAGAAAACAAAGGTAAAAGGAGAAAAGTACATTAATGACATGGTAAAAAAAAAATCTTAATTTGAGAAATAAGAATAGAAGTAACTTGCTTTGAGAATAAAAATTTTTAAGTGCATTATTTTAAGAAAAAACTCTCATAAAATGATGATGACAAGTAAGAAAGAGAAGATGAATTTGAGATGGTAAATGAAAGGAATTGATATGGCAATATCCACATGTCACAATATTAAAATCAAAAAATAAAAATACATGTTAAGTTAAATTTTATAGCTTTTAGATGCTTTGAATTTAATTCAAGTTTGTTTTGATTTGAATCTAAAATTAAGATAAAACTCTTGTGTTCATAATCAATTTTATTTAATCTAATTAAAAGTTCAAATTTCAAGTTTAAAATCAAATAGCTAATTGAGCCTTGGAATTGGAGTATGGGTTAACTATTGGTTTTTAGTTCATTTTTTGTTTGATAATTATTATTTATTTACTTTTGTTTTAAGTATACAACAAATTTAAAAAAATTAAAAAAAAATTAACGAAAATCTTGGAAACAAATTAGAATTCGAAAAGTCTTTTCAAACGGAAAATTCTTTAAAAGAAAATTAAATTTGAGGAAAATGAAATTGGAAAATTTTTAGAAAAGAAAGCTTGGAGCCAAAAAATTGAGGACCAAGAAAACTTGAAAAAGAAAAAGACGAGAATAAGATTTACTTGAACGTAAAAATAATTAAACTTAAATCAAAATTTATTTTTTATATTTAGTAATCAAATTCTCAAACTTGCACATTATTATAAAAAAAAATTCAAAGTTTACAAGGTATTTTTGCCATTCGAATTTATTAACCCATATGGTTAATTTATTAACATAAATTTTATAAAAAAAATAATTTTATAATTTCCAAAAATGGAAAAAAAACCTTTTCTTTATTTAAATTGAGGTACTCCACAAAACTGAGATGAATGATTTTCCATTTTAATTGCAAGTTGTAGAAAGCAAAACGCAATGCTATTAAGAGAGATTCAAAACCAAAGAACCATTGTAAGGAAGGGAAAAACTTGCTACTATAATGTATCCTGTTTTTAGCAAATTGGTAAAAATCGAGGGAAACCATAGTTGAAAAGTATGAAAAAGAAAATAATGCAACTTTAAATATAAAAAGGAATATGCCTAAAATGAACACATAAATTTTCATGACAAAAACCATGTTAAATACTATGAACCTTGTAACAAGCATGTCAGCTGTCCCACATTTTTGTATTCCAGGAGCCTGCCAAAAGTTTACAGTGATCCTTATTTAATGCGTTTCCCCATGTTTCCTGGTCAAAGTCTATGAATTCTTACCTACCAAGCAAAAATCAATGCAGCGCCATGTTCATCTATATATAGTACTCATTGATAACCCAAATCCGAGTTCTTCATAGCTTCTGATCTCATCTCATCTCATCAACTTTTGTCAGGATTAAATTTAAGCATGGATTCTTCAGTTAATGTCCCAAGATGGACACCAAACCCCGCAAGATCACCTCAAAAGGAGCCTGAACGAGCTCATGATGCCTTGGAGGTTCAAAGCATAGTTTCTGAACAAGATAACTATAGCTTTTCTAACAATATGGAAACAAATTTCCCGTTTAGCACTGGCTTTACAAGGAGCACTAACCCTCCTTCTGACTCAGGTATTGATCATGATATGGTCATTGATCATATTCATTCCTTTATAGTCATTGATAACCCAAATCCAATCCGCTATAGCTTCTAATCTCAATCTCATCTTATATCCATCAACTTTTTCCAGGATTAAATTTAAGCATGGATTCTGCAGTTAAGGTCCCAAGATGGATACCTAGCCCTGCAAGATCACCTCGAAAGGAGCCTGAACTTGCTCATGATGCCTTGAAGGTTCGAAGCATAGTTTCTGAAGAAGATAACTACAGCTTCTCTAACAATATGGAAACAAATTTCCCGTTTAGCACTGGCTTTACAAGGAGCACTAACCCTCCTCCTGACTCAGGTATTCAGCATGATGTCGTCATTGATCTTATTCATCCATATATAGTCATTGATAACCCAAGTCCGATCCGCCATAGCTTCTGATCTCAATCTCGTCTCATATCCATCAACTTTTTGTCAGGATTAAATTTAAGAACTGATTCTTCAGCTAATGTCCCAAGATGGACACCAAGCCCTGCAAGATCACCTCAAAAGGAGCCTGAACCTGCTCATGATGCCTTGAAGGTTCGAAGCATAGTTTCTGAAGAAGATAACTACAGCTTCTCTAACAATATGGAAACAAATTTCCCGTTTAGCATTGGCTTTTTAAGGAGGACAAACCCTCATCCTGACTCAGATATTGATCATGAAGGGCCCTCTTTCAGAATTGAGATGGAACCAGTTGGTAGTAGAGTTGATTGTAAACCAAAAGCTGATGGAATTTTCTTGACATGGACTGATCTTTGGGTGACTGTTTCGAGTGGGAACAAGCAAACCAAGGCAATCTTACAGGGGCTTACCGGATATGCTGAGCCTGGTGAGGTACTAGCCATCTTGGGACCTTCAGGTTCTGGCAAGTCCACCCTTCTTGATGCGTTGGCAGGTATTTCCATTTTCCAGTAGCATCTTCTTTGATTGCATTTTCATGATATCATCACCATGACTAGTTTTACACAACTTCTGAATGAAGATACAAAAAATAATTATTTGAATTTGAAGTCAATAGTAGTGGTAAAAGATTTGCTCAGGTTTCTGACTCTTTGAGATAGAAATACATAAGTCTATGTCAGATGTGGGGACGTCCAATTAGAGATTCCCATTATTACAGTTCATATTTTTTGTAAATTGAAGTTTGAAATGTTTGCAGTAAAATTCTTTAAATTTTGGCACTTGTTGCAGCAAAATTCTGAAGCTTGTAGTTGTTTCTTCTTCTGAATCAAAAAGAAGAAGAAAAAACCTCTCTCTTCTACGTCTTGACTGTTGGCCTGTCAACACTTTTTCCCCACTAGCCAATGTGAATTATTGCTGCTTCTGGGGAATTAGTCAAGTCAATTACAGGAAATTAGGACTTTTAAATAAATCCATTTACCATGGTCTAAAATTTTCAGCTTGTTATAGTTTTTATAATAATTCCTCTTTTTTAATTTTATAATAAACTGATAAATATTTAATTGCAGGAAGAATAGGTTCAAATACACGACAAACTGGGGAGATCCTGATTAATGGTCACAAGGAAACACTAGCTTTTGGAACTTCGGTAAGGAAAAGCAAAGAGGAAAATTCCAATCATACGAGTCCATGATTTCTTATGAATTATATGCTGCCCTTATTCCAAAAGTAACAAGTGCTTTCAATTTTGAAACAGTAAGAAATAAGAATGTTGATAATAAAATCAACCCAAAAAAAAATATTCATAAACTTCTTACAATCATTTAATAAAATAATATTTAGCTATTGATGTAATACATGTACAATAATAAAGTCAATTTACCTCACTTAATTTCCAAAAACCTTAATTTATCCTAAGTGTTTTAATAAATTTTTATATAATTTACTTATATTGATCTCACTAATAAAATTAATAAAATTTAAAAGGAGAATAAATTTTTTTAAAATATCTTATATTTATATTTATTATATTATATTTTATATATGATAAATCTTTTATTGGATACAATTTGACTACTAATAAGAATATTCAACTAAAATGTGAAATGTGACATATATATATAATTTCAAATATATTATCTTATGGGTTAATTTTTTTAATTTTATTTATTTAAAAATATTATTTACTTACTAATGATATCTTTTACTCAATAATAAGAAAGAAGGCTTCAAACCTTTAAATCTTTAGGCTTCAAGTTTTGCCAAATGTAAGTTTTATCCAAAATTTCATATGATTTATTGGTTATTAAGTTAATTTGCTTATTGAGAGTGGCATAGTCAACAAATAGTGTTAGTTGGGTCAATATTATAAATATTTTATTTATAATATTTTATTATTTAATACAACATTGATAAAATTAAATACAAAAAAATCCCATAATATAATATAATTTTTAAATAAATATATATATATTTTCATATAATTTACTCATAATGAAAATTTAACTCAATGGTTTCATTAGCAGTGCTATATATAAAGTTTTTTTTTTTCTCGTACAAATCAAAATGTTAAAAAATAATGCAAGTAGATAATAAGATACAATATTTTTTTTCTTTTATAATGAGATTACATTTGTATTATTAAATAACTAATTACATATGAAATAATTATTACATCAAGTATAACAAGTCAACCATTTATAAATTAGATTAAAGGCATATATAATATGTATTATAGAGATAATTAAGGAGAAAAACTATAGCTTATAAGTGTGATAATATAAAGTGATGAGAGAATTTCAATAAAAAACAAATAACAAACCAAAATTAAAATAAGACTTTACATATGATTATTAAAAAATCTATAGAAATATATGCTAATTTAAAAAAAAAACTAACGAATTAAATTTATATTTGTAGTAAAAGAAAATTATTAAATTTTTAATTAAAATAAATGTAAAAGTGAAGATGAAATTTATTTTTTTGACTATTTGTTAACAGAATTAAAAAATTTTAGTGGTGTCAGCATAGAAAAACACTAAATTTTTTTTATACTAATTACATATATATATATATATATATGGTTTATTTTCAGAAGTTTGAGTGGAGTCAATTGACCTCACTCCCTATACTTATTGGTTTATTTTTTATGTATATTAAAAATTATTTAATTATGATAATAATTTTTTCAAATGCATATAATTTTATAGAAAAATATAATTTATGTTTTATCTAAACACATGATTTGTCTTCTTATTTTAGAAGAAAAAGATAAATAATTACAAAGTAAGAATTAAATTAAACTCAATTTAACTTATAAAATTCAAGAATGATAAAATCATAGACTTAAAATAATATTTCATTATAATTGGATTAATTTTTAATGAAGTAATTAGATACTAATATACTTTATAATTTAACAAGCTTAAAACTTTCATACTTAACATAATTTTTTTTCAATAATATAATGCATATATAATATCATGTTTACATAACAGAAATTGAAATATAACTTAGCTAAAAAATTTTTTTGCTATGTTTCTGTGTGTAGCAAGTCTGGAGTTTAAATTTGAATACTTGTTATTTCTTTTCTTAATTTAGGTTATGACCTTTTTGAAAAAAAACATAAACCAACAAAAGGATTTTAATTTGTGAGTGAATAAGATGAGATGAACATCTTGATAGCAAATGCCTTACAAACAACTGTCTACTAACTGTTAGTCATGAGCCATGTTAGACAATGTCATATGTCTAGAAATCAAGCATAAATGCAAGCATTTTAATTTTATTTTAACAGGTCGTGATTGGTTATAGTCTTTCAGACTCTCACTAACCAATTAGTATTTTTTATGTTTTCTGATTTAGGCTTACGTGACTCAAGATGATACTCTAATGACAACACTGACAGTAAGGGAAGCTGTTTACTACTCAGCACAGCTTCAATTGCCTGATTCCATGTCAAGGTCTGAAAAGAAGGAAAGAGCTGAGATGACAATCAGGGAAATGGGGTTGCAAGATTCCACGGATACAAGAATCGGAGGGTGGAGCACAAAAGGACTTAGTGGTGGACAAAAGAGAAGAGTTAGCATTTGCATTGAGATCTTAACACGGCCAAAGCTTCTCTTCCTTGATGAGCCTACTAGTGGACTAGACAGTGCAGCATCGTACCATGTTATGAGCCGGATAGTTAAGCTAGCCTGCAGAGATAGAAGGACTGTAATTGCATCCATCCATCAACCTAGCAGTGAAGTTTTTCAGCTCTTCCACAATCTCTGCCTTCTCTCCTCTGGAAAAACAGTCTATTTTGGTGCTGTTTCAATGGCTGAGCAGGTATGATATAATTCCTATGCAAAATTCCAATTGGCACAATAATTATGAGCAATATTAATTAATGATTTTCCAAACTTGTTTCTAGTTTTTTGCTACAAATGGCTTCCCATGTCCATCTTTGAGGAACCCATCAGATCACTATCTTAGAACTATCAACAAAGACTTTGATGAAGTAAGTGTCCTTTTCTGCTCTTTTTCACTGAAAAGATAAATTATTATACATGCCATTGATAATTTAGTTAGCAATTTATAAAATTGTTTATCGATGTTGATTAGGACATAGAACTAGGACAAGGTAGCATTAACACAGAGAAAGTCATCGATACTCTTGTCCAGTCATACAAGTCATCAGGGATATGCAACCAAGTTAAGGAGCACGTATTCAAGATATCTCAACAGGTATGCTTGTTTGAACTTTGAGCCAAAGAAAGCATCCCACTCCAGAACACCAAAAACTCTAACCATGTAAGAAATCTTTGTTTGTAGAAAGGAGGACTTCTTGAGAAGAAGGGAAGCCAAGCGAGCTTCATTACCCAAAGCATTGTTCTTACGAAGAGATCTTTTGTTAATATGTATCGTGATTTAGGTTATTACTGGCTTCGCCTTGCAATTTACATTGCATTATGTTTATGTGTTGGGACTATCTTCTTTGATATTGGTTTCAGCTTTGGCTCAATTCAGGTAACTTGATGACGTACCAGATGCTATTCCTTGCTTTCCTGTATACAATAGATGGATATACAACACAAAGCAATTAACAATTTCGAATTTTCAGGCTAGAGGCTCCATGCTCATGTTTGTTGCAGCATTCTTGACATTCATGGCAATAGGTGGATTCCCTTCTTTTGTTGAGGACATGAAGGTATTAATTTTATTTTTCAATAGGTTTATAGTCGTGTTGTTGACATTTTAATTTTTTTTTCCCATTGCTCATCAAAATCAGATCTTTGGACGGGAAAGATTAAATGGACATTATGGGGTTGGAGCATTTGTCATTGGAAATACCTTTTCATCCATCCCCTACTTGTTTATGATCTCTTTAATCCCAGGGGTTCTAGCTTATTACCTTGTTGGACTTCAAAAGAGTTTTGAACACTTTGCCTACTTCGTGATATTGCTCTTCGCCTGCACGATGCTGGTTGAGAGCTTAATGATGACTGTTGCAAGCATCGTGCCAGATTTTCTCATGGGAATCATTACGGGAGCCGGTATCCAAGGGGTGATGATGTTAAATGGAGGCTTCTTCCGGTTGCCAGATGATCTTCCGAAACCATTTTGGAGGTACCCCATGTACTACATTGCGTTTCACAAGTATGCTAATCAAGGGTTCTACAAGAATGAATTTGAAGGATTAACTTTCCCCAACAATCAAGCAGGAGGACCCGCCACCATTACTGGTGATGAAATCTTGAGAAACTTTTGGCAAGTAGAGATGGGCTACTCTAAATGGATTGACATGGCCATCTTGTTTGGCATGGTAATCATATATCGTCTCATGTTTTGGGGTATTATTAAGACTGTTGAAAAGGCTAAGCCCCTCATTAAGGCTTATAAGGCAGTTCCTCCAAGGCTGTCAAGTCAGATATCAGAAACTCCATTCCCCACCAATTCACAATGAGAATTTATGGCTTTGCCTAGGTTTGCTAGTGACATTTGCAGTTGAATAAAACTAAATTACATACTAATTTCTTGTTTGTTTTCAATTAAATTCTCTTTAGTCAGCACTTTCTGAATCCAATGCCACATTTCTGTTTACTTTGTCATTGATAAATTAAATTGCATTTATCCTTGGGCTTGTAAAGTTCGGAGTCTATTCCTTGGGCTTTTTAACCTATGCATTTCCTGGCTCACACCTTCCCGGTGCACTTTAACCTCATTTGTAGTTTCCTAAGCTAACGTGTACGGATAGACCTATGCTACGCGCGCAAAGCCATTGAATTCATCGCCATCTTCCTTCTTTCTCACCAAAAAACCCCTAACAATGTCCTCCATTTCAATTCAAGTCCACCCCAAAACCAAATAGATACCAAAAACGACACCTTTTTAACTCCTAAAACGACAATGTCGATTGCGCCTCTAAATCTCTTCACTCCTTTCACTTCCTCGCTTAAACCCTGCTCTCAAAAACCCTAATTCATTTCCTCTGATCACGTCCCGCCGCCATCTCAGTTTCCCTATCCCAAATTCCCAAGTTTTTCATTTCCGGGCCCGAAAGTTTCTCAATACCCCCTACCCTTCTGCCCACTCATTTCTCAAGGCCTACGAATCCGATTTTTCAATTGCCACCTCACTAGAACAAAACCCTAATTTTAATGATTTCAATTTAGATTCTTTTCTCTCAATCGCTGAATTTTTGTGCATTTTTTCTTCGGCTGTCGTTTCGGTTGTTTGCGCTGTTTCCGGATGGAAAGGTGTCGTTTTGGGTGGGATTTGGGGATGGGTCATTGTATGGGGAGTTTCAGGATTGGTAGCTGGGGTTGCCATCGGGGCGTGGATTAGGAGGCGGCAGTGGTGGAGGATTTGTGTGGAAACGGTGACGGGTGGCGGAGGAGCAACAAAATTGAATTTGGTTGAGAGGATTGAGAAATTAGAGGAGGATTTGAAGAGTTCCGTTACTATTATTCGAGGTTTGTCTAAACAACTTGAGAAGTTGGGGATTCGATTTCGAGTCACAAGGAAGGCTTTGAAACAGCCGATTGCCGAGGTAATGATCGATGATATGAGCATTTGTTGTAATTCTTTTTGCTTAATGTTAACTTCTTAGTTATAGAGCTGAAGGACTCGAAGAGATAGAAAACCATAATAAAAAATGTAATTCTAATAACCATTTTAATTTCGTTAAGCTGCTGTTTTGGTATTTGCTCTCAATAGCTTGCTTTGTAGCCAGTAAATTTAGGTGTAATTGTAGTGACTTTTAAATGATATGATGATATATGAAGAGGAAGAAGGAAAGAAAGATAGAATTGCGAAAACAGGCAATGAAGTAACTTTCCAATGTTAGAATATGCCTAAAGTGTTCCAGTTATATGAAACGTGGCATATCCCGTAATAACTTGTATAAGAAGATCGATCTGGTTACATAAGCTTGCAAACGCACAAAGTCTAGGTGGCTATGGTTTGAAAGAAAGTATATTCTGGGAACTGAAGATATAAAAGGAAATAGCTACTTTAATTACACAAGATCAATTGGTTAGAGTACTAATGTGGGACAAGTTCGTACATTCACAATAGAGTTATAACTGTAGACTGAAGACTTCAAGGAAGGTTTGTTGTTCAGGTAGAAGGGGTTGTCTTTGTGTGTTCATAAGCCTTTTTGTATTGTTGAGTGCCAATGTGCATCTATTTTGTGAAGGCAAAATATGCTCTTGCTGTTCTATTTAATTGTCATCTTCAGTCTGTTTAACCCAGTGTTTGACTTGATACACTTAATAAACTAATGTCAGCAGTGGCTCCAATGTGATAATATGAAGATCTTATGCGCCCTTGCAGCTTCCTCTGAGTAAATGGGAAGACAAACTGTTGATAACAAACCATATTTACTAATTTATTGTGATTTTTATATTTATAACTTTCTAACCATTTTGCTGTGTCCGAAGACTGCTGCTTTGGCTCAAAAGAATTCTGAGGCTACTAGAGCATTAGCAGCACGAGAAGATATCCTGGAAAAGGAGCTTGGTGAAATTCAGAAAGTTTTGCTGGCAATGCAGGTACCATTTTAGCATGGTTAAATGGATTCTTTTAATTTTCCGAAGCAGTATGATGCTTGATTTATATAGGAGTTCCATAAAGGGGCTTCATGGAAGATAAATATGGTTTTGAGATCAGTTACAATCTTGTACTCTGTTAATCCAAAGGGAAAAGAGTAAATATTGGTCAATGCTTTCTTTTGGTCTTTTAGGGTGGTTCTGAATGCATCAAGAAGTGTGTCACTTGGATTTAGCAAAGCCTTAAACCTCTCTAAAACTAATAGAAAGTACGTGAGCTGTGATCCTAAGCCAAGAAAACTGGATCGCATGCATGTTGTTCCAGACTCATTGTACCAATAGAAACCTTGTTATTGTCTTCGCTTGTATTATAAGGAACTAGTACTCAGTAATAAAAGATATGCTTGTAGCGTTTGGATTCTCAACATGTGATTGATGGTTAATTCAACAAATGGTTTGTTGTTGGGAATATCTTTGCTGTCTATTGATAATAATTTAACTTGGAATATTCCAATGATGTACTTTATAGGAGCAACAGCAAAAACAACTTGAGTTAATCCTCGCAATTGGGAAGTCAGGGAAGTTATTTGAAGACAAGCGGGAACCTAGTCAAGTGAAAGATACAGTTGTAGCATGTAATTCAACTGAGGAGGCAAAACAAATGGATGTCCTTCAGACTCAACCTTTAGGTACAAGCAAGGGATCTGGCAATGACAGAGCATAAGATTTTGAAGAAGCAGCAGATGCAGTTGGCGTGTATGTAATTAACAGCAGGATACCAGTTTGTCTGATCCTTCACTGTACAAGGCACTTGGACTCCCATAGATGCCACCATATCTGTGCTTGGCATAAACATTTTTTGCCTAAAATCTCCTTGTTTCTTGACCGCTGCATCCCTGCTACAATTGAAGATGGAAAAAGAGCTAGAAAGGGATAAAAACATAAATATAAAATGGGAGACTTGCTTATTTCTGGTTGAGCATAGAAACATGCAAAGGTGAAAGGAGTGGCCTTTTTTTTTTTAATGTATTTGTAATTTTTCTTTTTATGGTATTCTGCAATACCAAACCATTTTCTCTTTTTTTTTTTTTGTTATTGTTGTATTTTTTTTATCTAATTTTGTAATAAAATATTCATTAAAAGGTTTTTTTTTTTTTTTTTCTGTAGGCAGCCTTCTTAATACTCAGCAGGCCTGCAAACTTTTTCTGTTTGCCCCATTTTCCTTTTGGGTATTTGAATTCAAGAATTTCTGCCTACATATTATACTTTAAATTAAAAGTTACTGCCCCCCATATAAATTTACTTATGTTGCTGATTGTCATGGACTTTTAACTATTCTTAATAGTAAAAAAAGAATACAGTTTCTTGTTTTTAAGGGATTCATTTTTGCTTTTTTCCAGAACTCCATTGAAGATATAATGTGGGCAATTCATCTAAAATCATTTTGACTATCGGTTGCTGAATCTTCTTCTGTATCAGTTAAGAGGAGAAGAGTCTGCCATTAGCCAGTTTATAAATTTGCATACCTCTATTAGGTTTTGTGCACCATATTGGCATTCTAACATTCCTATTTCTAAGATTTCCATAAGGTATAGACACTTTTCATTTCGGATCATGAAATTTTTATTCAAAGAAATGGGTATAAAACCGAATAACTTTGGCCAAGTCTGTGATGCACTTTGGTAAGAGCATACTTTTGGCCATTCAAGAGGCATCTGCTTGACTGCCTGCAGCGGCCTTCGAATCAGACTTCAAAATGATTTTTCTGATAAATCAGACCATATTAAAGGATGGATTATAACGAGGGAATTACTTTCTTCTTTTCGCTCGAGACCAAGGGACACTGCTCTGGCTTAATGATGAAGCATTTTGAAAAGCTTGACAGACAAGATATGGATCTTTTCTTCCAATCCTCAAAACTGACCTTTGGAAATACTTGTTGATTGTGAGCGTAGAGCATCCACACAAGTCAAAAGATAGAAAGGGTAATCCTCCTTTCTGTCACAATCTGATCAATTTATTTGATATTCCATGGAATTCAACATACACACCAATTTGGACCATCTTTACAATCACGCTTCGAATTTTATAATTATTGTAGGGACAGTACAGGAGCATGGAAAATGTATGAGATATCTATCTCAATTACTAGGGAAACACATTTTTTTACTACAGATTACAAGTTATTATTACAAACACTCACAGAAAAACTTGTTTATGTTCTACTTTAGAGACACAAATGTTTGTACAAAGCAAAGTGGCAGCAAAGAGGCACTCATCCCAGCAGGTCTAACAGTGGTGGAGAGCATTGAAAGAGCTTGTCAACCCAATCATGAAATGCTATGAACAAACCTCAGGGGGAGAGAGGCCAATCATTATCCAAATCAAAACCATCGTAGAACCTCATTTCCACATCTTCCATACTTTGGTCGTCTTCCCAGTCTCCATCTGATATCTCATCATCGTAATCAATACCAACATCTCCAGCAACAAAGTCCCAGGCCAAGTAACCAGAGGAACCTGAATAATTTGAACAATCGTCCCAGCCCTTCATTCCAAAATAATCCACATGAGGTCCAACCACCTTCAATCGTGAGAATTTCTTGACAAAATTTTCGTCTAGCTTCACATTCCAACATCCTCGCACATCTAATAACTCAAGCTCAGGGCAGTTTTCAAGTATGTTGAGCACACCTTCTGTGCTAATAAGCAGGTATGCCACCTCAAGTTGCTTGAGCTTTGGCATTGTGGTAGCAATAGCAAGGGCTTCATCATCTTGGGACTGCTTGTCAATTACCTCTAATGGGTGCATTGTCCTCCTCAACCCCATTAGTAACTTACAGTGCTTGCCAATTGCTTCAAGGGCAGGAGCTCCAACGTTCCTGCAGTAACTAACATCCAAGAAAGTCACTGAAGAGAGCCTCCCAGCAGCCTGTACCACTACTGAATCACTTATTTCACTTCTTGGCAGCCGTAGAGTCTGAAGAGATGTGGCACTAGAAGCAGGGGGAAATAAGAGTAAATGACAGAAGCAATAATCCAATTTACAATATCCACAATGAAGTCACAAAATAAAACCGAAAATCACCACTGAACTTAGAACTCACTTCAGATTCTTTACCATTAAGTTGGTTACTGTTCTCTGTCAGTGAGATATTCAAAATACAAAACTTCAGTAAAATCACAGGAAAATGAAAATTACAGGTAGCTTCATCCAACTAGTTATTAATTTTCTGTTCACTATTAGCTGCCTAAGCTTTTCAGCACCAATATATACCCAATGCCAGCCTTTTTCCATTTAACTTGTTAAACTGAAAGTGAGGAATCAAAATTAATTTAGCTCGTGAAATAATTCATGAAGCATATGCTTCGTATAGACACCTATAGTGTTGTATTTCTGTCTTCTTCCAGTCATAATGGATTGCAGATGTGATAACTTTCATCCAAAGGGATATAAACAGAAAATGCAATTAAGAGACGTAGAAGGCAACATGTCCTTACTTATCTGCAATGAATGAAAAGCTCTGGTCATTAGGGAGACCGGTAACACAGAGCTTGCGGAGTGAACCTGAGCTTCTAGTTATCAGCAGTTGAAGCATGCGATCAAGGGTCTCAGGCCGGCATAGTTGGCTCCATTGTTCGATGTCAATGTCCTGCCAGCAATAAGGTCCTGTAACTGCTCTCCGCCATGATTTGCAGACTCTTGGGATTACAGTAAGTATTTCCTGGAGTGAAAGATTCTTGAAAATCAACCCAAGAGCATCTGGAATCAATTCATCCCAGTGCCTGAACTCACCATCTTCTTCCATATAATCCTGCTTCGTTATTGCTAAAGCATAACCAACTATGAAGCTGCAAGCAGTGAGCAATAACAATGGCTCTATAAACAAATAACTGAAACTAATGAGTTCTAAAATAAAAAAGAAGACAGAAGCTAATTGACAATCTGTGACAATCTTCTTGTAGAAAGAAAATAAAGATACATATAGCTCATCAGAAGCCAATGGAGATGGGCCTAAGTTTAGCAAAAGGAAATACCAAATAGTAATGGGAAAAATTTTTGAACAATAGGAACAATGCTTTTAATTTTAACAATCAATAAATCTGCGGTTCCTAGTAAAAGAGGCAAGCTTTAAAGAGAAAGATGATTGAAAATGAAGACCCAAGAGTAAACACTTTACCTGAAGACCTCAAGCTATGGTCTTTCCAAGTATCTGGAAACCCAAATCCACACACACTTTAAAATTTGCTATTACAAGCACATTGATAAAAAAAACTACGAAAATAAACCATACCCAGATCAGGCAACAGTTAAAAGATACTAATTATGCAACAAAAAAAAAATCAGGAAGCAGGCAGGAATTTTTACCCATCAAACCAAGAGGTCTAATGCTAATCAGAGAGGTGAAGCAAGAACATTCACATCATTTTATCCTAACTAACATTACTAAATAAGTCAATGCAGCAATACTGTACACAAAACTATTTTCTTTTTACAAGAAAAAGTGAAACTGACAAAGAAAAAATGAACATATGTACTAGTTTACACTTTACAGATAGCAAGAAAAAGAGAGAAACAAAGCACAAGAATAAAAAGATTTTACCAGAAGTTGGGTTCCTTTTCCTGGATCTGCAAACACCCCGGTTTATCCGCCAGAAACAAAGGTTAAAAAGAGAGAGAAAGCTGAAAGAACAGAGATAGAGAAAGAGAGAGAGTAGAGCAAAAGTGGCAGTAGAAGACTACAGAAAGAACAAGGAAAAAATAAAAGAGGCAAACAAAAGAAAAAGAAAAGCAAGCAAGGGAAAGAGAAAGAGAAATGTGAAAGGAAAGTTAATAATTGATTGAAAAAAAATGTCGGGTTTTTTTGTTTTGGGAGTTTGGGTTTGGGCACGGCCAGCCAGGGTTGGTAATGGGGTTTTTAAGTAACAACACCCTTGACTCTAGTGTCGGTTGGATGCTGCTGGGTACATAGATGGCAGATGATGCTGTATGAGTCAGCACGTTTCTGGTTCTTGCAACTCCATAGATTATCAAAGTATGAAACACGGTGAATCCGGAGCTTTTGTTCTAACAAAATCAACTAATCAATAAAATAAGATATTACGATCCAATAAAATTTGAAGCGACCCTCACCCTAATTAGAATAAAAAAGAGATAGAGAGGATCGTTTGGGGCAAAAGAGAAATGTAAGGTGATTGTTTCTTGAGAATCGCTGGAGATGGGTGGCCACCATGTCTGACAACTTGGTTGAAATTCAAGGTGCCGTGTGTCGGATGGCGTGGCCTAAGGCATAGGCGCTTAATTGGGTGGTGTAACTCACCCAATTTCAACTCTACTGCTAGAGGGGGGACGTAATAAGAATTGACTGCTGGAGGTGTTCAAGTACAGTAAAAATTGAATATTTTATTTATAAGATTTTTATTAATTTTGTAATATTTTTGAAAAATTAAACTTTATGATTATTTTCAGAGAAAAATTGTAAAATTTTTTATTATAAATAGATAAATTAAAATTTTTTATTATATAATATGTAAAATTTTTAAAAATTTTAATAAACTTTGATATATTTATAAAATACACATTTTTAATAAAAATATTAACAAAATTTTTACATTAAATAAATATAAATCAAATTAAAATTATAAATAATATTTTTAATATTTTTTATATATTATTAATTTTCATATTAAACTCTATTTATTTTTAATTTTTATTAAAAATTTTATTAAATCATTTAAAAAAAAACCTTTACAAACTTTACCTAAATAATTTTTTTTTCTAAACCTAAAACTGAAGAAGTTTCCTTTAACTTAAAAATTTGTTTAAACAAACAAAAAATGGGGAAAGGATCTTTCCACACCGTTAGAAGTCACTAAAGATTTGTTTTCAACACAAATTAATACATTAACATTGAAATAAATTTAGAATCCCGATTTATCCATATCATTTTTTAATAAATTTTCATTTATCTTCTTATTCAATTTAAATTATTAAAATTTTATTCATATATAGATTAAATTCAATCTACATTAATAGTAAAATGAAATAATAAATATAAATATGTTTATAGGTTGGATTATTCACCCGATCGAATTAGTTAGGCCTAACTCAGGACGGGCATTAGACAAAATTTCGAAGCCCTAGCTTCGAACATTATTTAATAAATATAAAATATTTTTATTTAATTGTAATTTTAACATATATTTTAATTTATTTTTAAAATTTTTTTCGAATCTAAGAAATATAACAGATCGAATCAAATATTAAATAAAAAATTTCAACGAACAATATAATATAATTTAATTCAACTTAATTCATGAACACTTCTTAATGATATAATTCTTACTTATAAAAAAAAAATAATGCGCTTGTATTAAATAATCCGAAATCAAAATAAATGAGACAAAAATTAATTACAATGTGTATAAATAATATTATAAACTTTAAGAGTGAAAAGTATTAAGTGTTTTTTTTTAGACCGCTATATTCTTATTTATTACAATTTGTCAAAGGCTTGGCACAAACTAAATTAATTAGTTCCCTAATCATATTCATAACTAAGCACTTCTTCCTGTATGTGATTTTATATGGTTAACAGGCTGCAAACTCATAGAATTGGTGAGGCTTTTTCTTCTGTCGAAGGAATATTATTGATTTTAATAATGATAATAGTTCGGATCGAATTGGATCAATTTTTTTAAATAATATATAATATTATAAATTTTTAAAATTTAAATTGATATTTTTTGAAATTAATTCAATTCGATCCGATTCAAATTCTATTGGTTTTGTTTATTAGTTTTTAAATTTTAAATTTTTTATTTTTATATATTATTTTCATAGAATTTTTGATATATTTAAATAGATTTATATATAAAATAACTATTTTTATTTTATAAAAATTTTAAAAATATATAAAAACTAATAAAAATATATAATTTGATTTGATTTTTTTTAACTTTTTACATTTCGACCCAAAATTCAATTTAAACTTATATCCGAATTGAATTTAAACCAAATAAAAAAAATTGATTCAAACCAAATATTACAATTTTAAATTAATTTTCGATTTTCTCAACTTTTTTTTATCACCCCAAGTTGATTTTGTAAAGAAATTAATATGACAGAAGAAATGGAGAAAACAAAGTAAAAAAATTAGAAAAGAAATGAATGATTGCTGCATTGGTTCAATCTGCAACTGCATGACTTTGAAATTGTAATGTAAAAAAACAAACAAATACTTCCAATAAAAACAGTATATGTGTGTACCAAAATTTCAGACTCCTCTGTTGGAGGACAACATGCAAGTTGGTTAGCATATCAACATCAAGGAGGAAATAATTAAATACTGAATTGAAAAAAAAAAGTATTAAAAATATGATAAAAAAAACATACTTTAAAATTTTTAAGTATTTAATATTGTTGAAAAATATTATCAGAAATATAAAAAAATATATAAATTAATAAAACTTTAAAGTTATAAAAGTAAAAAATAATTTTTCCTTTTAAAAGTGCTTTTCAACTATAAATACAAAAAATTTTGCATTTGGCTTACAAAATTATACTTTTTTATCGTTAAATTCAAAATTTCTATCTTATTTAACATTGAGATTACCATAAAAATGAATATTTTTAGCCAAAAAGCAATTTTTTTAAGACAAAACAAAAAAAAATCTAAAAATATTGCTAAATCTAAAACTTGTTCCCCAAGGTGACCAACATGTAGAAAGGTAACAAAATGGAATCTCATTTTGTACCTTTGTTTTCCTCAGATCCAAGTGGTGTTTCTTCTAGATAATAAACTTATGGATCCATACTTTACTTTTAAAATATATATATAAAAAAAACGAGATTTCAAGTTTAAATTAAAAAAAAAATGATTTAAAACTCTTCAATCTTCATATTACTGGGTTTATGGTGCTGTGCTTCTTTTTTTTTTTTTTTAATTACTTCTATTCAACACATAGAAGCTTCTTTTAAATGTTTTTTTTACCTTATTTTAGGTAGAGAGCAGTTGTGCTAGAAAACTATCTGAGGGACAGGGTCCCTACAGGAATAAAGCTTACTGCAAACTGTTGTTACAAAGCATGTGCCATCTGCTCCGCCATTTTTGCAACTTCGTATACCATGTTGTATAGATGTAATGATGTTCAAATTAAGGACCACCATGCCAAAGTTTTGAGACATCCAGGCCCAGCATTTATTTATATTAATATATTTGGAATGGTTATATTTCATATATGTATAGCAAGATTGCCAGGAGTCCTACAACTGCAAGCCAGCTTCCTCTTATTAAGAGGATGAGTGGATCATCTGATTACATGTGAACAACTTTGTATCATCTGATTCTCATATGTAACCTCTTATGACAAGCCTTCTGCACAAGTACTGTAAATGACAGCATGCATGTCATACTGGCATCTGCATTCAGATAGGTACTAATGGGGTGTTTGAGCTTGATCTGCATGGGAATTTTGTTGCGATGATGTCAAGGAACTTAACCATTGATTAGAAAACTCAACAGGCTAAAAGGTTTAGCAGTATTTTTCTTCACCGTTTTCTGTTGATAAGCTGGAATGGAAAAAGCTTTAACCTCGAAAGTGACAGAATACTACTCTGCCAACTGCCAAGATCTTTCTTTTCTTCTCTTTAGTCTTTCAAGTTTTAACTCTGCATCAAAACAATCAAGAAAGAGAGAGAGTTTTGATGTGGGGACTGGGGATATGTTATGTTACACTGTTTGCTGCAGATTGACTAATTGGGGCATCTGATTAAAAAGAAAAAAATAACAGGAGCCAGGCCCCCTTGTGTAGAGTACTTGGAAAGCTCAGCCAGAGCTAGCCAGGCTGCTAGCTGCCACTTTTCTGAGTTTCACACGTTGCTGTGGCTGTAGTCTGTCGAGTGTAAACCTGTTTCAAAGTGGTAAATTGTTAATTCAAAGAAGAAACAAAAAATCAACTGTAGAGTATAAAGTATCCTCGATTTTATTTGGTATTATTTTCAAGTGAATGCACCAAGAACTTATGATTAAATTCTGCATTCATTATGAATTGTGGGAAACTGCTTGATTGTCTCCATTGATGATATGGATAATTGGAACTTTTTCATTAACATTCCACATTGTGAAAAACTGAAACTGAGAGATATTCAACAATTCGCAGTCAGATTCCCATAATCTAAAATTTTGAAGCACACTTGGGAATCAAAAGTGAGTCTGCAGTTAGTAAATGCTGAAAATTAACCACTGCCTTTCAATTTTCACCCAAGCTCGGATACAGCGATCCTTTCGCTTTCTTATCAGCTACAAATAGCCGGACCCCAATCAAGAAAAGATAAAAATAGACCTATTGGATACCTTTCCTTTCTGATGTGAATTTTCCCGATTTGTCTGCCTATTCTGTATTGTTCCTTTCACTCGTCTGCCACACTTCCCTATCTCTCTCTTTCACACGTTGGGTCCGACCACCACCCCTTCTCGTCCTTCCTGCTCACTCTTCTCATAGGTAGCCCAATATCATTAATAGTATTGTAAGTATTTTTTTCAACTGAAGCAGTTCAGTTTCTTCTCTTTCTTGCTTTGGTTTTATGGCTGTCCCTTGCCTTTGCAGCAGGGTCGAGCAGGGGCGGATCTACCGTAGGATTTAGGTGTCCATAACACCCTCCTAGAGTTGGAAAACAAAAAAATTAAAAGAAAATTCTTTTTAATATCTTTTTTGAAAAATACAAAATTTGAAGGAAAATTTTTTCTAACATCTCAAAAAAATATTTTTTTATGAACACTTTCCATTAATAAAATTAAAACATCTATTAATATTTATATATATATATATTATAAATAAATATCCCTAAAAACAACTCTGCAACTAGCTCTAAGTAAGTTAGTTTCGTATGTTCTTGAGTTAGAGTTCCATTGATTTTTTTCGATCTTTTAAGTCTGCTTTCTTGGTTTTTGGTCAAAGCTAGTTTTGGATGCCCAATGCTCATATGACCGCTACTGAATTCATGATTACATGTAAATGTGAAATCCTTTCATGATCGTTAATAGCTTACTTACTGATTCCTCCTTTACACCTCTACCCTATTTAATGCCCTTTGCTTTCTTCTCCATCTTCTTCTTCTTCTTCTTCTTCTTCTTCTTCTTTCTCCAGCCTCTTCCCTTCGTCAGCTGCAGCTTCCAAACTCCCTGATCGGGTTACCATTTAAACCTCAGCTCTCTTTTTCTTTTCCATATTTACATCGTCTCAGACGAATTTAACAATGGTACTGCTATTGTGTTTTCAACAGGGTCCATCTTAATATTGAGGAGCAAACAGGGTTGGGATCAACTTTTCCAAGCTGCCACAACAAATGCAACGGATGCCATCCTTGCATGGCAGTCCAAGTACCTTCATTACCCAGCTACAACCGATTTCAACTAGGTTTGAGCAAAGCAATCACTAATTCCATGCAGTTTTTTGACCCATCGGTAATCAATACTCCAATTACAAGCCTCTTGGTTGGAAATGCCGCTGTGGTGATCACTTTTAAAACCCTTAAAAAGATCAAGTCTTTATAGGGTATTAAGCTTTTGAATTATTGTAAACCTTTTTTTCCATTGTCCCTGTTAGTATCCAGAAAGAAATTGTTTGATGGAGAGGATTGGTGGGTTCCTGGATTCATGTACAGAGAGATTGCCACTTGCAATAGTGCCGGTTGGCTAGCTTCTGAATGGATTATTAGTAGTTGTATCATCTTTTGCTGCATTAATTACTTGGTTTGTCAGTGTGATTTCTGAAGCATTTGATTTTCCTGGCGTTTTCCCCCTTATATTCTCGGGATTTTCATGGGGACCATCTGCCATGAGCCATCATATATATGTCATGTCTTCTCCCCCACCACCCCCATTTTCATTCTCCCGTCAATTTACCCAAATGCTGTGAACATGTTAATTCTTTCGCTAGTAAATGTTACGTTACATTTGTCATGCCAAAGAAACTGTATGCTTTTCTTAAAATTGTGAAAAAAAAAAAACACATACTTATATTTGTCGGCTCCCTATCTACAATGAAAGCATTAACCTGTTGAGAAAAAAGGAAAAAAAAAATCAAAGGACTAATCAATCAAACATTGTTACGGAAACATAAGGGCAGGGCAGTTAGCGTAACATCTTAAAGTCGAATTGAAGTGCATATCCGTACAAATAGATCCGCAACTAAGGCTGAGATCTTAGTGCCAACAAAGTTACTGTAGCTCAATTTTGTTGTTCCTTTGTGTCGGTCTGTTGGGTCTGGCCTTTATTATTATTATTTTTTATTACAGCATTTAGTGACGATCTCGTCAGAACTTATGACTCACGTCTCTTGCTATCCTATTAAATTACAAGACTAAAATATTAAAAATTTATTATATCCAAATGAAATTTTTTCTTTGATTTATATTTAAATTTGTCTTTATTTCAAATAAATGATTACTTTAAATTAAGAGCTTACTTAAATATAAATTATTTTATTTATTTAGATACAAATAAATTTACAAATTTATTTAGGTATAAAATAAATATTAAATACTTATTTAATTACAATAAAAATATAAAAATTTATTTAAATAAAATAATAAAATTAAAATTTTTTATTATTTTAATCAAATCACAACTTATTTACATTGGCCCCTAATACTTATTATGATATATATGTTTTTAAAAAATTTATAACAAGGACTTGATGCTTAATTTAATTGATTTATATTAAATAATTTTAAAATTTAAATTTTAACACTTATAATTTTTTTTTATTTTCAAAATATAACACCTTTATATAAAAAATTCTTTAAATAAAGATGAGATGTATATGACTATTTTTAAATTACGGTTTTTATATAAAAAAATTCTTTGAGTAAGGATGATATGTATATGAGAAAGGAATATATTTATTAATTATTGAATAAAAACTAGAGCTTCTAACATGTATATAATATATCATATATTGTGAATGAAATTATGGAATAAAACTAAAAGTTTAAAAGTTGGATTTGATATTACCATATTTATTTTTTTTTTAAGATTCTCAAACCTTTATGTTTAGTCATCATGGACATGACAACATGTGATTCATTGATTGCATTGTATGCACATTAAAGTTAAAATGTTCATGTATTGAGATTTTCAAACAAGTTTTTAACCTTAGAACAATATCATTATACCAACGCAAGCTTTAATCGGTTTGGAATTTGGTTATATTGAGTTGCATTTTTTTATTTTTTTATTTTTGTATTCAAGGGAAGTGATAACTAATAATGAGGCCGCAATTATAAAGGAAAATGACAGGTCTATGTCATTTAATAAAATATCTAAAGAACAAATTACATGTTGACTATTGAGGTAGAGGGTTTGATTTGGGATTGCAATTTGAATGTTGTACTAACTTGTGTTGGTTGGTTGTAGAATTCCATAAAAAGCTGGCTCCTAAAGCTACATGAACACTTCATTGCCCCCAAGAGTAGAAAGCTATTGACAACTATAGTCCAACACTTAGAGTTCAAACTCTTGCTCTCGTTTGGCCGATAGTTTTGGTAATTTTATAAATAGTATAATAATATGATACGAAAAAATATATATAAAAATAAAAATAATTTAAAATTTTGATAAATATTATATAAATTTGATAAAAATAAAAATATATTTTATATTGATATAAATTATAATATAAAATTTCGGATTTTATATATTTAACACAAAATAGACTTAACACTAATACCGATTCTAAAAATAACCTTTTCATTATTGTCCAAAAAAACAAGCCTAGTACGATAACGGGCTTAGATTGTGTCATAACCCAAGAAAAACAATTGCAAAACCTTTTCAAGTTTTGGACCATATTTTCCTTCTGGTTCAATGACCTCAGGATCCAGCCCATGCCCGTAGAAGTATAAATGAACTGTCAACTTACTCAAATCAAGAGAGGAGTGCAAGGGTTCCGCATTCAGCGTTTAAAACCAATAAAAATTTGAAGACAGAAGTTGTAAAAATGGAGTGCGTTGTCCAAGGAATTATAGAGACACAGGTACAAAATTCATACACAAAATCATTCTTTTCTTTTTTTGTAGGAAATTTACCAACTCTGGGAATTGCGTTGAAAAAGAGGAGATTTGCTTCTTGTTTTTTGTGATTTGCAGTATGTTGAGGCACTAGAAATTCTACTTCAGGGTCTTTGTGGCGTTCATAGAGAACGTTTAAGGGTCCATGAAATTTGCCTTAAAAGTGGTCCGAATCTTGGTAAGTCTTCACATTTTCACGCTCCACAAGCTTTAATTACGTTTACAAGTCTTTGAAGTATTGGGTGATATAAGCATTTTCCCTCTTGGATTCATGTTGTAAATGATTTTCCTGCCGAATCATGTGCTAATCCATGACTTCTGGGAATTTTTTTTTCCGATATAAGAATTTTAATAAATCTATTGATCAAGTTTTTACGTATTGCCTTGCTAATGCTAAGAATTTTACAGGATTTGTCGCTTCAGAGGTTAGATTATTGTGTGATCTTGAGCAGTCTGAACCTACTTGGTAAACAGGAGATTCTAGTTGTGTTCATTTTGGGTATTTTATTGTTGTTTTGGATGTTTATTAAAGCCTTATATATTGTTTGTAGGACTGTTAAACATGTTGGGGGTGCAATGAGGGGTGCTGGAGCAGAGCAAATTTCTGTTCTCGTTAGGAGTATGGTAGAAAGCAAAGCAAGCAAGAATGTGCTTCGATTATTTTATGCGCTTGGATACAAGTTGGATCATGAGCTGCTAAGGGTGGGATTCACCTTTCATTTCCAAAGGGGTGCTCCAATAACTGTAACTGTTTCATCCATCAATAAGATGCTAAAACTGCATGCAACAGATGAGGCTGTGCCAGTAACACCTGGTATACAGATGGTAGAAGTGACTGCCCCTGCAACATCTGAAAATTATAATGAAGTTGTTGCTGCTGTGTCTTCCTTTTGTGAATATCTTGCACCGTAAGAGTTTTTTATGGCTTTTTATCATTTGTACTTAGACATCTAGGAAAATTTGTTTCTAGTGCTTATGGTAGATTAATATTTCTTCTTATGATATGGTTATAATTTTACATATTGACCTTCTAGCCCTTAGGATCTAGTATTTAGTGGATTCTGATTGAAGAAACTGGGTTAGCATAATAAATCGGTGATCAAACTGACAGGTTCTACACTCTTATCAACTTCTTTAGTTGTATCAATGTAATTCATACAGGCTTGCGGTGTTTTATTTTGCAGGCTGCTGCATTTGTCAAAGCCAGGTGTTTCAACTGGTGTTGTCCCTACGGCTGCTGCAGCTGCTGCATCTCTTATGTCTGATGGTGGGGGCACAACCTTGTAATCTGATTTATAAATTGCAGAACGTTAGAACTTAAAACAGTACTTTTCCGTAAATGATGAAGTAGATGATTCATCTCATTGTCCCTCTTTTCTAAGGCTGTCAAAGATGCTCTGTGATTCTATCATTAATCTCCTGTTTCAACTTCAATACGTGAGTGGAACACGGAATGTGTAGATGCTATATTGATTACAAAAAAATTTTGCCAGATAGGCAATCATCAGGATTAGATTAGTACATGAACAATCTTATATTGGCTGTTCTTTTTCATCTTTCTTCCAATCTAATGAGAGTTCATGTAGATGCGGGATGGGAGAACTCTCATTACAACATGCATGTCGTTTTATTTATCGAACTCTTAAAAATTCAATCATAAAATGCAGTTTAGGGGGTGTCATAGATATAGACCAAGAAATTTAACCCACCAATTGTGGACGAGAATCAAGATAAGTAAATTTCCATTAGGATTCGAAAGGCAAAAATAACCAAATGCTGCCCCAGAAAATTTGTATCAGATTTCTGTCAAAATTTCACTGACCCTGAAGTCAAAATAGTAGTGGTTTCTTAAATCGAAATCGATCACTTAAATTCGTTAAAAAGTAGCCTCAACTCGAGAGATACCTTATCCAAAGCCACACGAACCAAACCCGCCAAGTTTCACCTCAACTCAAAAACCCAACCTCTCCACTTTACACCAACCACTCGTGTAAAGCCATGGCCTCTCACTCCACACTCCTCTTCTCTCCTCCAAATCTCTCGCCCAGATTCTCCTCTCTCTTTTATTACTCCTCACAATCCCCCCCTTTACAAACCAAAAAACTATCATCACTTTCCTTAACACACTCGGCAAAACCAAGACGACTCTCAGTTTCTGTCTCTGCTTCTCGTTCTCTTCAAGCTCTCGTTTTCGATTGCGATGGAGTCATTCTAGAATCCGAACATTTGCATCGTCAAGCTTACAATGATGCTTTCTCTCACTTCAATGTTCGTTGCCCTCCTTCTTCACAGCCTCTTAACTGGGACCCTGAATTTTATGATGTACTCCAGAACCGGATTGGTGGTGGCAAACCCAAAATGAGATGGTACGTTTTTTGCTTTTAGTACTTCTAGGTTTCTTTTATTTTTCTTAAATTTTTTGTTGTTGATCGGTTTAATGGAGATTATTGGTGTTTTTGAAGGTACTTCAAGGAACATGGATGGCCATCTTCTACCATATTTGAGACACCGCCTGAGGGTGATGAGGAGCGAGCTAAGTTAATTGATACTCTTCAGGTATTACCATTAAGGTTATATTTTTATGTAGTGACTGTCAACGAATCACATCTAGCCATCTGATTACTTTTTTTCTAATTTTTGTTAATCAATATTGATTTTGATGAGATAATACATTGTAGTTCATTGATTGATAGTAGAGTTATACATTGATAGTGCATCAAATATAACGTTTATTATCATTATTATGTCAATGTAATGTTGTGGATTATTTTTTCTTTTGAATTAAGTGAATGTATTAAGTTGGGGGAAACAAGGAATAGAAGCTCAATTGGGCTTTAATGTGATTTTGTTATTGGGGAATTATCTTGCTTGTTTCCTTTCAATTAAGTCAAAGGCTAAATTATGTTATTTTCTATAGAATTCCATTTACTGAAGAACTTACATATGTGATGCTGTTACATATTTGTAGGATTGGAAGACTGAAAGGTACAAAGAAATAATCAAATCTGGAACTGTAAGCAGATGATATTGTTTATTGCTTTACAATTTTTTTCTTCTTTTCGTTGATTCAGAATTGGTTATCCATTATTATTCAATGAGAAGCTGTTTAAAATATTATAGAGTGGTATTGTTTTGATCAGGTGGAACCTAGACCTGGAGTTTTAAGATTAATGGATGAGGCCAAGGCTGCTGTAAGATACTACTTATTTGTCATCTGAGATTGAGAATCAACTCCATGTTCTTTTCATTTTCCAATCAGGCCACAATGGATCCAATGCAATCTTTTGTTTATGTTTTCCCTTTTTCCATTGACTCGTAAAACCTATTTCTTTATCTTTGGTTGCATAGGGTCGTGAAGAATCCTTTTTCTTCATTTTGTGGTCTTTAATGGTTGTTTATATCTATTATTTACTTGTGATGTCATTTTCTTTTTCCATTCTACAGGGGAAAAAGCTAGCTGTTTGCTCTGCAGCAACTAAAAGTTCGGTTGTACTCTGTCTTGAGAACCTTATTGGAATGGTAAGTTCTGATTCCAACATTATGATCAACAGTATCTTCATTCTGTTTCCTTATTCTTTTTTTTTCCCCCTGTTATAGGAGCGTTTTCAGGGTCTTGATTGCTTCCTTGCAGGTATGTTGAGTACTTCTAATGCATCTGTTTTTGTTGTTAGATGCATTTTAGACCTAAGTGAATAAAACATGTACTCACTTCTTTCACAAGTCAATGTTGTAGGCTTTACAATGTGATAAAATGAGGTGCGTTCTTGCTAGGTGGATTTTTCAGTATTCTTTTAAATAATCAGCTGAAATTCAGAGATGTAATTCTTTTTGGAGCTACATTCATTTGATGGTTCACCAGCTTTGAATAAATTCAAATTCAACCGAATTGAAATTGAAAATTTTTGTTTGGATTTGGCAAGGATGAAATACCGTTCCTCATGCAAGATAGAAATGCACGAGTAAATGCAATTTACTGAAATGCAGTTACAGAATCTACTGTTTTGGTTGAAACTGGAATTGTCATAAAAATTCCAGAATGAATTGACTTCCATCTTATGAAATTCTTCTAGAGGATCTAATTTTTAAACTTGATGTAACATGAATTAAGCTTCAAAGTTTGAACTGTTCCTAAAGGAATAACCTCATTGGTTGTTTTTGTACTTTGCTCCCATTGGTTAGGTCAACTAAAGGTTGTAGCAGTGCTTTTGGCCCATCTTAATTTGCCATTTCTTTCTTTGCTTTCTTTTATGATGATTTCTACTCTTAAATAATCTTTTCTTCTATGCTTATAGGTGACGATGTGAAGGAAAAGAAGCCGGACCCATTGATATATGTGACAGCAGCCAAGGTAGCTAGTGAACTCTAGCATGTGCATTTAGCCATGGTGTTGCCTATGCAAAAATTTCTCATCTTTCAATCTTTGATTGCTATATAAGAATCTGATTCAGAAATTTTGTTTATGGCAGAGATTAGGTGTGTCAGAGAAAGATTGCTTGGTGGTAGAGGATAGTGTGATTGGGTTACAGGTAGAGCTTTTATTCTCTAGAAAAGAGATAACATGTTAATTTTAGATCAATGACTTCTGAATTTGGTTTAACCGTTGGAGAAAACTGCAAGTTTTCTTCAACATTTCATCAGAAATGATTAGAAGGTGCTTAAACAGCCAACAGACGTTTCAAATTCATTAACCATAAGCATAATCTAAATAAAAACTTTTGTACCTTTTACCGTATAATTTGTCTCCAAATCATGGAACTAGTAAGACTGCAAGAGTTACTAAAGCAATGAATTCGTGCAAGGGAAAATGTCAATCCTTCTAGCCTTAATTTGGGAATTACATACACTTAACAAGTTTATTAACCATAGTTAAAGTTTAACAAGCTTATTCCATCTGTGCAGGCAGCAACAAAAGCTGCCATGTCATGTGTGATTACTTATACTTCTTCAACTGCTGACCAGGTGAGGTCATAACTGATACTTGCTGACAACTGGTAGTTCAATGGTTTGCTCACTGAGTAACTTAGTTCTTTTCTATTTTAATTCAGGATTTTAATGATGCTATAGCAATTTACCCTGATTTGAGTAATGTGAGGTATGCCATCATCGCTTTATTTCTGGTAGTCTATTTTTCTTTTCTCTCCCAATTTTGATTCATTCTTATGGTTCTGATTGTCTATCCAGATTGAGTGACTTGGAGTTATTGCTCCAAAATGTGGTTGCTGCAAATTAGAGGTCCCAGATTCTGAAGCCACCCAAACCACTTCATCCTGCATGCTGGAACTAGGGAAAATGAGTCTACAGTTAGCAGCTTGGAGCCTTGGACCATATCATCTGATATCTTGCTAAGAGCCAGAACTAGCAACTGGCACCAAGCATTGGAAATCCGTACCTCATCCACCCTAGCCATGGCCTACCACTCTACAGTCTACACCACTCTTTCTCTCCCCCAAATTCTCACCCTTCTTTTACTCTTTCCTACTCATTCCTTTTTGGAACACAAAACCATCAAAAAACACAAAACTAAGACCTTTCTCGCTGTACCATGATGTGATTCGGAAATGCTATTTATGGTAGAGATCCGAGGGATGAGAGTAAAATGAAGTTCAAACTATTAAAATGACTTTGAGCTTGAGCTTAGATTTGATTAGATTGAAGATGTTGATTTTGATGCATGGAGTACTAAATTTTCATGGACTAGCATTTGACATGTGTTACAAGCAAATAAATGTAGGTTTGGACTAGGGACCATAAATGTAAGCAGGTATATTTTGTGACCAATAGGATGGCTGCCAGAAACTTCAACGAAGAACAAAAGGAAATGAAAATCGGATATGCCTATCCACTTGTTGGTTTCGAAAGGCAGACAACAGCTCCACGTGTTCTTGCATGTTTGAGTTGAAATTTTTTGAAGCAACATCCTCTTAAGTAATTTTATGATTTTCACCTACAAGAGATTTAGGAACAAAAGCCTTTCCCTTTCAACTCTTTGATCTTAAAATTATTGATTTTAAGAATGAATGACTGACCTTCGATTTTACTGCCCAACTTTTAAGCGAACGATTAATGCATTTCACAAGTACTATTTTTTTTATTTTTATTTTTTATGAAAAGATTTATTTTATTTAAATTCTGAGGCATTTACATCCAAATTTATGTAGACAAAAGGAGAGCAATGATACTAAATAAATGGTTACAAAGCAGGCAAGTAAAATAGGTTAAAGAAAAATAGATTATGAGTTTTGATTTTGTTTTTAAATTTTATTTTAATAAATTGATCAATTTATGTATTTTTATTATATGCGGAGCCTCATAAATTAAGTTCAGTTAAATTGATGATGAGTAAACTGGTGATAGATTTTTTTTTTTCTATAAATTTTTTTTCTTAAGGTTAAAATATTTTACAAAATATTGCCCTATGATTGTTTTATGATTGATAAAGATATAAAGAATTAAATTAGCTATTCACAAATAGTAACATTTTTCAAAAATTCAAATCAAATAACCAAAATATTTGGTTTGCGAAATTCAAACATCAAATAATAAAAAAATTCAAACCAAAATATGATTTTTTTAAAATCTAAGTTCTTCCAAATTTAAAAATTATAAAAATTAATAATTACAAAAAATCTAAAAATTCAACAAATGGTAAAATTATAAGATAATTTTAAAAATCATAAAATTTTTCAAAAATTATAATACAACACATAAAGAAAAGTAAATAAGTTTAAAAAACATAACTAGTATTCAAAAAGTTTAAATTTTTATTTTAATTTCAAGATCAATTTTTAAAATGCCAATTAAAAATTTATTTATTTTTTCAAACCAATTATAATAAATGATGAAAGCAACAACTAAAAAACTGACACCAATTGTTTCGTAGATTGGACGGCTATTGGGGCAGAAGATTCGTATTCCATCTCAATCTGACAACAAGACGTCAACGCCCCCTTGCGTATTTGATGTTTTCTAGCACTTGAAAGCATGAGAAACAGTGGGAACACGCTTAAAAGCATTTGACGTTTTCTTAAAACCAATCCAATGACATTCACTTCATAGCTGTTCTTACCCTTATTTTCTGTACATAAATATCCCACAAGTCAGCTAGGAAACTTCATATGCTTCCTCAAAAACATGGATTCAACCACTAAATCCCATGCAGTATGCCTTCCATTTCCAGCACAAGGCCATATTAACCCCATGATGCAACTAGCTAAGCTCTTGCACTCAAGAGGGTTCCACATAACCTTTGTCAACTCCGAGTTCAACCATAGACGTTTGATCAGGTCTAGAGGGGAAGAAGCTGTTAAGGGTCTTCCAGATTTCCGGTTCGAAGCCATTCCTGATGGGTTGCCACCCTCTGATTCTGATGCAACACAAAATGTTCCAGAACTGTGTGCTTCCACACGAAAAACTTGTTTGGCTCCATTCTTGGAACTATTATCTAAGTTAAATTCCTCATCCGATCTGCCGCCTGTTACTTGCATAGTTTCTGATGCAATCATGACCTCTGGTACCAAGGCTGCTGAAGTAATAGGCGTACCTTATGTTCAACTCTGGACTTCTTCAACTTGTGGCTATTTGTGCTATTTGCAGTACAGAGAACTAACTGAAAGAGGCGTTTTTCCATTTAAAGGTACTATAACTGTTTGAGGTTTTCTTTTTAGCTTCTAACTTAATTCAGTCATAACCTGTTCTGTTTTTGCACATATTGAATGGTCTGATAGATTTTCATTTTTCATGTGCAGATGAAAACTTCAAAAGCGATGGGACTCTTGATACGCCAATTGATTGGATCCCTGGTATGCCTAACATGCGCCTCAAGGATATTCCATCCTTTATCAGAACCACAGATCCCAACGACGTCATGTTCAATTTCGCGATGGAAGTATCAGAAGAAATCTTAAAATCTTCTTCATTAATCTTCAACACATTTGATGAGTTTGACAAAGAAGTGCTAGAAGTTATTGCAGCCAAATCCCCTGATATTTATGCAATTGGTCCACTTACCTTGCTTAGTAGGCACATTCCTGAAATCCAGTACAAATCACTAAATTCAAGCTTATGGAAGGAAGACACAAGCTGCATCGAATGGCTCAACAAAATGGAACCCAATTCAGTAGTGTATGTGAATTATGGAAGTGTAACTGTGATGTCGGATCATCATCTGAAAGAAATTGCTTGGGGACTGGCAAACAGTAAGCACCCATTTTTATGGATAGTTAGGCCCGATGTGTTGATGGGTGAATCTGCTATTTTGCCAAGAGAATTTATGGAGGAGATAAAGGACAGAGGATTCGTAACAAGCTGGTGCCCTCAAGAAAAAGTACTGTCCCACCCAGCAGTAGGTGTTTTCCTGTCACATTGTGGGTGGAATTCTTTATTAGAAAGCGTATCCGACGGTATGCCTGTAATCTGCTGGCCTTTCTTTTCTGATCAACAGACAAATTGTCGATACGCTTGCACCACATGGGGCATTGGCATGGAAATCAATCCTGAAGTAAATCGTGACGATGTTGAGGCTATTGTTAAGGAAATGATGGAAGGAGATACTGGGAAAAGGATGCGGCAAAAGGCCCTGGAATGGAAAAAGAAAGCTGAAGCTGCTAATAGCATTGGAGGATCTTCCCTTAGTAATTTTGATAGAATGATTAAGGAGGCCCTCCATCACGGATAAGTTGTAAAATTAGTTTGTTTGGCTACAATAATTAAACAGTTCTATGTTGGCTACAATATTTGAATTTGAATACCGTTTGGTGATTCTTCATTGAAGCTAATTACTCTTCATTTATGCTCATTTCAAATGCAGTTAATTTGAGGTGTAGACATGATTTGATAACATATCCGCCTTTAGAATATTTTATAAAAAAAATTTAATGGATGTGTGTTTTTCATATTCAAAGATTTAGGTTAAAATCTTTATTTCAATAAAAAGTAGGTATATAATAATGAAACTATTATAACACCATGAAGTAATTTCCATCCGTAACTCAGGCCTCTGGAAAAATTTTCATATCAGGAAAGATTTATACAATAGGTCCACTTACTTACTAAGCAAGTTCCTAAAACCCAATTATTGTCACTCACAACAAGCTTACGGCAAAAAAGGCACCGATGGTATCGAATGGCTTAACAACAAGGAACCAAACCGAGTTGTGTAAGTGAATTATGGTAGTATGACTGTTATGTCAAATCAACATCTGGAAGAATTTGCTTGGGTTCTTTCAGACATCAAATACCCTTTTTTTATGGATAGTTAGGCCTGATTTGACAACGGGTGAATCTGCAAATCTGCCTGAAGAATTCTTCGAGGAGATTAAGGATAGAGGACTGATAACAAGCTGGTGTCCCCAAGAACAAGTAGTCTCCTACCCATCAATTGGTGTTTTCCTTGTACATTGTGGGTGGAATTCTACATTAGAAGCCTTATCTGGAGATGTGCCTCTAATTTGCTGGCCATTCTTTGCTGAGCAACAGACAAATTCTCGATATGCATGCACCACATGGGGCATTAGCATGGAGGTTAATCCTGATGTAAAGCGTGATGATATTAAGACTCTTGTAAAGGAAATGATGGAAGGAGAAAATGGAAAGAAGATGAGGGAGAAGGCCCTGGAATGGAGGAAGAAAGCAGAAGTTGCTACTGATATTGGAGCATCTTCTTACAATAACTTTGACAGGTTCATTAACGAAGCTCTCGTCCGTCTCCATCATCGACAAGAAATAAAACTTTCTCGTCTACAAAGTGGTGTAGACTAGTCTGGTCTCAACTGCCTCTTTCAATGTTCAGTACTTTGGTAATTCATGGCAATTGGCTTTATAATTTCCCATTTTGAACCACTGCATTGTCTAGCTTTCCATATGTGAAATGGCCTCCGGGCAACTGGTTTTCTAATTTCCCAAACTGAAATGAAATTCTGTTATCAGTTTTTATGATTCATTACCATATGTCTTGTTTACATTCATGCTGAAACTCTATTTATATCAGAAACCAATTAACTTTGACCCTATTGGGCTTTCCCATTTTCTTTTACATTAGTCCATATATATGTTATTAGTTGGAAAACGTTAATTCATAGTCAATATTCTGAATCTCTTCAGGAAAATTAAACAGAGGCACTTGAGATTACATTGATACTGTATTTTAGAAAAAAAAAATAGAATGAACCTAGGTGTTTTACTTAAGGCCTTTTTTTTTTTTTTTTGAGAAAGGAAATGTTTTGGATTAAAAAAATATCATTTTAGTTTATCAATTTTAGTCATCAAAAAATGCTAATTGCAGATTTTCCCTTAATATTTTAGATATCTATTGAGAATTCACCAAAAACATGTATAATTTCTATGATTTTTCATACTAGAATTAGATTTGCATTTCGTTACAAGATTATTTTTTATTTTTTAAAATTATATTTTAACAATGAGAGAAGTAAATGTTTTATACAAAATTTTAATGAATAATAACATACAAACAAATATAAGTGTATTTATTTTTAAATCAAATTATAACTTAATTATATATAAATGAAGTTTTTTATTAAATTAATGTAATATCCTTATTAATATAATACGTATATATAAATAAATAATTAAATATATTCTTTTATATATCTTTAGGAGAATTGAGCAGAACACTTTAAATTCAATTTCGACTCGACCCAAATTATTCAAAGAAACATATTTAACCAAATCCTTATTTAAAAAAAAAAAAAACCCACATTGATTGGATCATAAGGAATTGAAACTCATTAGATATATGTTGTTTTGTTATCCTTATATGTTTTAACTTTTTCTTTAAAAATTTTATCTAATAAATAATTTTTTTTAAAAAAAACCAAAAGTAGAAATCAAATGAAATGGCGTGCAAATTTTATTAAATTAAATTATTAAATAATATTTTTAAAATAAATATAGGATTGAACAAATAATGAAATATATATTTTTTATATATACCAAGGTAAAGGCGTAATACTTAAAACCAAACTCTTACTCAATTTTGATTGAAAAAAAAAACCCAAATTATCCTGAATTAAAGGAAAGGCCACCAATTGGGTTAGGCTGAATTGAAACTTATAAGATGCGAATTATTTGGTCATTCTATTTCAATTGACTTTTTAATTACAAAATTTATCTAATAAAAAATAAAATTAAAAATTAAAAAAAAAAGATAAAAAGGAAAAAAAAAAGCAAAAACTTTAAAACAAAATGAGAGAAGTGTCACATGAACACTTGAGACAAACAAAATACTTTAAATCCATCTCAAACCTGACTTTATTTAAAAAAAAAAACACCTCGATTTGATTTTTATTATTATTTTTTAAATGCATAAATGTTAGATCATTGCGAATAAAAGTTAATTGGATACAAATTATTTTATTATCCTTACTATCATTGACTTTTTTAAATAATCTATCTAAAAATAAAAAATAAAAAAAAATAAAGAATGAAAAAAAAGAGGGTTGCTATGTGGACACCCTTTCTTTTTCCATTTTTTACTTCTTCAAGTACTTAATATTTCATCAATATTTTAGTGATAGTATTGTTAGAGCAAACACTAAAAATCTCAAATTATTGCTTTTGGTAATTTTGAAATTTTGAGAAAAGGCTTTAAGGTGTGTAATGGTGCCATTTTTCTTAAGGTTTTATTTGCTTCCAACGTATTATTTACTTAGTAAGTGTGCAAAAAGGTTACAAGTAATAAACTTTGAGGATACAATGAAACCTAGTGACTGACTACATTTTGCATTGACGAAATCAATCCACCAAGCAATCACTGATGTATCACAAGATCACTGAATTTCTATATAACTTTTCTATAGCAAAACTTTTATAAAAGAAATATAGAGTTTGAAAAAAAAAAGAAAGTTCCAAGAATTGGTTTTCTATATTTTTAGAAAACTAGAAGAGCTTTTTATAAATAGATAAATATCCTTTCCTAAATACATGACTGTCTATTTTGAATAGATAAAATATTTTTTAATAGTTAAAACTGTTTATTTTGAACAAACTTATCTCTTTATTTTGAACAGACTTAACTATTTGTCTTTATTTTTTCTTTTTCAATGTGAGATTATTTCTTATATTTTATTTTGAAAATCTCTAACAATCCCTCACCATTTTCAAAATAATCCAAATTTATGATGACCTTGAAAATCAATTGCATAAATGAAGGTATCTTCTAATTTAAACTTTCATTTAGTGAAAACAAGTTAACGTTAACCGAAATCACATGGTAGACTACGCTTTGAATAAGCTATTTCATTTGGTTAATCGAACTTGTCTCATACAATGATTTCAACACCTAATGAGTGCTTGTTATCCAGTGACACATTTATGGCTATGTGTTTGCATCCTTTTTTCATGAATGTTGTTAGAGCCAAGCTTTTAAGCTTCTAGAAGCAGCTACACTTTATACTTATATAGGTAGCTTTCATCAATAGTATTTTTGTAACTACAACACTTTAACATATTTATGTTATGGGTCTATTAAGAGTATATTACTCATCATTCTTTTACCATTACGGGTACCTAGCACTTTACTTGGGATAGCATTAAACATTACTATAATACTAGTAGTCACATATAGATGATATACTTTGTCTCATTGAACTAAAGACTTGACATTATACCAAGCGATGAGTCAAGTTTCTATCATGGGTGACTTTACTTCATGAACTTGAGCCCTATTGCTATCGAGAATTTTTTATGAACTCTCTAGTAAGACTTTTAGTTAAAGGATCCACCAAGTTTTCACTTGACCTTAAATAATTTATAGTGATCACTCTATCTGAAATTAATTATCGAACATAGTTATGTCTTAATTCAATATGTCTAAACTTTCCATTATATACTTGGCTATATGCCCTTGCTAGAGTTGCTTCACTATCACATCAGATAAAAATTGAGAAAATTGGTTTAGGCCATAAAAGTACTTCATATAATAAATTTATTAGCCATTCAACTTCTTTAGCTATTACAACTAATGCAACAAACTCAACTACCATGGTGGAATCCATTATGCATGTTTGTTTCTTGGAACCCCAAGAAATGGCACCACCACAAAGTTCAAAGATCCACCCACTTGTAGAAGCATGATCTTCTATATTAGTAATCCAACTAGCATCAGAATATCCTTTTATAACTAAATGATATCTATAACACAATTCATAATTGATTATTTTTTTCAAATATTGAAATACTCTTTTAACTATTTGCCAATGTAAGTTACTAAGATTACTAGTGTATTTGCTCAACTTTCCAATAACAAATGCTATGTTTGGCCTTGTACAAGTCATTGCATACATCAGACAATCAATTTTTCTTGCATATTGCAATTAATCGATTGTTCTACCAGTGTTAGATACTAATTTCAGTTGAGAATCCATGGGTGTAGATACTAGAATATAATCGAAAAGATCAAACTTTTTAAGTACTTTTTTAATATAATGTGATTGTGACAAAGTTATGCCACTATCATTTCGGATTATTCTAATTCTAAGAATAACATCCGCTACACCCATATCTTTCATTAAAAAGTTATTTGATAAAAATTTCTTTGTTTCCTTAACTTGTTTTGAATTAATGCCAAATATTAGCATATCATCCACATATAAGCAACTTATGACTCCTTTACCATTTTCAAATTTGCTATATATATAATTATTTGACTAATTAATTCTAAAATCATTAGCAAGAACGATTCATCAAACTTTTGATGCTATTGTTTTGGTATTTGCTTAAGTCCATACAAGGACTTCATATGTTTACAAACCTTATGCTCTTGACTTGGAATGATAAATCTTTTCGATTGTTTTATATGTACTTCATCTTCTAATTCACCATTTAAAATATTATCTTTA